CTATCATCTGAAGGACTTTGCACATCAGAAGAAAAAGTCAAGGACATCCAATTCTTCCTTAGCTTTGCCAACTTCTACTGTTGCTTTATACATGAATATAGTGACATTGTTATCTTTCTTACATGATTCACCTGCAAGGGAACTCTATGGAAATTTGATGACAAATGCTTGGCTGCCTTCAATAAATTGAAACAGGCCTTTACACATGCTCCCATCCTTACTCACTGGATCCCTGATCGAAAGATAGTGATGGAAACCAACACCTTCAATTATACTATTCCAGCTATTCTCTCTATTTATCTTGAAGATGGCAAAATTCATCTGATTGCTTTCCACTCCCAGAGCCTCCATAATGCTGAACTCAACTATGATACCTATGACAAGGAGCTTCTGGCCATTTTTGAAGCTTTTAAACATTGGCAGCACTATCTTGAAGGCTCCATGGACTCCATTGATGTCATAACAGACCACAAGAACCTTGAATACTTTGTCACCACTAAGATTCTAACCTGTTGACAAGTCTGCTGGTCTGAATACCTATTTCAGTTCAACCTAGTAATCTGGTTCTGACCTAGAAAACTTGGTGGAAAACTAGATGCACTTACTAGATGATGAGATGTCTACCTTAAAGAGGGAGATAGCCAATATGCTCAAGTCAATCTCCACAATTTTTGACTGGTGTTCACTCAAGAACAACTTTCTGCATCACTCTGTGCAACCTATCTTGAAGGCTCTACTCTCTGAGCCAGTGCCATCATGGACATTGATAAGCTCCACATCAATATCAAACAAGTACAATGTTCTGACTCTATATCCTCTGATGGTCTCCACTAGGCTAAGGCCACTTCAGAATTCTTCCCCTCTTAGTGGTCTATTGATAAATCAGACATTCTCTGCTTTGAAGGCCACATCTATGTCATGGAGTCTGGAGATCTCCATCTCTGTATACTACAGAATAATCATGACCACATCTTGGTAGGCTATTTTAGTTAAAACCAGACATTAGAGCTTGTCTGGTAGAATTACATCTGACCAAAGATATGTGAATATGTTTGACACTACATTAAGTCCTGCACAGTTTATGTACACAACAAGACACCTAGACACTACTCCTATGGGTTACTCAAACCTCTACTAGTCTCTGAACAGCCATGAGATTCTATTTTCATGGATTTCATTGAACAACTACTGGACTTCAATGGATTTACTGCTATCTTAGTAGTCATAGACCAAGCTAGCAAGTAAGCTATCTTCATCTCCACTCATGACACTATTAACTTCATGGAGCTCACCCAACTTTTCCTTATCCATGTCTTCTCCAAACATAGGGTACCCAGTCATATCATCTTGGATTGTGACTCTGAATTCATTTTCTAATTTACTCACATCTTAGTCATAGCTCTTGATATGGAACTCCACCTTACTTTTAGTTACTGTTCAGAGGCTGACAGACAAACTGAACAGGCAAACCAAACTCTGAAACAGTACATCTGCATCTACTGCTCTTATCAACAGGATAATTGGGACACTCTCCTACTTATTGCTGAGTTTATATACAACAATGCCTCTAATGTATCCAATGGAATTTTTCTATTTTTCGCCAACAAGGGCTACCACTCTAACATCACCATTCACCCTGAAAGAGACATCATCTCTGCTCAGGCCTGAGACTTTGCAGTCAACCTTGATGAACTCCATCAAATATTAAAAGATGAAATCTCCAAGGCTCAGACTTGCTATAAGACCCAAGCAGACAAGCATCAGATTCTGGCACCCCTGTTTACAGTGGGTGACAAGGTCTACCTCAGTTCCAAACATATCAAAACCACCCATCCAACTAAAAAATTCTCAGAGAAATACCTCAACTCTTTCGAAATCATAGTCCAACAGGGTTTCCACTCCTTCATGCTAAGGCTTCTACCAGATCTCTGATCCATTCACTCAGTCTTCCATGTGTTACAATTAGAACCTATAGAAGAAAACACCATCTCTAACCAAATCCAACCATTGTCATCTCCAGTTGAAGTCAACAGAGAAGAACATTTCAAAATAGCTCAAATTCTCAACTCTAACCTGAACCACCAGTTCTGCTACCCACTGCTGCACAAGATCCAGTGGCTAGGCTATGAAAGTACCAATGAAGAGTTTGCTTAGTTACTAGCCTCTGAGTTCTCTGCTGATGAATTTATTAAAGACTTCCACTATCAATACTCAGACAAACCAGAATCTTTGTCCAAAGTCATTCAAACATCCCATTCCTAATACAATGCTACTCTGGACACCACTGGCATCCCATCTTACTATTTCAATTCTAACTACTAATTACCACTATTCAATCACCTCTTTTACACTTTCAAAGTCAAAAATCTTGCAATTACATTTTTGTCCACTATCAACATCTGATACTTTTTTCTATATACATTTTATACAAAATATTTTTTACAAAGAAGTGGAACTCAATAGGCCTGCACCAGAATCTGAACTCTCTCTCTACTCTCTCAACTTCTTCATATTCTCATCCAGCCTCTTTAACATCACCTCCCAAAGATTCTCCATTTTCTGATCCCTCTCATTCTTGAAAATCAGTCAGGCCTTCTTTCAGGCCTCTACCTCAGACTCTGAAAACAGCTCTGAAGGAGATGACATATTATTAGAACTATAGTCATCTTGAAGACCTACCACAGTACCATGAATATCTGCCACCTCATCTGCTAACTCATCTATGTGATGCATCAACTTGCATATCAATTTTGAAAGTTGGTGGAGACCAGCAGAGACCTCCACACTACTAATCATCTTGCTTGTGGTGACATCCCAGTTGAATGAACAGATGGTCTTCTTAATCTTGCAATGTGCACAAGTCTGCCTATGCCTGGCACCTTCAGTGGCTGGATATGTATAACAACAGACACCATCTTAGTGATAGTACATACAGCTTTCTGAGAACAAAAGCTAAGTCAAACCACACAAGAAAACTAAGACACTTACTTTTACCATCTAACAACTCTTTGCCTTCTGCTGGCCCCACCACTTCTAACTTTGCCTGCTTCTTGAGACTAGCAACCATCTCTACCCTACTGTCATCCATTATGCTCCTTGATCTGAACTTGTGTTTACAGCCCTTCTCTGCTAGACCCATCATCTTTCTCTTTCCCTCTCACATCTTCTTTCTCCTCTCCAGAGTTCTCTTGGATTCTTTCAACTCATTATCTCCTTTGGTCCTCTTATCTTGCTCACTATCAGACTCCAAAGACATATGGCCAGAATACATTTTGTATTACTTCAAGATCTTTCTATGAGATACTAAATAAGTCCAGATTATGATCCAAGTCAGCTGCTGCTGACTGGCATCATATCTTTGAGTACATTCTTGTACTCACTTGGGATTGCTATCCCAACAAATATATATTAGGCATGAAGATAGACAGGAATAGGGACAAGAGCACTATCACTCTATCCCAGAAGGCATATATTCTCAAAGTACTTGAGCAGATGGGCATGAATGACTGCAAACCAGTCAAAATACCTATGGACCTGAATGTATGGCTAGAGAAAATTCTGACAGAAGACCCACAAGGTGTTGACACAGCCACCAGGCAATATTACCATACTGGTGTCAGATCACTAATGTATGTGGCTAATGGATCCCAGCCTGATATTGCACATGCTGTCACTGAATTAAGTAAGTATGTGCAGAATCCAGCTGCTGAGCATGTCACAGCCTTGAAGCAAGTTTTCCACTATCTGAAGGGAACTCTAGACTTTGGAATCACATATGGAGAGACTATGGATGAGCTGATACCTTATTCAGACTCAGACTGGAGAGAAGACAGAACAGATAGAAGATCAACATCTGGTTATATCTGTACCTATGCAGGGAGAGCTGTTACTTGGAGTTCAAAGAAACAGCCCACCATAGCCTTATCCACTATGGAAGCAGAATATATGGCCCTCACACACACAACCCAGAAAGTAATTTGGCTATGAGCACTCTTAACTGAATTAGGATTGCCACCTTATGAAGCGATGACTATTTTCATTGACAACCAATCAGCAATCAAATTTGCTGAGAACCCTATATTCCATGCATGATTGAAGCATATAGACATATGGCACCACTTCATTCATGAGCACATGGCTTCAAACAAAGTCAAAGTTCAGCACTGCACATCAGAAGAGAACTTAGTGGATATATTCACTAAAGGCCTACCAAGACCATTACATGAGTATTTATCTGCAGGTATTCTAGGAACTCAGAATTGAGGGGGAGCGTTGGGATAGCAATCCCGAGCGAGTACGAGAACATACTCGAAGATACAATGCCAGTCAGTGGCAGCTGACTTGGATCGTGATCCAGACTTATTTAGTATCTCGTAGAAAGATCTCAAAGTAATACAAAATGTATTTAAGTAGAACATCTCTCTCTCGAGAGGCAAATTCTAATCCTCTGTACATTACTATTGCTCTCTACTTACAACGTAACCGAGTACTGCATAGAGCTTGAACTGGAACCCGAGCCTCTTATCTTGGACAGCATAATGATCGTGGTCTCGAAGTCCTACCTATGCCAGCCGTATATGACTAGATTATGAAGGTTGACATTGAACATTGACGTGTGATGGAGCACAACGGAGGCCGGGAAGGATTAGTCAACATGTGAGTGCGCTGAAGGCAAGGTCATATGTTTTGAAAGGATAGCAAAATGATAAGATAATGTCAACTGTCGAACAAATCTCAAGGAGAGAAGGGTGAGCAAATTACAACGAGCAGGAAAGAAGAGTCCACGTACCCTCCAAGGCTATTTTTCCACAGCCTTCGCCTGTGCATTCTTTTTTTGACCTTCTCCTTCTCCTCTTCTTCTTCAACATTGGTGTCGGCGTAGCCCCCACATTTACCATGGGATTTTCCCCTCTAAGCCTCGTCCTGCCGCCTTTCAATGTCTCAGAGACGACAGGACTCGCAGCGAGCCTGAATTTGAAGTTTTATCTTGACTGATTGACATGTCACAGATATGTGTTGCACCAGATTACCTGATGGTTGCCACTGGCGGCGATCATTCGGTTTTGAACAATGTCATCGACGCCTTCAAGTGAGCCTACGACTCCTTTATTTTCAGATGCCCCATCTTTAGAATCAGCATTGTTTGCTCGGATCGTGTCAAAAGCCCCATCTTGACAGAGTCGCCGCGCTTTTAACTCGAACCAAAGGCAAAGCTATCGTTGGGGGAAAGGTGGATGCCGAGAGGCTGAAAATTGAAACCAACAGTACTTGTCGGAATTGGGGCTAATGATGCTGTGATGGAGGGTGAGATTTTGGGCCTATATTTCCTGTCGTCAAAGTTAGCACCTTTGAAGACGTGTGCAATTTTGTATCCAACGGGTGAGCTATTTCTTACACTATCTGATTCCTCTGCCACTCATTCTTATTCGGAAAGAGACCACCCTTTGGTGCTGTATACGTTTACTGAAAACGACGATGTCAAGTCATTGAGTACGTGAATTCCGGCTGCCAGTCAGTCACTTGGGCTAATAACCGACATATAGTACGGGATAATACCACGAGCGGCAACATCGTTTATAACGACACGTTCATTCAGTTGGCAGGTACAGCGCGTCCACGTCTGTCGATTCTGTCTGTTTACAACTTTTCGCCAGGTGTCGGCGAATCGGGCCGTAAGTCGTTTTTGCTATCTATGCTCGCGAGGTGATGAGCTTGAGAACAGACGGCCGCCAAACTACTCGTTACGGATTCGAGTTATTTACGATCATCCATCATTATGCCTTTGGAGTGCGTTACCTAATACATGGCTTTGAATGTGAACTTAGTGTTACCCCTAGGATAGAACCATTCTTCGTTATCCGCCGTACACAGATGGGAACCTGAGGGTGTTGAACCAGGGCATTGATATGAAGGTTCCGACATTCTCCCTCACGGAGGGCATCTTATCACATTAGTGAGTGACGAACATGTAATGGAAATTTGTGATTTTATTGGCTTTTCGTTTTTTACGCCGACTTGAGGAACCAGAATCCTTGCGGGCGACTATCCTTATGACCAAGATATTTTTAGAGTTGTGTAAGGTCGTGTAAAACGATGAGCATCTCTCTTCAGATGTCACCACGACACACTTTTCCAAGGGCTGGATTATGTGTGCCTGTAATCTTCCTCTTAAATGACACAGGATCTTACGGAATCATACAATCGAATACATCCGTGCGTACACTGCAACGATCAAATGCGTTTATCATCCATACTATTCTCTCGGATCGCGGACTCTCCTTTCTCGGCTGCTCTCAATCCATCCGTGTCATAGTCCCTCAGGTAAAAGTACGTTGCTGGGAGCGCGACCAGCAATGCACCCACCATGTTTCCAAGGTAGGCAGCAATTAGAGATCTATACGAACATCAGAACACAGTGCATGCCCCGCCGGTGAGAAGGATCAAAGTTTACTTGCGAATGTACTCGGCCGTGGTGAGCTTCAGCAAGGAATGTGAACAAGAGTATCCCAATTAAAGATAAGAAAGCTCACGTCTGCGCCAAACATGATCCCAAGAGGTACCGAGAACATGTTGGCAACCACTATCGAGGATGAAACATCGACTCTTATCGATGAACTCGACTCACCGTGATCAAACGAGCATGCGACAAAAACCTACCAGAATAGTTGTTAGCGTACGAAGTTTGTTGAATTTCTGGACTTACCCAAATAGGAATCCAAATGGCAACGATCTACAGATGACGGCAAGTTTAGATGAGCCAATTTCAATTGAACGCCCCAACCTTGGATATGGTGTCCCTAGCTCCGGCAGCTTGCTGCGGGGCTAGTGAGAAACCCAACAAGTAGAAGCTGATGATGACACGTACCCAAACTGCAACACATACGAGCCAATTGCATCCGATCCCTCTCAAGAATATCTGGTGCCAGTGGGGATCAGCAGCTTTGTCACTACCGGTTGACGAAGTAAATAGTATCATGTCGGTCCTTAAAGTGGATACAGGAAGCTTACATTGCAAACGTCTGTATATAGGTGGAGTAAGGTTCCGTTGATACAATCCCGCTGTCTGCAACATTATGTGAGCTGCGTAAACGAGGATGGATGAAAGTGTATGTACGTACATTTAACGAGGACGGCTGCGAAGAAGAGGCTCCCCACGAGATTCCCAAAAGTCACTACAGGAGTATCATCATAAGGGCAAAATACAAGGGCCGGAATGTACTTACCGAGGACGAAATTGATGGGGAGACTCCACCATGGGATGGCGCCTTTGATGATAACCATGGGAAATATCTAGCACAGACCAGGAGTGTTGGTCACTGGCACAGGATGACTTACCATCATGTTGCTCGTGAGTAGTTCAAGGCCCTGCAGCACGATCCTGCGAAGAGAGCTGAGGTAAAACCCAAGGCAGCATCAGCACCAGCTACTTACATGACCAAACCGACAGGAAAGACAAAACCACCCAGGATCTTCACGATTCCAGGATCCGACAGTCTCAGCCCAGTCGCTCCGCCAGAGATGACTTCGGACAAGAGGCCGCCAAAGGAGAGCATCACGCCCGCGAGGACCTGCCACGGTGGGTATTATTTATGATAGTAATAGGTCGAACACGGGGCAACGTCATACAGCCTTGAAAAAAATGTTCTCATATCGATCTCTGTGCTTTGCGACGCCGCTCTCGACCATGTACGTCGCGACTTTGGCGGGAGTCAGTGTAGGAGAGGCATCCATGGTGGTTGGTGCAAGAAGGAATTCGGTTCACATGCTTCCAAGGAGAATAATTATACGTCCTCTCCCACCAACTGCATAGACTCCAATGAAGCTTCCAAACATGATGAAAGATTGGTCAGACGACTGGTGTAAAAATAGGTGTGGCTTACCCATATCCCATTTATTTTCTCCACGAGGAAATATTGGACGCGTCGCCGGGCTGTGCCACAGGGTTTCGCCAAGCCATACAGACAAAAAAAACTGAATTACACTTGTAACATAGTAAATGAAAGCAACTATTAAACATTTAACACACGAGCATATAAATATTTGTTGGATCACCGATGGACGCCGACTCTTTTTGCTAGCGGTCCCTTTGGACGATGATCCTGCCTGACACCCCTCCCATCCACCGCAGGAGCAAAGAGCGTCCCCCGATTGTGCAGACTCCTTTCCTTGCGCTTCATATGTGTCGGGGCGGGGAACGGCTCTGGCAAGCCCTGGTCCGGGCCCGCAGAGTAGAATATCTTGGGCTGCCACGCCTCTTGCTCGTCCATGATGCACGAGTTTTTGAATTTTTCGACGAGCGCTTCTTTTCCTCTACGAGGATCAGATCGTATCACGCTGGTAGGAATGGAACGTACTGATAATTGGCATAGCTCATCTGGAGCACCTTTTCGCTGGAGAACATGTTCCTGTTGGGGGTAATCAGCGAGGAGGAAATTCGGAGGACCATAGTGCATGCCATTTTTGTCCCAGTCGCTTCTTGGCGAATAATAATAGATCCTCGACTTGAATAAAGTTGACAAAGGCGTATCCGACATTACACCCTGGGCAGGTGTGAACAGACGCGCATGCAAGGAAAGCAGACACACCATTTTTAAAATCCATCCTGAGATACATAAAGTCAATCCTCCTCTGACACACCTTGTCAATAAAGGACATAAGATCTCTATCTGACATTTTGTTGGGAATATTTTTGATCATGACGGTTGTGCGTGTGTCGCCACCATTCTCGATGAGGGCTAGGTCGAGCTGGTTGCGGGCACCTTGCTGCTCGTCCTTTACAGTGGGATTCGCTTTGTGCAGCGATCGGTTCCTTGATGGGGAAGAAGGCGGCTCCGGGGTCACATCGGTGGGATATTCTGGAACTTGGTTGTGGAAGAAAGCAGGACCAGGGCGCCAAAACTCGGGAGGGAAGGCGGGAGGAGGAGGTGGTCCACCCCAGGAGAGGCCGTTCATGGCTGCCGCAAGACGGTGAGGGTCATCGTAGACCGGGCTGAATCCCAGGACTGGGGAAGTGGGGTACATGGGTCCGGGAGACGTAGGCGGGTAGGGATACGGGGCGGGATAAGGCATCGGCGGGCCATCGTAAATAAAGTCGGGGTGGTGAGCGGCGTAGAACGGGCCTGGCTCGCTGTCAGGGAGTGACGGGCCGGTGTCTTTGGTTGCCGAATGCTCGGATAAATCATCGGACGGCGGCGAGGTGTAGAAAAAGGTAGGCGAGCTCGATGACCAGACAAGAGTGCGGTCGTCATCCTCATCGTCAGGCTTGGCTTGTGTATTAATGGGTGGCGGAAAGACGAACCGCTCACGGGTCTGGGATCGCCGTCCAAAGTGCAGCAAGGTACCTGTCGAGTCTTGCCCACTTGACAACGGTGAAGCGCCATCAGTCCCTTCTGATCGAGGCTCTTCGCGGCCAAATACTTGAAGCTTCATGCCAAAGAGAATCTGACTGTCCAATGCGGTATAGGCAGCGTCAGCGTCACGAAAATCGCAGTACTCGATGTGGTAGTATTTGAAGCACTGGCGGGGGATGTTAGAGGGACGGGACCGTGGGGCAAGGACAGAAAGACCTACCAAGTCGTCATTGAGCGAGTCGACGAGATCGACAGACCGGATGGTACCGAACGATTCAAGCAGCTGCAAGAGGGTGTCAACGTCGACAAGTCGTTTCCGGGAAGTATCATCCTGCTCGTCTACGCCTTGGACGGAGATGTAAAGAGCGGCACTGACAGCCTTGAGGAAATTGGAGTCTCCAGTCAACTGTACTGTCTGGTTTGGGGTGAGATAGCGGCAACGGAACCAGCTGTCGTCGGCACAGACGTCAAGGAGATCTGTGGTACGAGTAGCAAGGAGAGTATGTGCTGCTTCAGCGTGTCTGACATCGAAAAAAGCCAGGATGACGATGCCTTTGGACTGCACATAACGAACAAAGACGCCTTTTATCGGAGAGTCGGTGATGGGCACATTTTTAAAGGTTGAAGACTGTCGCTCGGACTGGCGGTCGTTGGCTGGAGAACGGCTCTCACCTGGCAGCCTGCCGAGTGTTTCTGCAGAGAGATAGGAAGAAAAAAGCTCGCTGAGCGTCTCTGTCTTTACTGTGCGCGAAATGTTGCTAATCTGAGGCGTGTTAGTGACCGGTAGAGGGCGACGAGGCGGGGACTGACCAGAAGGAAGCGAGTCGCGTCGGGATTGGCGCGTTGCCTGGGGGTTGTCGCGTCGTCGAGGGAGTCGGCGGTACGGATGCTGGACGACGGGGTGAGGGGCGGGGTGAGGAGCTTGCTGTGGACATGGGGGCGCGCGTGCTTGGTGTTTGGTGTGTCCGTGAGGATCGGGGACCTGGGAAGGGAGAAGGAGGTGGCGAGGGCGGGCGGGGTGGCAGGTAGATGGAGATTGTGGCGGGGAATGGCATTGAGCTTTGGAGGGAGAGGGCCTGAATGTGGCGGGAACCTAACAAAGGAAAATAAATACATATTTGTTATGCTTTCTCGGAAAAAAAAAAGAGACAACCAGATATTTGGCAAGGACGGGGAATGCTGGAGACGAGGTGGGTGTTCGCGCTTGCGGTTCGCCATGAAGAGAAGTCTGTGTGGTGGCTGGATATAAGGAACAAGGCAATAAACTGGACAGATCTGAAACGAGAATAGAAGAAACCAAGAAGAGTTACAACGTTGCACAACCTTGATTGCATCTAATTCACGTCAGGAATTCGATTCGCGGTCTTCGAAAACGCCGTCGTTGCCGCCAATATTTCAAAATCCTCGAAAATTAACGGAAAAGACAACGTACTCAATAGCCTAAACTGCTCCCTTTCCCAGCGATTTTCGTCCCGTACACGTCACTGCCGCCCAGCATGTTCCCTTCCAACGTCGGACATGAGCCGCCTTTACGCCGCCATATCGGATACCAGACGACGATTCCGAGCATGGAACACGAGTTGTAGTAATAATCAAAGTCGAATTTTAACTCGAACGGCAATTTAGCTGTGTCATGTGATCGTACGTGCCTTTTCTTTCTCCTTCCCACCATGCCGCTCTATGAAATGGTCTGCATTGCTGCCCATAACCAGGAATATGTATGTCCACTAGTCCAACCCTAACCCAGAACTAACTTTTTCCTAGGCCCGCATAAAAGCTCTCGTCTCCCTGACCGCCAGCCACATCATGAATGCTGGCGGCGTTGTCCGTAAAATAGAGTCCTGGGGCACCCACGTTTTACCTCATCGCATGCACCGCCACAGCGTCACTCATAAACTCGGAGAGTCAGTATCCAGCTTCCTTTCTTTTTCTTTCCTTCTTTCTTTTCTCTAATATTGTTGCAGCTACTGGTCCCTTCATTTTGACACCTCGCCCCGTACCCTACGTTCTCTTAATCGCGTCCTCCGTCAGGACCCCCTTGTCGTTCGCTGGACCATCCTCAGGCAGGGCCAGAAAATCGAAGACGTCGCCGCAAAAGGCCGTAGTCTCATCCATCCAGGCGATCAGTTCCTGTAGCCGAACCTTCCCCGAACCCGTGGAGGTCGGCCGCGTACATTTTACGTTTATACTCTATGTTTACGACGATCTATCCATGGCAGTACTTGATTCACTTGCTCCCCTCGAACCAACAAACTTTCCATCCCAGCTTCACGCCCGCCGTAGTAGTCACTGTATTCTGCTGTCAGAGACCCCTCTCTTACCGTACATTTGTCATCTCACCATTCCAGCTCGTCTCCAATGTGAAGGCATTCACCCAGCTCTATTGGCGGATCCGTATTTTGATTAACTGCCTCCAATGTCCGGATAAATATCGCCTTGGACGGCTTCTCAACACCCTCTTCTTCGCTCAGAATAATCGGATCCAGATATTTGGGAAACCCGAGGTCATGGAGCACAGATCCTGTCCACATGTCAGCAGAGAATATCATCAATCTCGACACGCACGAGTTCGTGAATCCGAGTTGCTAATGACAGCCGTTCGGATGTTACGAGAATGCAGCTCTTCAACTGAAATAGTGTGAGATTATATAGTACCCAAAGCGCCATAGTGCAAACGAACGAAGGGGAATAGCATCGTCATACGCCTTGTATCCTTCCCGTGAGCTGAATCGGTGCATAAGTGCGTGTACGATATCCTCCAAAGACTTGTCCAGAGCTGCTGACTGTAAGCTGCCATGTCGTCTTCCATCAACAAACGGCTTTACCAGCAGAATCAGCCTTTGCGCCCAATGCCGTCCTGCGTATCACCTCTGACCACCACCCATTGCTGCCCTTGTCGTATGCCGGTCGTTCCTTCTTCAGCGCCGCCAGTGCTGCATACCTCGTTACAACACTTGCCAATTGCGATAGAGACAACTCACCTGTTTTGAAAGAGGACTTCACAGCGTCGGGGTCGAGCTCACCAAGGAAGGGCTTGAATGCGCGTGCATATTGGACGTGGACGGGTTCTCTGAGGTTTATTAGCGTGAAGAGAGCGTCAAAGGTGACGAGTCGGATAGACATTGTCAATCGGGCCGCAATCCCGATGCAAAACACACATCGGGTATCCGGACCGAACATCTGCCTTGCTGGCTGTCACGGTCATGACCTGGTTGGTACCGTTTCTCCTCGCTGGTACTCTTATCGCAGCCAAGCCTCCAAAGGATGCTTGTGCAGAAATCGCAGACAAGAAATGGGTTACGCCTATCCAGGCCAGAGCTTGCCTCTCTCTGGCTGGCGTCGACCCTGTACTAAAGGCCAATGTACGCTCACACGCCGATATTCAGCAAACAAATACTCACCTTTTCGTAGACCATCGAGGTCCTGAACAAGACCCTTGCTTTCCATACCTCAGTCAACTACCAGATCCAAGCACCGGAGCCCTTCCAACATGACGTGCACGAAGATCTCCACGCCGACCTCGCCAGGATCGCGTTCCAGGATAATCACACTTCCGAGTTTGACCTCCATCTCGACCTCTTCCGTACTTTTAAACGCGTCAACGATGGGCACTGTGTCGTGTTGAATTACTGCTACGACTGTCAGTTCCTTTCGGCTAAAATTTAGTACAAGGCTCACTCGGTACAGCACTCTACGTATCCTACCTCCCGACACCTCTCGTGCTTCTTTCCGACACCGCGGGCGCACAACATGTCCATATAGCCCCAGAGGCTTTCTCCGTCGCCTCGACAGAATTCGGTGACGAGATCGACTATTGGCAGAAACGATTACCCGGGACGCTCAAAGGGAAGCTCGAGTCCGTCAGTCCTTCATCTCTTACCCGGCATTGTCTATCACTGAATAATTGCTATTTAGCTCTCTGGGGCTCGAGTCCTCCTTATTGATGGCCAAGACCCATTTGTCGCTGTCAACGTCAATGCGCAAGTTACGGGAAGCTATCAATCATTCGGCACCCGTCAAAATTCGTGCGTGCATTACTAATTCCTGACTTGGTGCTCATGACCATAGTTTCTTCTCCTCGTACCACCGTGGCCGCGACGGTTGGGAGTACGTGATGGGAAACTTTGCCCAACAGACGCATCCCCTCGTAGATGCTGTCGAGCTCACAATCCTGCGTGTGAATAGCACATCCATTGACACCGTCACAGTGCGTTTCCCTCTATGACGACGCGTCTTTATTCAAATTCTTTATCCAGATCCCTTATAGGTCTCGCTTTGGCTCCGGCTCGAAGAATTTCACCGATTTTCAATCCTATCGAGCGAACAACTGCCTTGCGGGGAAACATACTAACGGCTACGATGCATACGATAGTTTTGACGTTGAAAGACCGATAGCTTACTTCCAACAGCAACCTCCCGTGGATCCCAGAGACGTGCGAAGACATCCGATGAATGTGATCGTGGATGCTGTTCCGCCGACAGACATCAAGCTACCAGAAGAGCTACAACCCACTCCACCGGCACTGAATGAGAGCTATAGTGTGGCACAGTTTTATCTGCTTAATGACAAGACCACAGGGGTGCTTGCTCTGGGAAGCTTCTCCGCTCAGAGTTTCTCGACCTTCCAGTCCAGCCTGCTGTCGGGTCTGAACAGCCTCAAGTCATTGGGGGCTAAACGTCTAGTTGTAGACGTGGTTTGTATCTTGATTATAATCATTGTCCATATATTTACTAAACAAATGTAGACGAACAACGGCGGCGGTATGTAGTCTTTTATGACAAGTAAATCTTGTGATGTTCATTTTATTGTGCAGGATACATTTGCATTGCCCATGTCAGTATTACTTTATGTACCAGTTAGTTGGCTACTAATGTCCTTGCAGTGGCTTCACCGCATTGTAACGTACCGACAGCTCTGCAGGTAGGTCTGATGATTGACTATCCGAAGATCATAGGTCCCAAAGAATCTACCGAGCCTCAAGCAGGTCTGGACAGTAAAACACGCGCCGGACCTCTGGCCCAGTTAATCGTCAAAAAGATCCTGGACGGTGCCGATCCGGAGGAGCTGCTTTCTTATAGCCCTCAACAATGGACGAATGCCTCTCACATACCATTCCCAGCTGACTCTGACTGGCTTCATCCTGTGGTCAATCTAAATATTAACGGGCGAGCTGATGCGTTCAGTCCTAGGTTGGTAGGGCTCATTGTTCCTATTTGCAGCCGATGATGATTTTGTCTGTTCAGGCTGGGACAAGAGTGCCAGCCGTTCAGTGAAGATCCTCCTGTGGATCCCTTATTTAAACCCCACGAGGTTGTGATCGTGTCAAATGGGAGGCAAGTGTAAAAGATATCTATCTTGACTATATGTGACAGGCTTGTAGATGCGCAAGTTCCTGCTCGCTCTTCAGTGTAAGTCCTTCCTTCTACAGCGTTTCCATGATATGAATTCTGAGCCAGATAACAATGTCCAAGCTTGATGGTGTCAAAACTGTGGTCGTCGGTGGGAAGAAGGACACGCCTCAAGAATACTGTGGAACAGTCGGCGGTCAATCCACGGATTTTTCGACCATCGACACCGAGATCAGGGTGATGCAGAACGCTCTGTTGTAAAATAACTAAAAGACCTTAGTCGTTTTAGACAACGCACTTGAAGAATCACACACTTGCTCCACCAGACCTGTTAGCTTTCCTGACTTTGATCAGCTGTTTTCGAGATTGACGATACTGATAGACTCACGAATACCGTGCAAGGGATCACATGGAGACTTGGGTTCGGAATTGACGACCCCGAGGAGCCAGAGGGTACGTCTGTCTCTGTTTGTAATGCCGCGAAATTGACTTTGATTTGAACTTCAGAGTGGCAGGGTCATCCCGCGGATCTCAACTTGCCACTAACGGAAGCCATGTAGGTCCTTATTTTTTTTTTTTGCTTTTGTTGCATGTGAGCGACCTAATAGTGTCAACAAACCGATGGAAATTTGGGAGACAGTGGTTAGAGAGGTGTTTGAAGGAGTTGCCTGAATTTTTTAGTTGATTTTCTGTTATTTTTGGACAGTTCAGCCACGTGAAATGATGTCAGTGCGTAGGGCCAGCTTGTTACTGTTACGATCCTACCGCCGCGTTCTTTCGTCCTTGCGTACTGTGCTCAGCCTATTCTTCACCTCTTTTCTGATCTTCCTCGATATCCATTTACGTTGGAAACCGTTGTTTACTAGACACCAGCATCAATCAATCCTATTCAATCAGCATTTCCACGGACCCCGCACTTTTTACTACTACTACCCTTATCATCATGGACGAAATCATTCCTGGCCTATGGGTAGGAGACCTCCCAAGCGCCCTCAATGTCGAGCTGTTGAAGCAAAACCACATCTTCAGCATTCTCTCTGCGATGCGTGGCCGAATAACTATACACGAGGTGCGTGTGGATGCTGTAAAGCCTTGACGCTCGTTTCTCACTCAAGGTTAGACTTTTGTTCGCCATCAAATCTTACTTGACGATACGGAAGAAGCAGACATCATGATTCATTTTCTCCCTTCGATAACCTTCATCCAGGCTGAACTGGACAAGGGCCGGAGCGTGTTGGTGCATTGCCAGGCTGGAATGAGTGAGTGCTGGTACTCTAACCATGGTGGATCGTACGCAGGATTTTTTCTCTAGGCCGCAGCGTCACGCTTGTGGCAGCATATCTCATGTATACTCGACATCTATCGCCCGAGGCGGCGTTGGAGCTCATCAGGAAGTCGCGACCGAATATTGAGTATGTTTGCTTGTCTTCTATGATGCCGTTGTATGCTCACTGCCAATAGTCCCAACCCTGGATTCCTGGTGCAGCTGGAGCTATTTCACAAGGCCTCATTCAGGATATCACGCAAAGACAAGGCGACTCGAATGTTCTATATGGAACGAGCAACAGAGGAGGTCATGAGTAAGAACAATCCATATTCTTCCGCCCTCGCCCTAACTGTTATTTCCCAGACGGCGACGGAACTCTACCACCTACCGACATGTTTGCCAAATTCCCTCGCACACCATCTGACTCGACGCCCACTACGCCGGGAGGTCCGCGACGGCGTATACGCTGCAAAATGTGCAGGTAAGATTCTCGTATGTACAGTTGTCAGCATCCCTATCCATCCATTGAATCAGGCAGGAGCTGGCAGCAAGAGAGCATATGCTAGATCACGGTCAACTTGGCCCAGCAACTCCAGCATCTCAGACTCCAGCTGGGTCACGACGATCATCAACCAACCAATCACTTTCTCGGCATTCGTCCATTGGTCAATCACGACCAAGGCTTGGTTCGAACAGTGATATCCACCCTAGGCGACCGCCGCAATTATCTTTCGGTGGACTTGGCGACTCACTCTCAATGTCAGCGCTAGAGACCGATGACCCCATTGAGGATGATGGTGGGAACACCGCGAAACCTTGCCCTACTTTTCCACAGCCCCGGGTTTCTGGAGGAGGAGAAATTCGAAAACGGCCATTTACCAATCTGCCAAGGAGCCTAATGGACTCGCTCTCCATATCTGCGCTTGAAACCGAAGACGATGACGAGATAGATCTGTCCACTGTAGCAAAGACAGACCTTACACCTGCAAATAATGCGGGAGTCCCGTCGATAGATGCTGCAACCATGCTGGGACGCTGTCTTTCTGATGCGGTCATCGCATTGTCACCTTCTGACACGGAACCGGGGCAACCGCCTTCTGCGCCTCAAAATGGGACCTCCGGAGCCGAAACGACGCAATTCTCGAGTCCCGGTGACCTGGCAGCACAGCTACATGCTAATCCTAAGTTGGCTGCGTTACGCACCCCCATCGCAATGGGAATGACCCCGATTCAGACAAATACTACTAGATCAAATACCAGCACAAGCAGTCCGCCTATTCTAATGAATCCCAAATGCTCTGGCTACTTCGTGGAACCTGTAAGCTGTCGGTAAGAGCATGCTGGCATTCCCCTTCTGATGCATATCCGGACAGATGAAATGGATGGAGCCGTTCTTGAAGAGTGGCGAAATGGCTGGAAAGATTATCTGCCCTAACAAGAAGTGTGGTGCAAAACTTGGTAACTTCGACTGGGCTGGGGTTTGCTGTGGGTGTAAAACATGGGTAACTCCTGTAAGCAACATATCTTTCAATGCTGCACGCGAGCAATGACTTATGCCTGTCAGGGATTCTGTATCAATCGCTCCAAAGTTGATGAGATAGTCCACTGATTCGAGCACTGTAGTGGTTGTACTATCCAACACATTCCAAATCTCACATAGACCAATTACCGGTTCTTCGGCACGTCGGGTCACAGGAAGATGCTCGAATTATTGAGAAGGCAAGAATTTTAAAAACTTGATTCATTGATGGCAAGTATAATCAACGATGCCATCATGACGACTCCCCTACTCATCTTTACTCATCGTCTTCTTCGACGTCCCCGAATTCGAACATACCAAGGCGCTCGCGCTTGGCTTCCTGAACAGATGACTGAAAGTTTTTGAGGAGCTGTGGATATGAATGCAAGTATCGGCATTTGCGATCTATAATCGCTAGTCCATCACGCAGGAGATCCGCATTGATGCATGATAAGGAGTCTTGGGCAGAAGCAGGATCCAAGGGATCTATGAGTCGGAGATGAAGGAGCGCGCCTTCTTGCTGATCGATGTTGGCAATCAACTTGCGACCCTCACATAGGCCACGGAAACGCTCGATTGCCTCTGTGTGATAGTCACTATTGGGGTCGACAAGTTTCACAAAACTAGTAGATAACAAGGGTAAACGATGAATCAATCAAAGGGGGAGCGAAGACACGTACCTGAGTCGCGCCTCGTGCGCTTGACCTGGCAAGTTTCGGAACCGAGCATCGAGGGGTCTAATGTTGGTAAAGGATACGGTATCCTGATTTCCGTAGTCAATGAAGGTCACCTCTGCTTCCTTTTTTATTGGCGAGGCTCGGCGGATTTTTGCGCGGTACCATGAACCATCCGAGAATTTGGCTGAGACCAGGTCGCCGCTTTTCGGGACGAAACCAGCCGGTACGACGGTGGCGGTCTGATGGTAGGCAGAAAAGTCTCGCATGAGTTCTCGCAACGACGCGATACCTGCCGGATTATGCATCAGGACCAAAAGCACCAAGAACAAGGACGCCTCAAACCTTCGGAGCTGAGAATTTGTACAGAGAATCCAAATCCATTTTTTGTCCGAATGTCGCTAACAATGACATCTTGATACTGGGTCTTCAGAGCTCCCGACCCGTCGTCCTCAGCAACAGCCTCTGCTTCTTGCTGTGCATTTTCGTCGTAATCCTTCCATAGCTACAGGAAAGGGTGTTCAGTACCTCAACGGAGTAGCATGGAACAGAGCTTACATTACGTTTCACAGCCTTTGCCTCAGCCTAGAAATGGGAGACATGAACAGAGAAGGAAACCATCACAGGGGCCCGACTAACCTCAGCGTCATATAAATTCCGTGCCCATGGTAAAGCCTCTGCAGAAAATGAATGGACATTAGCCAACCCTTCTCTTACGAGTGTGATCGCGGCGTTCTCCGTTTTGTTCAAATACAGGGAACCAATGAAACCACCGGATTTATCGATGGTATCCACCTCGATTTCAACGTCGCGCTGCATGTATCTCCGTGTCGCGAATGCAAAGGCTTCGGCGCCGGATGGTTCACTTTTTTCTGACGCATTCCGTGCAGTTCGGGGTGCGCGAATACCTGATTTATGGTTGGCTTGATCGGATATACGAAAAGCAGCGAGACGTACCACCAAGGACCAAAGTCAGGGTCTGATTGTCCTTGGGAAGGAAGATCCTGTCATAGCGTTCAGAGGAAGACACCGTGGTAGATAAATATCATACTTGAAGCGTGACCCCGCCGCGACATAATCAACGACTGCAGGTATACGACCCAATCTCTTGAAACCGTTGAGGAATTGATTGGCACGCAAATGGGTCTAAGAGAATGGTCACGATCGGTTGCCATTTGTTGAAAAGCTTCGGCTACCTCTGATATATTCAGCGGCTGCTTGGGAGGAGGGATGTCTTTCCCGGAATGGATACCTCGGGCCTCAGTAGATGCCCTGAAAAGGATTTGAGAGAAGCAGACATAAACGAAAGAACGAAATCTGCATACGTCTGTTCAGCCGCCATTAGTTTGTCGTAATCCGATGATCGATCTTCGTCGTCTCTTTTATGGCGTACGACACTGGCGTAACCCCTCTCTACTAATTGTTCTGCTACGTTTCTGACAGAAAACCGGTCGACAACAACAAGTCACATTGAGGGAACGACATACACGTTTTGGTTGCCATATCGAATTGTGGCACATTCACGCTCGTCATACTCCCCCTCGCGGGGGCGAACAAAATCGATCGTGACGCGAACATGTTTGCCAATAAGTTTTTTGCGCAAAAACTCTTTGGCTTCCTGGGCATAGGAGGCTTGTTTGGGATCTGCAAGTCTAGAACAATGGAGTACATGAGCATGAGGCCTTTCTGAGCACCAGAAATTTACTTTGGCCCTCTTGTCGAACTTAATTGGAGCTTCCGTTCTTTACCAGTATCCTTTTCAACGACGGATATTTGGTCCCCGTTCCAGACTCGGATTACGGTGGCCTCAAATACTCGGTTATTCCCGTCCGCAGCGCCGCCGTTAGTTTTCGACGTAGAAGGCGCTACGCCGGCGTACAGACATGCATGCATTTCTTTTGCAACTTTCTCAGCTGCCCGTAGCCGTTCCATTCCGCCGCTACTTGACAACATGCCGGCATGCCAGTCGACGATGCGTGCCAGCCCCGCTGCAACTAGAAATTCGGCGACATTTCCGGCCGGATGTAGAACTGACGTAGACATAAGTTTTGCAACATGAATTTTGGCACATTTGAACGAACCTTTGCCAATAAAGATGCTGGCTGTTGCGGGTGCACTACCAATGGCACCAATTTGGAATGGTGTTGCAGTTGACGTCGGTAGAGACAATATTTGAACACGTACGGGACGTTGAAGAAGGCGAGACTCAGTGAAGAACTTTGCCTGCTCAGACATATATTCATCAATAAAAACCACAGGAGGGTACATGACAAAGTTGTGATATAACCCACTTCTTCTCCCCATGGCTCCGAAGATTCTTCTGGTTTACTTGCAACACGAGGACTACGAACGCCCGCCAAGGCGATGTTGACGATCTGATGTTCTCCATCGGGCATGAGCAGACGCGTTCGTAGAGTAGTACCGTCCCGAACTTGTTCCACGATGGCTAGAAAAAGTGAATAAGTTAGACAAGGTGGATTGGCCTAGAAAAATGGGTTTGTACCGTCCAATGATTTTCCTTTCCATTCCGAAACAAAACTCTGAGAATCGGTAGGCATTGTGTGATGGACGACGCGGGCCTGTGGATACATCGGTGACTGATGATCCGAAATATGCGTGCTGTACACACCTTGGGACCATGCGGATTCCATAAACCTTTGCCAGCTGACTTGGCTTCATTCTCAAGCTCGCGTTTGCGCGCGTCTTCGTCATTAGGTTCGCGTTTGATTTCTTTAACTTTGGCCCATCCGTTTCTGAGTAGTTCTGATGCGACGTCGACTCCGCCAATCTCAGCTGTGCCAAAGTCGCGTGGAATATCCTCATTGGGCGGCAAAGAATGTGTAGACGTGAATGAGATTTCCTTTCCTACGGCGAAAGCTCGTAGGAACTCGCGAGATTCGAACGCCCAAGGCTAAGAGACGATGAATTAGCACGTTCACATGGAAACAAGAGTGACCCCACACCTCATCCTCCCTAGTAGAGGAGCCCATACGAGGAGCTCCTACATCGGCGAGATGGAGAATTCTGTATGGCGTCACAAGACACGTCGGCGGGAGAATACAAAAGGAAACACACCTCTCTTTTGGAGGCTGTCCCTGAGGGCCGGGACGACCACGAAGCACAAGAGAATCACCAGAAATGACGGCTGATGCAGAGAAAACCAATGAAAATCAAAACGCCAGAATGAAACAGAATAGCTTCACATTTCACGATCTAAGGCGGGATAAAAACGCATGACACAAGATGAAGAAAGATCCGGATTGGACGTACAGCTTTCATGGACATGGTAGGGAATCAAGAACGACGGAAGTGTAGCGCGAAGAAAAACAAGAATTGAGTGCAGTGAATGGAGTAACAAATGAACAAATGATTTCCAATTTTTTGGATCTGGCAATGCTTGTCATCGGGCCCTCATCCAAATAGTCAAATGACTGCATTTGGGACTTACACGTAGCCATCTATAATATTAATGCTACTAGTGCTACTGTCTGCGACATAAAAAATCAATGACTCGTTAGCCGTGACATTTTTATTCATCATGCCCAAGGTCCCACCGACGCCGCTGTACATTTATTCCCGCCAGCCAACGAAACAGATTTATCTCGCCTACCAATTGTTAACTACCGTTTTCTTTCGCTTACCCATCTGGTTTTTGCTTGCTGTGCCCAAGTTCGTCCGCTTCTCCGTACTGCTGGTTCTCTGTCTGATTTTTGTTAGATCCCTCCGCCCAAGGCCAACATGGCCATTGAAGCGCGTCCTATTTCTTCGACTTTTCCGCCATTTCATGTATATCACTTCGCAGTGCGTTTTCTGGGCTTACGCGTGCGAACGCTTGACATTGATTTGGCGTAGGACCGGTCCTATTTATACCACTCCAAATCACTTTGCCATCACCCCAGGTAGCGGAACAGAAGGCATATGGATTCCTCCAGCCGACAAATTCATGACCAAGAGTCTCAAGTCTATGGCAGAGGTCTCGAAGGTGTTGCCTACGCATATTCCTGGATACTGGGTCCACAGAAAGGGATCCAATATTCCATTCGGTTCTATTCCTGTTGCCGGTAAAAAAGTCATCTTGTCCTGCCATGGAGGAGGATACATCCGTTACTCCGGTCATCCCGACGATCCCACCGCCACTATTGCGAAAGGATTGCTGAAAAACTTTTCATCAGTACAGCGCCTTTTTTGTGTGGAGTACCGATTATCGAAGACCTCAGCCGGAGCTTTTCCAGCAGCTCTGCTGGATGCGCTGGCTGCTTATGTATATCTTGTAAATGATATCGGCTTCTTACCCGCAAACATCATTGTCGAGGGTGATTCCGCAGGAGGAAATTTGGCTTTGGCACTGACGAGATATCTTGTTGAGTCCCAGAACAATGCTGAGGGTGTACCAGTGCCTTCACCGCCATCTGCGCTTGTTTTATTCTCGCCATGGGCAGATATGGGCCTGTCTCACTTCACATTCGGATCCATCGCTGCAAAAAATTCAGCGACAGATTATATTAGTGGAATGGCAGAGGTGGACTATGCACGGAGAATGTTCTGTGGCCAAAATGGTAAAGACTCTGTATCAGTGAATCCATACATGTCACCGGCTTCCATCGATCCTCGAATGAAGATTGATTTCAAGGGATTCCCGAGGACGTTCATCGTCGCTGGGGGAGCAGAAGTGCTACTGGGTGTAATTCGGACGCTCAAGGAAAGGATGGCTAGGGATCTTGGGGATAATAAGGTAGGATACTACGAGGCTACCGAAGGTATACACGACTACGTTGCCTTTACAGAGTGGGAACCTGAGCGGACGGAAACATACAAGGCTATTGCAGAGTGGCTGGCAAACCCAGTTCAAGCACGGTTCTCTAAGTAGAAATACCTTACGGCAATTTGCTAGTACCTTGTTCCTTTTGTACCACCACAATGTCAGACAGCATATATGCGCGGCGTCCATGGAAGTTCTTCTATCTGCTATACCAATTAACTGTTACCCTCGCCGTTCGTCTGCCTATATGGATTTTTCTTTCTATGATACGACGCCCACGACAGTCATGGAGCGTCTCGCGGACCGTGCTTGTGCAGCTCCTTCGACAATTCGTCTATATCACTGAAAAAATAGGTCCTATCTTGCCGTGGGAGGAACCCAGCCATAGAGAGCTCGTGCCCAACTCAGGTGGCGTATGGGTTGAGCCATTACCGTCGTCGGAAATATCTGATGAACTGCTGATGCTTGCCTCCGCGTCGGGGGCAATACCGGTTCGCATACCGGGGTATTGGATACCGGCGAGCTCATCATTGTCGCCGGCGAAGAAAGGAGAGAAGGTGCTGTATTCGTTGCATGGTGGAGGGTACTATGAAGGTAGTGCGCACCCATCGAGCCCCATGGCTGCCATTCCGACCAGCATACTCAAAAGCTGCTCATCCATCACATGTACATTCGCCATCGAATATCGTCTTTCAACGCAGCACGAAAATGCATTCCCCACCGCACTGTTCGATGCGCTATCGGGATATCATTACCTGATCAACGTCCTCCATATATCTCCCAGCGACATTATTGTCGAGGGAGACTCAGCTGGGGGGAATCTCGCTCTTGCTCTCACACGCTATCTTGTCTCAAACAAGACGAATCTCCCCGTGCCATCTTCATTGCTCCTTCTCTCTCCTTGGTGCGATATTGGTTTATCCCATGACGTGCCGTCGTCGTCGAGCACTCTGAAGCTGCATGCAGACTATGATCCCGAACCCCATGGCATTGATGACGTTAAACGAGCCTTCTTGGGGCGCAATGGGTGGGGGGCAGCAGAGATTAATCCATACATATCGCCTGCGTCCCGTAATCCGGCACTCAGCATTCACTTCAAGGGATTCCCGCCGTCATTTATTGTCGCTGGAGGCGCTGAGAATCTTGCTCCTCAGATACGTCTGCTAAGAGACAGGATGCAAAGGGATTTGGGCTCGAAACTTAGGTATTTTGAAGCCGAGGGAGGGTCTCACGATTATATTCTATTTTCTTGGCAGGAGCCCGAGAGAAGTAACGCGCTTCAAGAGATAGCAGACTGGATTTCTGCATAAGTTTCATGGAACTGTATCCTCTCGTTAGCAATTACTATCCTTCTTCTTTCCCAGCAGCTCAAAGTACACCGCGTGAAGGTCCTTCCACTTTGGGCGAGCAACATCAAACCCCTCCACGAGTTTGCTATACGTATCACCTCCCATACGAGCGACCACTTGCAATTTGTCTGGGTCGACGCTAGCACCATCACTGTCCAGAACCGATTCCAGGGCATGGGCATGTCGTATCGATCCCAGCACGACAGTCACCGTCGCCTCCGTGGCCCCGGCAGGTGTGATGTCTTGATAGGAATGAAGCTAAAGAATAGAACACATCAGTATCTAAACCCGGTATACGGTTCAAGAAATTCAATCGCACCTCGCATTCCATTGAAAATGGGCTCTCTTTCACTCGTGCCGGCTTGACCTGCGTCTGTGGGTAGCTGATAAACTTTGAAGGTGGACCAACCAAAAACAAAGCCCACACTCGGCTGCATAGTCAAGCCACTGAGAACCCACTCATCAGGTTCAGAAGATTCTACAGAAGTGATGTTGGCTGCCTCGACGAAAGACTGGCTGATCATGTTGACAGTGAATTCTTTCGTAGCCAGGATATTCTCCCGTGTGTCTTTCTTTCGCTTTGACGACAAACTAAATGAGATGCTGAGCATCGGGGGATTGGAGGATATCTTGTACGTAAAGAGTAAACAGTCAAGTCGAACACTTTTGGATGAATATACGAACCATGGAAAAGTAGCTAAATGGTGCCAGATTAGGTACGCCATCCTGTGATAAGGACGATGTGAGAGCGATTGGACGAGGTACAATAGCGGAGGTTAGGAGTTTGTATACGTCCCTGCAAACAGTATGTATGATGTGGCACCGAGTAGTACGATGGCATTGACCTTGTTGGCGTCTCCTCTAGGTTCCACGACTTGCGTAGCCCATCAGTAACTTTTCTCCATGACGACTGCACCTCCAAGAGCCCTTGACCCGCTTTCCATGTTGGTGAAGGCGACGCGGAGCGGGTAAATGTTGTTCTGGTGTTCGCTGGCACTAGTAACGTTCGACCCACACGCTTTCCTCCGAGTCGCAACATGAAAGACCAAATGCAGGTTGCGGGATCTCTGCGTGGGATTCATTGGATATCCTCTTGCTGCAGTGACTAATCTCTGGCCGATCTCGGACATTTTGTCAGTGAGCATTCTCCACGTCAGGCTTCTAAGCCTACTACCGCCATGCCAGGGGAGGTTATAAAACTAGACGCAATGGGAATCGTATTCTCGCTTCTTACTCATGGCTCCAAGCTCTTTGCAAGGCTTCTATGGCTACACTGACACTCTGTCCGGTGTCTTCTACGGTCCAGGGTCTGTGTCTACCGCACTGCCGACTCTTCTTTCGACGCTCGGAGTGCGGAAAGCACTGGTAGTGACCACGAAGAGTCTTGTTAACAAGGTGAGTTTCTGTACCCAGCCTTGCTGATTATCTTTGACGCACTGTCCTCAGACGGATGTGGTTAGAAAAATTGAGACAATCCTCAAGGACAATGAGGCCTACGGTACTACCTTCTACGAGATTGGAGAGCATGCTCCAGTCGCAGGCATACGGCGCGGTGTCAAGGTTTTTCATGACTACGAGTGCGATGTTATTGTCTCTGTCGGAGGGGGGTCCCCAATCGACGCAGCAAAGGCTATCCTCCACTACAACCAGGAAGAAACTGGTGGTCCTTCATGCCTTCAGATAGCCATTCCAACAACTTTGAGTGCCGCAGAATACACAGTAAGTACCATCTAATCCGTACAGACAATCTTGCCGACATCATTTAGATTGGTGCGGGCTTTACAGATGATCAGGGTCATAAAGTTGGGGTAACATCCCCGAAGCTTGCACCCGCGGGAGTCATACTGGATGCAGAACTGACTTTGTCGACGCCAGAGCGTTTATGGTACATTCCGCAATTGTGGCCTTGAGCTTGAATTTTAAAACTTTACTTATCTAAATAATTATCTTCAACATAGGCTGTCGACAGGTATTCGTGCGCTTGACCACGCCGTTGGTAAGTGACGCTGGAAGGATGTTACGTAACAAATGTGCTCAACTATATTCTCAGAGAATTTGTATAGAAACGAAACACCTCATCCCCTTAAGGTGCTATGCTACGCTGCAATTGCGGACCTTTTCACAAATCTCCCGGCATCGAAAGCTAACCCGCAAGATGTTGTCGTTCGCCAAAAGCTGCAAATTGCATCCTGGATGAGTCTATGGCCATTGAAGCTGGAACGGTACAGGTTAGTTTGGAACCGGTCATGTGTCGGAAAAACCTGATTCCTGGTCCAGTCCATTGGGGTTGTCGCATGCTCTAGGCCACCGGTTGGGAGCGACGTACGGAATCCCGCATGGTATTACATCGGTGAGTGCGGCTGATTCAATTACTATGGTTTAGCCGTGGGCGACGCGGAATTGATGAAAAAAGTGCATCACACTGGCACCAGTGGTGGCGCTCAAGGCGGAAATAGAATCGAAAGAAAACAAAGAGGCACTTTCCGAGGCGTTGCTCTATCTGCATCGTCTTACGACAGGCGATCTGGATCAGGATGTGTTGCTGCTTTCACAACTCATACAAGAGTGAGTGCAATTGAGTATAATTTAGTTTTTTTTTTTTTTTTATTACAAATATTTCATGCACACAGGTTGGTGACCTCACTTGGACTGAAGTCAAGCCTGGAAGAATACAAAGTGCCGAAAGAGGACGTAGAAAAGATTGCAGAACTGGCACTCGGTGGCAAAGAGCAGGCAGTGCATGGCAAGGTAGTCGCTGTATTACAGGGTCTGTATCCGAGCGGGGAATTGTAAATTCGATTACAATGGATTGCAGTGGGTTACAAATATCGATGAGCCTATAGCACGACATGTTTTTGTAAGAAATTGGAGAAGCGGACGACAAGCGTGATCTACGATATTTACGACTGCGATACTCCACGTCGTTCAGCCATTCCAGCAACAGGGTCAACGAACTGGCAGTGGGGACCGCATCAAGCTAACTGTCCAGGTATACGGTAAAGTGATGCCAACAGTACCCAAGCGTTGGCCCACAGCCCACCGTCTCCTACTGCCCTTGTCGTCGTCGTCGTCATTCTGCTGCACTCGGCAACTGCGACTTTCGCTGCCATCAGCGCACCTGAGAAAGTTCAACGTGTCCAGTTCGCGCAGCTATAAAACGCTTCATTTTTCGGAAAAACTTCCTTTTCACTTTCATTCTTTCTCTGTCCTTGCTACCATGGCCCAACGTCGCCAGCACTCAACCAAGTTCGACGACAAGAAGCCCGCCTCTAGCTCCGACAGTGCCCACAGCTCGTCCGATGATGAGCACTCTCATTCTCATTCTCATTCTCACTCTCACTCTCACTCAATATTTGGTCACTCTCATTCACATCAAGACCACGGCGATGCGGAGAACATAATAGCTGCGCTCGAGGGCAAAGGCCCGTCTCTCGCCTCCTTTATCTTGTCCCCTTTACTGATTTTCCCATATCTACAGGCGACAGAGGGAGCCGAGTGACACTCATTGGACTAGGATCCAATATCGGCCTCACTATAGTCAAGGGCGTCGCCGGTTGGTACCTACACTCTGCTTCACTCTTGGCAGACGCAGGGCATTCTCTCAGCGGTGCGTCCCTTGCCTTCCATCGCGTTTTTGCTGCCTGATATCACGCTCAGATATGCTCGGAGACTTTGTCACGCTCGTGTGCTGGAGACTTTCACGAAGACCACCGTCAGAACGGTACCCTTATGGATTCGCAAAGTTCGAAACACTCGGCGCGTCTACAATGTCGCTCCTTCTGATTGGAGGCGCCCTTGGCATCGGTTTCCATTCATACCACCTTCTGATAACTGCTCTTGCCGAAACCGCGTCGACTATGCCCACTGGTCCTCTCCAGGAGGTGCTGAACAACGTAACGCTTGTAGTTCCAGTACCTGAAGTATTGATGCACCATGATCACGTCCATGCGGTGGATCCGAACGCTGCATGGTTCGCTGCACTCAGTATATGCGTCAAGGAATGGATGTACAGACTGACCAAAAAGGTGGCAGATGAAGAACACAGCCCAGTTCTTCTCGCTAATGCCTACCACCATCGGAGCGACGCCTACTCTAGTTTAGTAGCGTTGTTTGCCATTCTGGGGACCTGGTGGTTCCCCGCTCTCCCGTTAGATCCTATTGGAGGTGAGTACCGTTAAAGTAACCACACGACCGACCGGTACCCAAATGACCATTGCTTCTGTACAGGTCTCCTTGTATCCATTGTCATTCTTAGACAAGGTTTAAGCCTTCTTGCGGGTTCATGGTCGGACCTCACGGATGCCAGTGTTTCCGCAAAAACCAAACATTCTCTCAAGCATACCCTTGATCCACTCCTGGAGCCCTCGTCATCACCCGCCCTCTTGGCAGTGCGCCATCTCCGTGCTCGACATGCCGGTTCATTAGTCTACGTCGACCTCATTGCCGATGTACCCAGCTCCCTCAGTGTGCTTCAAACCACTTCCCTAGAAGAAAAGATATCACAGACCCTGATGCAGGCAAGGAAAGAGGTAGCAGAAGTAAGAGTCAAGTTCCACCCCGTCAATACTTAGATCCTCCTTGATCTCGAGATGCACCTTGTCTATCTTTATTTTCATGGTATATGTATATTACACATTCGAGCCGATATTCTGCGGCGCAATGACGAGTTATTCACAACGGTTACAGGCGTGATGGGGTATCTAATCTGAGGAAATGTTCTGACGTGAAAGTGTGAAGTTCTATCTAGTGTGTGTTGTTATTGATATGCCGTTTATAACTTTGAGCGAGGCAAAACGTCGAATAAATCCGCGACGGTGTCTTGTAATTTTCCATCTCGAATAGCCTAAAGTTAACAGATTAGATCAGCAATTAATTGAAAAAATTCAACGTGGACAAACCTCAAAAATGGTCGTAATATTCTGACCAATGGTAACGTCGTCGACACCTAAACCGTTGGAGAAATGGCTAAAGTTCTCTGCCCCATGCATCCTGACACCGAGGGTGATACGAATGTACTCGTACACCGCTCGCGTCTTACCCAGGTAGGGACTAGCAGGTGCCGATCCCCGCCTGCCTGAAAGGTAGCTAGAGCGAAGCTCACCCATAAGCTTCGTAGCCTTGGAGGACACGTTCGTGCGGAACTGTGAGATGGTCGAGAGGGCATCATTCGTACGTGGAACAGCCTCGATCAGTGCAGGGATACAAGCCGTCGCAACTTCTTTCATTTGATCAACTGCGTCCATGGTGCTCGTCTTGTCCAAGGTGTTTTGAACCGTTTCCGACATGGAAGAAATGGAGATTTTGATTTCTTGAGAAGAAAGTTGAGACGTTAGGATTGCTGCGAGTTCTTCTGAGAGAATCGCTTGAAGCCCCGTATTCAACTCTCTTCGTAAAGCTCGCAGGTCGACGGCTAAGATAAGATAAGTCAATATACAATCCCGAGCGCGTGATATATCTAACTTACCTTGACACAACAGGTAGAGGTAGGAAGACATGAGCATGGTCAAAACCTCCAGAGCACTGACGGTCACACGAGCCGAAATCAACGCCAACGAACTGAACGTAAACAATCATTCAAATCTTTGTGATGTGGCGCGGAAACCGAGGGGCTTACTTGACAGCCTGGTTATGCATCTCCGCCGACTGAATATGGGTCGTAACCGGATTAGCCAGGTATCCCAGTTCCGCAACATACGCAGCGGTTGCGATATCAATGCCTTTTCCATGGTAATTCAAAGATGGATCTGAAGCAGCCAGAGACGGAGGCAAGCCGTGGTTCATGGCCGGATTTACGAGTTCGGCGCTTTGAGCGAAGAGTAGTTTCCCAATGTGATGAAGTGCCAGCCTTGTCTTTTCCATTGCGTTAGAGACCGCCATGGCTTGGAAGTTGCCGCCATGGTGAACTTGACCGGTTTCCCCATCTATGAGAGGATTGTCGGTGGCTTGGAAAACTCGTTAGTTGACCGACATCGCGTCGCAGAAGATAAAGATAACTTACTTGAATTGCATTCCTGAATCACCGTAGACAAGGCAGACAGAATGTCCTCAATTTGGGGTCCGAGGAACTGAGGTGCAGTCCTGAGAGGATACCGGTCTTGGCGCAGCGAGTATTTGTCCTGGCTGATGGATACCTCCTCTTTATGGGTTGAGGCCAATTTCGATCCTTGCAGGAGGTTCCATATGTGACTTGCTGATTCGACCTGAAAAGACGCGTCAAAAGGAGTCATAATACGCGTCAGACAAGACTGACTTACTTGACCAGGGTGTGGCCGGGCAGTAGCGTGAATAAAAGGAGCGTAATTTCCGAGGGTTCCACTGAGGGCCTCGGTACCGAGCGCAGTGCATATTTGGGCTAAGAGTGCCAAATGAGTGGCATCATTGAGGGCCAGAGAAGCAACTGAAGCAGAAAACGCAGTTCCGTTCAAGATTCCCAACCCTTCTTTGGAGACGAGGCTGATTGGCTTGATACCGTGCAAGGCGAGCGCATCCTTCGAACTGATCATCTTACGTGCGCCAAACTTCCTGGGGCCGTCAAAAACGCGAATAGAGGGGTTCGCAACTGTGATTGATCAACATGTCAGCCATATCTTGATCACAGTGTTATCGCACGGGTCCTTACTTAGCGTTCCGGCGATATAGGATAGCGAGGACAAATCTGCCAGTGTGTCAGAGGGTGAGTCGAATTTAGATATCAAGACTAGAATAGCATACCGCCGGATGCCGAAATGCTAGAGCGAAGAGGTACTACGGGAGTGATGTTTGCACGAAGAAGCTCGTTGATCTTTTCAAGTAGTTCCCATCTATATCTCGTGAGATGGAGATCAACAACTACAGACGACGAGGACAAAGTACCGGACACCTGAATGACCGCGAATCAGCGAGTTCATTCTCACTAGCATCGCGCCACTATGTCGAAAATCAGTGTTGCGTTTCGTGTCACTTGTGTCAAAAGACTTACCGGACCCAGGACTCGGGCATGCTGGTGGAAGCCATAGGGCTGAGTAATGGGAGAACGTCAAGCGTCCTATCCGAGCTCGGTAATATCCCGACATGCTGGTGTTGTAGCAACGCCTGTCCCAAATGCAAAGGTTTGTCGGTCCGAGTGTCAGCTGCAAAGGACATTAGTATTAGTATTAGCAGCCGCCTGTGAATTAAATTAAAATGACAAACCGCTTCCACCAAATCCAGTAGAGACCCCATATATGCTCGTTCCGTTGTCAACCTTGTCGGCTATGACAGCACGACTCTTCATGACAGAAGCTTTAACTTGAGGTGAGACGTCTAGGTCTACAGTGGCGTTGTATCTTGCAGCGGCTGTGACAGCAGCGATGGACAAAGTGTGGCCATCTACTTTGACCGCGCGACCATTCCTGAAAGCAATGTTTGTTGAGAAATCGCCTCTACAGAAATGCGACTTGCCTGTAGCTCTTGAGCTCCTTGTGGGAGTCCAAGAACTTGGTGAGCAGGCTGGAGGTGCTGTGGGCTCCTGAGACCCCACCAAGGCTGTTACCATGCTTTGTTTCGGAGTTGATGTCGTCGAAAACTGGAGCAGACATTGATGTAGATGGTGGTAATCTCCAAGTACTAGATAGATGGCTGGAAACGTTTTTATATACACTAAGGTTTTTATACCCTAAGACCGGAAAAGATCCGGGCAAGATCGAGGATCTGTTCGGAGAGATGATTTCATGAAAACCCTGCTGATGATTTGAAAGCATGTCAGACAGCCACAAATGTGCACAGATAACATAAAAGACAGACAAGAGGTAACATAATGGGCACAAAGGGAGGAAAGCCTTGGGGCAGAAATCCACGCTGAACGATTCATTCTCAAGCTAAATTCGCAGAGAATTTGTGATGGTATGAAGCCGTAGTTTCTGTTAGGAATTTCTCGCGAGACCAGAATACTTGACTCACCCACGTTATTGGTTCAAGATCCTGCCGGTCATGACTTTTGGGGTTTCAAAAGGGTGTCCGGCGCAAAGCAAATGGTTGAAATTTCAGGAGAAATGAGATCTGGGGGTTACATCCTACGAACAAGATCCGATAGCAGGCGACAGATGTGCTGCAATCCAAGCAAGTAGAAAATGGTCAAGGCAAATACATATGTGTGTCATGACGTAACAACACGTGAATACAATCATCGGTGAGCAAGGCAAGACACTCCCAGAAATCCCGGTCAGATGATCATGCGCGCCAAGAACGCGCTCTCATTCCGACTTAATAATATCTTCAGCCATACTGATGTACGTCAGCACGCTCATGTCACAGCGGCCGTTGTCTAATACGGACAAACACGCCATTCCCTTCTTCCCTAACCACGTCCATCCCTACCTTTCCCTCCCTTCCTTCTCCTCATACCACCAGACAATCCTCTTTTTCTTATTGCATGGACGAAGATTCCCCACCCATCCCTGTATCTGACCCAGTTCCCGCTCATCATGCCAGCCCAGTGGTAGCATTCATCATCGGTCTCGCGATTGTCCTGCTGGCTTCCGTCCTGAACGCGGCCGGGTTGAATCTGACAAAGTTGGACCACGTTAGTATTCAATGTGTACCCATCTCGGGCTATTGCATCGCTCTCCTAACCTTCCTTCTCTTTGTCAGGTCCGAACGCAGGCGATACCCAAAGCATCACGAAGACAAGATTGGTTGAGACCGCTATGGCTTCTTGGCATGTTCCTATACATGTACGTGCATTGCTATTGCTACCAAGCTGATGTCTTATCTGTCGGCCCCCAAAGATTGTCGCAATTAATTGGCAGCACTCTTGCCTTGGAATACATGCGAGCTGGTAACTTCATCCTTCTCGCCACTTGTATTCCATCTTCATGCATTGTCCAGAATACGTCGCTCCGCTTGGTTCCACTTCCCTTGTCTTCAATTTTCTCTTCGCTCGGTTTCTCGTCGGTACTCCAGTCACGAGCACAGATATCTACGTCAGTCTTTCGTCTTTCGTCTTTCGTCTTCCCTACTTCTCGCTTGTCTTACGGTAATATTCAGGGCACCATCGTCGTTGTCATCGGTGTCATTGGTATCGTTGCATTTGGATCCATCAATAGTGGTCTTGCGACCGAGACCGACGTCGAACATCTCACTCAGTTATGGAGACGAGGAGGATGGCTCGGTTTCTTCTTCCTAATGTCCTTTGCTCTGATTTTCCTTCTTTATTTTACATCAAAACTGGACGACTTATTAGGCACCAGAGGAGACATCGTCGGTGACAGTAACAATACTATCACCCATGGAGGCCAAGGCTCAGGTTTTGTGTCTGCTGCTAGAAGCGTCTGGGCATTTTTGCAGCGGCGTGTCACAGATTGGCTTGAGCTATGGACCGCTCCAAAAGACGACAAGACAATTGCTTGGACTCTTGGTATTGGTTGGGCATGCTGCGGTGGTGGATTGGCGGGAGGAACTTTGGTATTTGCTAAAGCAACGTAATTCTATCGCTTTTCAACTCAAATCACACTTCTGATCGCTTCAATCTTAGAGTGAAACTTCTCTCCGGGTCTTTGTCACACCAGAACCCGGGCAATCAATTCGGCCACGTCGCGCCCATCTTCACCATTGTCCTGCTAGTGATCACTGCCGTCCTTCAGATTGTCTGCTTGAACCGCGGACTGAAGGTTTATGATTCGACTTTGGTCGTTCCTGTGTTCTATGGTGTATACACTGCTACAGGGTTCGTATACATCTACTTGACTCATACACGCCTCTTTGTTTACCTTTCTTGCGCTTCAGGTTCCTTGATTCCTTGGTGAGCACGATCCACCTTTCGTCACCCTCCTCATTTATCTCTGTTTAGATATTCAACAACGAGGTCGACTCATATCAGTCATGGACCTTGTTCCTCATCGTCGTCTCTATCCTCATCCTCATCTCGGGCGTAGTGCTCCTGACACATAAAAAGCCCGAGCCCGGTTCCAAGGCCTCGGTGCCCCCATCCGCACCTGTCACTTCGTCCAGTCCGCGCGGCAGAAAATGGAAGAGAGCCAACGCGAGCAAGGCCGATCTTGCCGGGGACGCCGACGACCATCTTCAGAACGACGATGAAGAGCAGGTTTTATGGACGGTAGGAGATGTCAGTGATGCCGAAGAAATGGAAGATGAGGACATCGACCATCATCAGCACCCCTTGAATCTCCAGCGTAATACGAGCGACGCGCCACGAATAGTGAAGGCGGATATCCCTGGGGAAGAGGGGGTGAGATTGATGAAAGACTCAGAAGATACTGATAGAGACTCCGATGAGGAGGGTGATGCCGACACTCAACGACATCTCGTTGATACTCCTCCTCAAAATTCGCATAACGAAGACCCGTTCAAGGACGAGTCCGAAGAGTTTGGGGCATGGACGTCTGTAGGCAATACGCGATAGTTTCTTTTTACCAGTGGTCAACACAACGATTATAGTTTTTAGATTCAATACTGTACTATATCACTTTCCTCATATCTACTCGATTCCTTCGCAATATTCGCTTAATGTTCTATGTACAGCCTAGTCACTGTCTAAGCCCCAACGTACCAAAATGGAAAGCCTTTCTGCATGCTACCACCATGGCTCCCCGCGACAATGATTTTATGGATGCAGGCTCAGACTCTGATATATCTTTAAGCGATGGTGCCTACACCGTTTCCAAAGGGAAGGGGAAAGGAAAAGCAACGGACAAACGAAAACGAGATGACAAAGGAAAAGGGAAAGCAAAGGATGTCGTGCGTCGTCCTTTTTCGTGTTTGAAAATTGACTTGAACATGAAGACAGCAAGCATACACCTGGGAAGCATCTTATACGCGCTCATGGGATACTGTCCGAGAAGATGAAGCCGGGAGCCTGCAAAGTGCCGTCGAAGATTGGATGACGAGGGGTCGACGGAGGAGGTACCAGCCATTGGGTGACAGATAGTACTCGGTCTAACACTGCTCTAAGACTACAGGCGCCTGCTGCAGCAATACGACGGTCTATTATCCGACATCTTGTTCTCTTACTGGACCTCTCTACCTCTATGCTCGACAGGGACATGCGACCAACGCGGTTTACCTTGACCCTTCAGTATGCTCGGGAATTCATCTTGGAGTGGTTTGACCAGAATCCGTTGGGGCAGATAGGTATCGTGGGTATGCGTTCAGGCATAGGAGAACGGATATGTGAAATGTCTGGTAATTTCTCTCGGCTTTAGGCTGGTGAAAGTGAGATGATTCCCTTCCTCAAGGAAATCCCCAGGAAGTTCTCAAGACTATATCGGATAGACATAAACTCTTACCGGCGGGAGAACCAAGCTTGCAAAATGCAATTGAAATGGCACGGAATAGCATGAAGTACGTGTGATATTTTCTACGTGCATTTTTTGTACTGAATCCTGCTAGCCATCTACCTACGCATTCCTCGCGCGAAATCCTCATCATATTTGGTTCTTTGACTACCTGTGATCCTGGAAACATCCATGACACGTTAGACTCCTGCGTAAGATACAAAATAAGAATTTCTGTCGTTGCACTCGCTGCAGAGATGAAGATATGCAGAGACCTTTGTGACAAAACAGGCGGTAAGAGGGTTGACTTCATGATGACCTTCCTCATTTATTTTCGATAGGTCAGTTTGGTGTTGCGATGAACGAGGGACACTTCAAAGACCTTTTATTCGAACTTGTGCCTCCTCCAGCACAACAAGCTTCTACTCATGCAGGCTCGACTAATCCCGCTGGGGATTTGATGATGATGGGATTCCCGACACGTCTCCCGGATGCGTCACCACCAAGCCTGTGTGTATGCCACTCAGATCTCAAGAGCGAAGGTTACATCTGTCCTCGGTGTCTGGCCAAAGTCTGCGACGTGCCGACTGACTGCGATATTTGTGGATTGATGATTGTGAGTTCTCCGCATCTAGCTCGGAGTTATCACCACCTGTTCCCTGTGAAGCCGTTTGATGCTGTGTGAGTGTCTCTACTGCGCGTTGCACCCAAAATCTGATATATGAACTCTATAGAAAATCATTGCAAGAAGGAGGTCCATCACCGACATGCCACGCATGTGCACGAGCTTTTCCGACGACAGCACTCTCTTCTACTGCAGAAGGCGTGAGCGCGGTAGGTAGGTATCGATGTCCGGAATGTCGAAACGAGTTTTGCTCTGAGTGCGATGTTTTTCTGCACGACGTCGTACATTGTTGCCCTGGATGTGGAAAATGACATTTTCAAATTTTGGGGGTGGCCCTGGGTCGCGCGTTACCTGTGTAACATTTTTAGGTCATTTCCCATGTCCAATTTTTGGGCGTTTTGGTGGCAGCCGATATCTTTAAGTTTTCTTCTCAAGCAATGAACACGTTGGCGCTTTTTCGAAGAACTTCGAATGTTGAAGGTTTGTTGATAACATAAAAATGTGGCGCAGAGTCTGGGCAGACAGTGGGTCATAAAGCTGAAGTCTCGCTTATCCAAGATACAGCGAAAGTGTCGAGTAAATGGCTAGTCATTGGCAGCATCTGCCATTGAGGTGGATAGCTGACGGCGTGACGCTGAGGTTTGTTTCGTACATTTACCAGGATAGCCTTAGTCGGAAGTTCGGACCGAGTTGGTTCATTTACGAAAATCTGAAATCGAGTCACACGGTGTCAGGGGGCTACGCGACCACGTGATTGAATTCTTCAATTCTCACTCATTTGTGAAATAAGACGCGTCTTTCACCTAAACAGGCAGCTCGTACCACCTCATTGAACATGGTCCGTGCATCCAGAAAGGCGCCAGCAAATCTTGGGAAACCCATCACCGACTTCTTCTTCCCCAAGTCTGCTGTTCAGCAGTCTGCCACTGCGTCTATGGGCTCTAGCCCAAATAGGACGAGCAGATTTTCGACAAGGACGGAGGTTAAGTCCAAATCAGTTCAATTTTCAACGCCAGTTACACCTGTTGGCGAAAGCATATCGATTTTGACAGGCAGGGTCGGCGCGTCGACGAGAGAATCTTTGGCGACGCGCGGGAGCCTACAGAACGCAGCGAAATCATCGAAGACACTACTCTCGCCCTCTGTATTGACTCGACAGCACTCCAGGACTCCGGATATGCATGCAGGGCGGTCAGTAAACAACACCAAGAGCCCAACACCCTTATCACCTAGTCAGCATGTAACGACCAAACGCAAAGCAAAGTTTGACCTGGATGACTTGGGCGCCGATTCAAAGGCGAACGATGCCGTTGTGTATATCCCACGCTCCTCTACTCGACCTCCAAACATATCTGCTCACATAGCTCCTCACGACCTTCCCCAGACCGACAGAAAGCGACTTCGCTTCTCTTCTCCAGACACCAACACCGACGTCGTCCCTGGGAGCCTGTCAGATGAAGAGGAAATGACCTCTGAATTTCTCCCTCAGCGCGACGTGAACATCGCGAAGCCGGACGTGAATCAATGGCGTCATGGTACTACATCTCCTGTTCCAGCTGAGGATGCTGTAGCTGATAGTGAGGATGCATCGTCACCCATGTTTACTCCTGAAGAGAGCCCCTTTGCTTCTCGCCCCGCTACACCACCCGTTTTTCAGCAGCACACCCCACCACCAACCGATGTTTCTTCTGCATCTGCCCTTGTAGAATCGCCTACCATGGTCAGAACTGCAAAGCTCATAGCTGCGATCAAGGAGCAAGCTTGGCAAAAGGCGTTATCCAGTCCTGACATGACCATTCCAGAGTTCAAGGAGGACCTTGACAGCAGCAGTGACGAAGATGTTTTGCCCACCCAGCTCTTTGCCAAAGGAAAAGGCAAAGCGTACGTTATCGTTCAATATTTCCGGAAACCATCTTACAAACAAAATTTATAGGGTACAACGGGACTTCAGTCCCTCTGCAAGGCCCAGGCGTAGTCTTCGAAGTAAGGTTTCACCCTCCAGCTCACGTCATGATTCGATTTCTCCTCCTCGCGCCTCGAAACGGGCGCGCATCGTCCCCTCCAGAGGGCTTGTTATGCTTGCGACGGAGGCACCCAAAAAGAAGTCCGTCAATCCGATTGACACTCTTCTGAGAGAAAAGAAACGCGGTGAAAGCAGCGGTGGGGGCGCTGCTGGACTTCTCCGCGCAGAAAACGCTCTTGCTAGTGGTAATGTAGAACTCCCTTTGGCTGCGGAGAATCTGGCATTAGACACAATACGACACCAGGCCGACCTTCTGAATGGGAGTTCAACAGATCCGATAGACGTTGGCGATATGTCGTTCGACCAGGAAGGGGGACAGAGGTTACTAGGAGAGAAGCGCGGAAAGGCTGTCTTGGATATTCTGGAAGGCGACAAACGCAAAATCGAACACATCAGGATGCATCAGAAGTATTTAGGTGTACCCCTGTGGGACGACGAACCCAAGGACACCACGATGGATTCGGCAAGTCTACATTCGTTCGACGAAGAAGATACGCCGGCCCTGAAACTCCTCAAGGATGCCATCGGCAAGCAGAGTCAATTCTCATTTATCTTTTCCGTTGACACTCACTGATTCCATGTCAGATACTGCGCAGGCTGCGTTACTGTTAGAATCTGGAATCTTCCTCAACGTCAATTCACGGAAAAATCCTTCTGTCGTTCCGTATCTATGCCATTTAGGTGCTCAACTTCTAGCCAATTTGCTTCTTTCTGGATCCTCAGACTTCTTTTAGCACTGTGCTTTCACGAAGGTTCCTTATCATTTGCGGCATTTTCAGCCCTCATCAACATATGGTATATGCCTGATTGTCGAGCCTGTGGAGTGTCGTTTGACTCAATACTTGCCGCCATTACACACCTCGGCGCTAAGCCTTCGGTTATTGAGTCACTTGGTTGGTCACAGCCGTCTGAAGTGGCCATTCCACCTGCAAGGAACGAAGAAACCTTATATCGCTTGGTTGCCATGGTGACTATGAGTGCAAGGTCTGCTTTCTTGCAACCGCTATTTCTGAAATGCTTACGCGCGACTGGTCTAGATCGGGAGGACTGATTATGGAAGAGATCCCAGATATATTTATGATCCTCCTATTGATTGCACTTGATCCTTCGAACTCGAGTGAAATACTGCTAGATGTTGTCAAAGCAGTCGATGCTTTGTGTCGTTCAATCGCTCCAGGAGACAGCATTTCTAAGTCAATTGTAAGCTGTCCAGAGTGTCCCACCTTCTACACTTTAGGAACGTTTGTGTAGGAAAGTCGTATTTGCAGCAAAGTCGCCAAACATGCCCTCGATCTGGCCCCTATCAATAAAGCACATATGATATCCTTCATCTCTGCGGGTACTGGGCGTGCGCAACGGATTGCAAGAAACATTGTTCACTGTGTTCTTACTGGAACGGAAAGTATATCTGCGGTAAGGATTTACTGTACTTCATCGACACCACTGTTGGCTTGACATTTACGCCCGTAGGACATATACTCAGACCTACCCCCTCTCACGGAGATCATCGACACGATCTTGACATCTGATATTTTCAACATTTGCGACGAGACGGATTACGTTGACTTAGGTTTCTGGACTGAACTATTAGCGGTCGCCCTTTCAAATATCGAAGGTTATGTTGCACAAGAAATGAAACACCCTCCGCCTATCGGTAGCCCTAGCAAATCTGATAAAACACACACGGTTCTGCAGCTTGTTCGGCAAGCCATCGAAGATGTGCACTCAAGGATTGGTACGTAGCTGCTCGCACCTGACCTGGCTTGTTTACTCAAGATTCTGTTTTCTTTTTAGATGATACACGTGCGGCGCACCTGGACCGTACACGCACCAAGCTGTCTCTCAAAAAACTGTCCATGCGACTGGCGTATCAGTATAAAGCTGCCATAGATGTACAGAATAAGCACATCCATCAGTATTTCAAGAAACCTGAATAGATTCGGACTTATTATTTAACGAGGAAGCTCGAGTATTATTACTGTTGTCACCTTTCACAATTGTGGGGACCGCTTGACACCCGCTGGATGTTTTACCAAGTCTGTACTAAGTGAATATGTTTCCATTGAATGCTCTGTCATAACGTATCTAAATCTACAACCCAATTCCCCGCCGGGCCACTCTCCGCTTCAGCTTGTCTAGGGCTGTGCGCCTCAGGTTCAGGTGGCGGAGTAAGGTCAAGCTCTATATCCCACACCGGACTAGGTGATCTAGGAAGTCGAGCAGGTGGAGACGCTGGTGTCGCTTCTTCCTCTTTACCCTTTGAGCTCGAGTTAGCGGCAGTAGTGGGCTGAGCATTAGATTCCCGCTCCTTGATGGTAGAGAGCACGGCAAGCGAGGTGGTAGCATTGTTCCTAAACGGCTTCTCAAAAGCATTTTTGATATTCTTGGTTTTGACCTGTCCGAATCCAGGTAAATTTTGAAGCTGAGTTGTTTCTGCTTTCGCGATGTTGGCAAAGCTCTGCGATATGAGGGTAAATCGCGTACCAGAATGACAGGGATGAGAGGAGTCATACCCCAAATGATGCACGAAGCGTCTCGACGTCCGTCTTGTTGACTTTACTAATACTTGTCAGCGACGTCCGGAGCATAGAAACATAATCTCTGTCGGCGCGTTCTTTGATGAGATCTGGGGGCTTGTGTTCGAATTGCTTGAACGTTGAAAGATAATGGCCGGCCTCCTCAAATCTGGATCCATGAGGGATACAGCGACAGACAGGGTACAAGATGAGCGCACGAAAAGGCCACAACGATAGTGATGTTATTAATGAGACACGTCTGGTTCCTGCAAGTAAATTTCGGATATTGTCTGAATGTAGAGGCAACTGGCCTTTGTCAACTCTCGTATCGGTTCTTTGTGCTCGCTCTGTGCAGATCGGCTTTCTTGGACCATGATGATGGGGAAAATGCTCACGATATCTGAGAGAATCAACAAGATCCTTAAATTATAGGAATGGCCCAGTTTTTCGATGCGAATATGGATATATTCAGGATGAAGTCGATGGTATTTCAGACTGGATAATACTTTGAAACGATGGCTCCGAATATATAGAATCGCGTACCTAAGAAATAGAACTCCAGTCGTCTTCCCAACCTGGTAATCCGCGACAATGTCTCCATACTCTTTGCCGACATTTCGAATGCATTCCAGAACAGGATTGCCGCGCTGTGAAAGGCCTAAGACCAGTATCTAGTTGGATGACGGCGCGTTGTTCACCTGTAGAGGATTGAGAATGACGCTATTTCCCAAGCTTGGTACGACAATTGGAGGTGCCGGGGCACTAGCACTGGCAACGGTCCCACTCGTCATGCGAAAGGAGTTAGAGTCAGGTTGGTGACGTCATGCTCAGCAGTAAGTACAGTAAGTAAGCAGTGCATTTTCTACTCAAACCCTCATCGACATCTCCTTCAATTTCCCCGCCGCTCTGTCGATATTTCCACTGCCTTTGAGTACTGCGTGTTTGGCCTGTTCTGCAGAGCATTTGAGTGAAACATCCACTGTTCCTCGATGCGGTGTGCGAGTAGGATAACCTGCGGTTGCAAGGCGTTTGCCGAGTTGGGCAGAGAAATGAGCGGAAAAGTGTGGGAAATATACGATTGAAACTCCGCTAAATGGAAAGCGCGTCGCGTCCGTCGTCTTTTGCCTCTTGTTCTCATCTCCATCATGGTACGTTGCTCATTTTCCGTATATATTAGAGCCTTCTGACATTTCCTAGTCTCAACATCAGACACCTCGACGTGCAAAAAGGAGACGCGAGCCATCTGCTGATCCTGCATCGTCGCCACCGGTCCAGGCGGCGCCCCAGCGTCGTCTTTCGCAGTCGTCTCTGCCTCCTTCCTCCCCGCTTGCGCCATTCTCAGACACTGATGATAGTCTTGATGATAGAGATGCCGTTCGGGACGTAGAAGATGACGAAGATGACGAAGGAGAGGATCTCTTCGCTGACAACCTTGAGGAGTAAGCTAGCACAGCACGCCACGCGTCTAATCATTCTCTGACCGCAATTCGTAGAGATTACACTGAAAATGAGCTCCTGGATAAATATTCAGATGCGGGCATCGATGACGACGAAGATCTCGATGAGATATCCGTAGAGGCGCGCCGGAAAGCCGAATTAGCAATGGCGCGTAGAGACCGCAGGGAACGTGCAGGAAAGAAGGGTACACGCGCAGCGCAACGAAGCCGTGTCCCGGACTTCCTTTTAGATAATGATATAGATGCCGAAGACGAGACCGATGATGACCTGGGCGTATCCAGGATGAAGAGGCGCACGCGGCGAGTATACGACGAGCGAAGGGATGCAGACGATATGGATGGTATTGAAGATGTATGTTCTTTCTCCTCTCTTTTCTGTCTAATCTGTCATTTCTCACTTTACTCACAGGAACTACCCGTGGAGCAGCTGAGCGACATCAAAGCCAAGTCTATTGTCGAATGGATCGCCAATGAACGCGTTAGACGTTCCATCATCCGTCATTTTCGTCATTTCCTCATGACATATGTCGACGAAAGCGGTTCATCTGTTTATGGAGCGCGCATCCGTAACCTAGGAGAAAGTATGTCCCATCTCTCAACCCTCTCATCTCAGCCCCTTATTAGTCTCCAGCCAATGCCGAATCTCTTGAAATTTCATACCTTCACTTGGCTAATTCTAAGCCTATCCTGGCCTACTTCCTCACCAATTCACCTGTCTCCATGCTCAATATCTTCGACGAAGTCGCCCTCGCTGCCATCCTCGTGTACTATCCGGCCTACGAGCGCATTCATTCCGAGGTGCACGTCCGTATCGCTGATCTCCCATTGAGTTCTTCTCTTCGCGACCTTCGTCGGTCAAATCTGAACAATCTTGTTCGCATTTCTGGTGTTGTCACTCGTAGAAGCAGTGTATTCCCGCAACTCAAGTATGTCAAATTTGATTGTCGAAAATGTGGAGCCGTCCTTGGGCCGTTTTACCAAGATGCAACGACGGAGGTCAAGGTTAGCTATTGTGCAGTCTGCGAGAGCAAAGGGCCGTTTCAAGTCAACTCCGAACAGGCAAGTTATTTTCTCCATATTTTACAAAAATAGTGCGCTGAATGTCATCTTAGACGATATACAGAAACTATCAGCGTATGACATTACAAGAATCCCCTGGATCTGTTCCAGCTGGTCGCCTCCCTCGTCACCGTGAAATTGTCCTTCTGTGGGATCTCATTGATAGTGCTAAACCAGGAGAGGAGATCGTGTGTTTGCTCCGTATCGTCACTGGTCTCAATTTTCCTCATCTCTCTTTGTAGGAGGTTACCGGTATCTATCGCAACAACTTCGATGCATCCCTTAACTCACGTAACGGATTCCCCGTCTTCTCCACTGTCATCGAGGCCAACCACGTGAACAAGAAGGAAGACCTCTTCGCCGCCTTCCGACTCACTGAAGAGGATGAGCGCGCAATGCGCGCCCTTGCTCGTGATGAGCGAATCCGCAAGAGGATCATAAAATCCATTGCTCCTAGTATTTACGGACACGAAGACATCAAGACGGCCATTGCCCTCTCCCTTTTCGGCGGTGTATCTAAGGATATCAACCACAAATTACGAATTCGAGGTGACATCAATGTTCTCCTACTTGGTGATCCAGGTACCGCAAAATCTCAGTTTCTCAAGTACGTGGAGAAGACGGCGCACCGCAGTGTGTTTGCAACAGGCCAGGGGGCGTCTGCTGTCGGTCTTACGGCAAGCGTACGCAAGGATCCGGTGACCAGGGAATGGACATTGGAAGGTGGCGCCTTGGTTCTGGCGGACAAAGGGACATGTCTTATCGATGAGTTCGACAAGATGAACGATGCAGATCGGACGTCCATTCACGAGGCGATGGAACAGCAGTCCATCTCCATTGCGAAAGCGGGTATAGTGACGACACTGCAGGCGCGCTGTGCAATTATCGCTGCTGCCAATCCTATCCGTGGGAGATATAATCCCACGATTCCATTCCAGCAGAACGTGGAGCTGACGGAACCAATTCTGTCTCGGTTCGATGTTCTGTGTGTAGTAAAAGACAATGTTGACCCTATTATGGATGAGTTGCTGGCGAGATTCGTGGTGGGAAGTCATTTACGGAGTCATCCCAAATTTGAGAAAATGTCGGATGAGATGGATGTGGGAACGACGCTAGATGAAGATGTGAGTCGTTTTATGCATGTTTATGATCTTTCGGAGGCTGATTGGGTTATATATAGATCATACCCCAGGACGTGCTCCGCAAGTATATTATGTATGCAAGAGAAAAGATACGCCCCAAGCTGTTCGACGTGGACCAAGAGAAACTGTCCAAGTTGTTTGCGGACCTGCGTCGCGAGTCGATGGCTACTGGCTCCTACCCGATAACCGTTCGGCATTTGGAGAGCATGATACGAATGGCAGAAGCAAGCGCAAAGATGGCTCTCCGAGAGTATGTTCGTGCGGATGACATTGACTTAGCCATCGAGGTGGCTGTGAATAGTTTTGTCAGTGCGCAAAAGATGAGCATTAAGAAGACTTTGCAAAGAGTAAGTCAACATTTTCCCGAGTGATTCTCTCCAACGTGCTGACGATTTTATGCAGGGCTTCAGAAAATACCTTACACAGTCGCGAGATCACGAAGAGCTCTTGGCGTTCTTGTTAGGTCAACTAGTGAAGGACAGGGTGCGGTTCCTCCAGTCGTTGCGCCACCAGCAACCAGAAATTGTCACTGTCAAGCTCACGGACTTGGAAGAACGGGTGAGAGAAGGTCCTCTCCGTAATTCAGATAAGCTGACAACTATCTGTAGGCCAAGGAGCACGACATATTCGATATCGCTCCTTTCTTGCGGTCAAAACTGTTCTCTACAAATGGATATAAGATGGTCAAGGAGAATGATGGGCAGAACGTTATCGAGAAGAAATTCAGGATTGACTGAGCCACTTTTCTTGTAATATTTGTGTATTGTTTTGCTCATGAGATGTGTGTTAATTATGGCTATCCAACTGAGTGGCGAAGTGAAGTCTAAGAGCGCATTATGACGGAGGTGCAGAGAGCTGGCTGCTTTTCTTTTGAGGCTGCTGTTCAGATTCTGCTGGAACAACGGGTGATGGTGCATCGGCGGATGCTGAGGCAGGTGTCTCGTCTTCATCATCTTCCATGATATCTAAGAAGGATTAGAGTTGGCCTCGAGAAGGAACAAGAAAGAAATACCTGGCCCATATACATCAGGGTGAGCCCGGAAACAAGTTTGCATCGCCTGAAACTTTTCAACGCAGTTGATACCCTTCGGCTCGTCTTCAGAGTGCACAAAGCAGGAGAAAGCGACACGGAATTCTTGCCCACAAGGCCCGTGCGCCATTCCACCGAGACATGGGCAGTCCCAGTTTATTTCGCCGGTTTCTGGGTTGTATGCACCTCCGCTGCCTCCGCTGCTTTCACTCTGCGGCTCTTCCGAGGTTGTTGTTGAAGGTTTCTTTGTATTCTCCTGTATCACAACAGCTGAGGAATCATTGAATGAACGGTTTTTCTGGCCCATAGGAGAGGCTCACCAGCTTCAGCATCGAGAGCAAGAGGTACATGGGTCGCCCGCCATGCGAGATAAGTAGCGACGGCTGACGCACCAAGAACAATACTTGCCCTTGAGAATTTGGGCGTCCGTGAGGCGGCGGTGGTATGAAGACAACGATGAAGAGGCAGACGCGTCAGACGGAACATGATGATAAATTACTAGCGTCAAACTCGGCAGGAATGCTAAGCAAAAAGCCTCAAAACTAAACATATGTAAATAGTCTCCTATTTCAAATCATTTAGCGCCCGTGCGACGATTCCTGCTCCCTCCCCAACTTTCTCCCTCTCCTCCTCTACTACTCTGCCCAATAGCCTCTGAAATCGGTCTGGATGCCACGTCAACTGCGCACTGCGAATCCGCTCTTTGCGTGACTGCGTGCCGGGGTATGCGAATATGAAGCTGGCGATAGCAGCAGGAGATATGTCGGATGGCGTGGCTGGCTGGATTCTCTGCGGCCATGGAATGGAGGAGAATGATAACGACGACGATGACGAGTGAACGGCTTGCCATCGCGCCTGATAGTCTGTCCATGTCATCTTTGGTGGCCTTTCCTTTGTCCTGGATCTGCGACTTCGTTTCCCCGCGATTCTGCTGGCTATCTCCTCGACGGTCTGTCGGTGCTCGTCAGCACGATGCCTTTCTGCTGCGGCCCGCTGTTTTTCATCTATACCGGCACCGTAGATCGTCCGCATCTGCTGCTCAAACACCCACTGCGCCGTCGCCCAGCGCTGCTCTTCTACCCAGATGTACGTATCCACCATAGACTGCCATGGCTGGGTCTTCCTCTTCGAGTTGGTATACGAGCGCTGCTTTCGTTGGTCTGCCATGGTCAGGCTGTTTGGATGATGCTCATGTAAAGGTGGATGGCAATATATCCTAGCCTTGGATGTGCATGCACACCTCATGCGCGCCTTGCTGCTACCAACGTGGGGGGGACGGCGTCATATCGGCGCCCTTTACACGTCTCATCTGCTTCGAATGACAATTTGTATCGGCATCGATAACGGAATAGTACACATGCTGTAGCTATTATGTCCCAATAATAAATCACATTCAATAAATAATCCTGCCTTGGCTCTATCATGTCGAACAGAAGCCTGAATCACTGACATGTTCACCCTTGGTCGAAAGAGCCTCCAATCTTACGGAATCTGCACAAGTTGGACAGAAGTCGAGTAGAAGAAGGAATGAAGACTCACTAAAATACACATGGGCCTGGGCCTCATGCGCTGTTAGGCGTTCGGCATGGTCATATCGTAGTAGTTTATCCAACAGATCCAATGCCTCCCCAGACGCAAGGTGCTGCGTCTCGCTTGTCACATACTCCGTCCAGCCCCGTTTCGTGTAACTGCGATCTATGTCAGTCCATCGGTTTCGAGAGAAAAGCACGCACTGACCTCGCCAATAGTGCGTCATTCTCGGTCTCAAAGTTTATATCATACTTCTGGAGGTACAGATCAAACTTGTCCGTCCCAAGTGTCTTCAGTATCCTGAGCAGCTGATCACCGTTGTCTGAGCCACGCCAGAAATGTTCTCTCCGGAAGGTCATCGATGCAAACATACATCCCAGACTCCAAAGGTCGAGACTGTAATCGTACTTGCGGTAGCCCACGAGCAATTCGGGCGATTTATAGTAGCGTGAGCCGACCCGGATATGGTAATCTGTACCAGGATGATAGAATTCGGCAAGACCCCAGTCAATGAGGCGCAGCTGCGAAAGTCGTTGGTTGATCGTTTCAGCAAGCATGACAATGGCCAACCTTGCGCTGTAGGTGATCTATCATAACGTTCCCCGGCTTGACGTCCCGATGCATGATTCCATGCGAGTGTACAAAATCTAGGGCCTGCAGTCGTCACTAAAGGGGCCAGACACAAAAGTCGAATCACATACTTTGAGCATTTGGAACATGTACAGCTTGACGTCCGCTTCTACCAAGCGTCCAATGAGCACCTTCCAATCAACGTTCTCCACATATTCCATGATCAAACTGTGGTATTTTCCCGACGCTGGTGCCACCGCATCAGCGACGCACAGAAAAAAATGTCGGGCAACGCACGGTCCCGCACGACGTCAATCAATCCCACGACGTTCGGGCCACCAGAGAGGTTCCTGAGCACTTTGATTTCCCGCTTCACTTTTGTCTTCGCAACGGGTTTGAGCACCTTGATGACACAGACGTCGTTGTTTGCTGTATCGATGCCCTCGAAGACCTGAGAATCATTGAGACTGGAATGTAGCGAGCAAAGCGTCAAGACGCACCTCTGAGTACTTTCCACCACCCATCCGTCTCACAATCTCATACCGGTCGGGCGGCGACCACTCAATCGTGGAATTATCTACCAACCATCAGTACTTGTCAGGACAGTGCAGGGCAGACGCACCGTAATCATACCACCCCTTCCCCAGGGTGGCGTTGACGCTTGCATATACACGAGCCATATGATGGGGCGCTATCGGTGCATTTAAATAATATAGAGACAGAGAAAAAGGGATAGGATATAGGCAAAAGCCTAAGTGCTGTCCGTATCGGTCTTGGTAAATACCAGTAAACTCCACTTTTCTTTTCCTTTGTTTATCCTTTGTCTCATTCGCCATGGTGAACGTCGCGACACATTTCAATCAAGCAAAAAAGGATTCACTCCTAAGGGACTCGTGGTTGCTGATTCTTTTGGATATTCTAGATCAGCATAACTGAATCTCATCGAATTCCAGCATCTGTGCCGTGGCAGCCTCATGCCAGTACCAATTCGTTTCCACGAGTCTATTAGATTTTGCTTTATTTAAGATCAGAACAGATTCCACATGTTGATAATGCCGCGTACAACACAATTGTATACCTAGTTAGAAGCAGAGTCGTAGAGATTAAGAAAGGCCATAACCAAATCAATAATAGTAAAAAAGAATTCGAAAGGCGGAGGTTCATGCAAAGCGATAATACTGAGCGGAGACATCAGAGAAAACATACACAGCCTAGAATAGATTTGGTGAGAACGAGCAATTGATTAAAGTCTGACCAATGCATGTTAGCATCCCGACTTCTTTCCCAAGGCTAAAAGACTTACAGAGAAAAACATCTCCTAACGTTACTGTCATGATACCCCTGGAGCAGGCGCTCCCACCTGCAGATACGACAACACCAAAGCAATTGAGCTGTTTTGCAAACACTGCATCTCCAAATCGCGGCCCGTCCACACAGGATGGTCATCTCCGCTGGCATCTTCCTCTGCCGCATCGGTGCTAATCTGTCCGCTAGACAGGTCCAGCTCATTTCTGCCCGCCCCATGTCGATGATACACTTGGCTACGCGACTTGGACCTGACATGCATGCTCTCCAGCTTAGGCTTCCTTGTTCCGCTCAGCTTTTCCATTGCCTTATGGATCTTGGCAATAGGACCAGCCGCCGGCTCAACTAGCGTCTCCTGCAACACCCTGAAAGCCATCACCTCCGTCGCCCAATGGAACGTCCCTGTTCCCGATGTCTGTGAAGATGAGACATCATCACACCGTCTGCGCAACTCTGCTACCCATTGATGCTTTTTCACCGGATCGTCCACACTGAACATATACCGCCTCTTAAGTCCATGGTGGTTTTTAAAGGCAACCTGGAACGTATTGCGCATAAATGCTCTCTCCACAATGACAGTGTTGCTGAGCGGGAGCCCACTGTATCTCACCGCGTTCGCACCCGACCGATACATGAGCATTGTCTTGGGTCCAAGCGAGACACCCGTCACACGGAAAGAGGCCTCAGATGACTTGGCAAACGTCAAAACGGGTGGATCAAAGACCAGCCCTTCCCCGTAAAGATGGAGGCTCAAGTTGGGGTCGGCTTGAGGCAGACGAAGAACAACTGGCTCAGATTGCCGTCTGTAAGTCAATCGTGCTGGCAGCGGGCGCTTAACGTTTATCGTGCAGTCCAACGAACCCGATGGACGAGCCATGGAAAGGTGTTCCCGCATCGTCGCGTCAAAAACTTGTTTCAGGACCTCATCAGATACGAAACAACGGATATCAACGCGTCGAAAAGCTTCGATGAACTCGCGGCAGCTGACTTGTTGTCGGAAAGGTCCTGTAGGGCCAGGCTCTTGCGAGATCCCTCCATGTACAATATCATTCATTTGAATGATTGCACGGACGAAACTTTGCGCGAGATCTCTGTCATAGGCAACGATGGCAGCGTTGGCCTCGTACCACCGAATTGCGAAAGCGTCAGCAAGATAGTCAAGGCTGGATCTAGACGAGACGTTTATGGAGAAAAGAAACGCGCGAAGTGCCCTGTCCAACCTCAAACCCACAAACCCGAAGCTATCGAGAAAGCTTTTCAGTACAAATTTCGATGTCCTCCGAGACAAGTATTCGCCAAGCTGTTTCCGGTCAAGCTCCATTGTTCTGAAAAGCAACTGACCCAAGAAAACAGGGTCGTCGGGTATTCCCGATTTAGAAAATAGATTAGAGATCGCCTGGTCGGGGTCTTTGCTGAACTGATGTATGAATGTCCGAAGAATGGGGTTCCTAGGAGGTACAGCATAGCTAGACTTCGACTGCGTTTCTGTCCGATCGCCGCTGAAACGGAGCTGTTGCAACATAACGACGCTCTTGACCGTAAAAGTCTTGTCGACGGTAGGCCTGTCAATATCTTCATCCTGGATGACTGGCTTCGCAATAACGAGAATGTCGTTGAACAGGAAGAGGAAGCGATCCTTAACCGTATTGGCGTTCACCACTTGTAGAACAGGGGATGATATGAGGAGTTTTCGGGCAGGCTCCTCGATAGCAGCTGCCCACATCGGACTTCGCGAGCCCCGAGCCAAATTCTCATCCAATTGTTCTAGGACAATAGGGCCTTGGGGTCCAGAAGCGTCGGCTGAAGAGTAGTGTGATGATGATATGGAGGATGTCGAAGATATAGAATGAGCCGGGTACTCACTCAATGAGGATGAAAGGTCAGGAGTTGGGGACAGCAGATCAGGAGGCGAAGAAATGATGTTACTACTACTATGTGAGAGTAACGGCGGAGAAATGGGGGACAAGTCGTCACTTGTTTCTGATGCAGGAACAACCTTCTTCGCCTTTGGGGTTTCTTCACTTTCTGTGTGCCCCATCCGAGGCGAAGGAGAAAGGGACGAAACTTCCTGAGGAGACACAGTAGTGGGGAAGGTCGATGATGATTTACCGACAAGAGTACTTGCCGTTCCACTGGTAAGCGATTCTTCGTGGTCAGTTACTATCTCATTGTCTTTCCTAATACGAAGTAGATCGGAGAAAGAGGCCTTCTTCGATGCACCATCCCCGGGGGAAGACGACGGGGAGGAAAACTTTGACCTTTTGGTGTTCAACCATTTCCGTACAGCCGGCAGCGTCATAGGCAACTTTGATGTGCTAGATCCGGCAGAAGGAATATTGAAATAATCCTGCTGACTTGACGAAGACGCAATGGGAGGTGAATTGAGGTATTGATATCGCATAGCTGTATCAGACGTTTGGTGTCCAATCCTGTACTCGGCACTCAGTTCAACACCTTGAAGTGCATTCAAAGATTTGGCTGACATGGGGACCTGTTCTTCCTCAATCCCGCTGCCTAGAATACTGACATCTGGCGTGGATGAAGAGCCACTAATCCTGCCTTTAGCTCGGCGCTGCTCTTCCAGCTTCCTCATGCCTGGGAATGGGAACAACTTGGAGCTCTGATACTGGGGGTAGTCAAGACCCGAAGCAAGAGGAACAGGCGACACGGAAGGAGTTGTCAATAAAGGCACCGAAGCCGAAGCAGGAGGTGACTGCATGACTTGAGACTGTTGCAAGGCAAATGTACTCCCATCGTGCTTGTCCATCCTGCCGCTGTTAAGACTCACCCCACTTTCACGGCTAATGCTGGAATCTGTATGATCCCGACGTTCCCGTGCCCCAATACTATTGGTCCGTGAACGACGTCCGCTACTAGAGCCAGACCTAGTAAAGCTTTTGATTTTCTCCCAAGTGCTGGTTGAGGCCGTATCTCCACCATTGCGTTTCGATGCATCAGTACCCAATATCCGATCATCCAAATCCATGAAGTCTGTGAGAGGTGAACGGTCTCCTTGCACAGGCGATGCCACAGACAACCGCAACGGGAATGCCTGGGCGGAAATAGACTCATCGCTCGCACGCGTTAGGGAAGTAGAGAGAGCAGCCATTGACGAAGGCGGCGACGGTGGAGCCTGAGACGGTGTCGTGTCTGGTGACGTTTCGGATTCAATAACGACATTTTGTGAATCTGACGATGCGCGGGGAGATGAATCATAGGCGTCCTGCTGCAAGATTGGTACAGAGGTTCTTGATGGGGGCCGATCCTCAAAGTCCAGTTCATCATCTTCCTCTCGGTCTATGTCATCGTCGTCGTCGTCAATTGGCATGCGGATTTCTGGAACTAGGTGAGATGAGTACCGCGATGTACGAGAACGAACCAGACTGACCTGGAGAGGCAATCCAACTGATCTCACGACCATAACCATCGTCATAGGGTGATCGAAGACGATATGTATCGGCAGGATACAGGACTTCTTCCTCGTCATCTTCACGGCGAGATCTTTCTTGATTAGGCGTCGAGTATGGGCTGCTCGGAAATGTGTCCAGCTTCGAAGGCGTCCTATGGCTAAGGTAGATAGGTACACCAAGAACCCCTGTGTGTGCAGATTCCGTTGACACAGTCGATGGCCCGTCCGAACTATGTGGAACTCGTAAAGGGGATCCGTTAATTGGTGTCGGTTCGGGTGGGCTTGGAGGAAGACCGGGATACTGAAATAACATTGGTGATCGTTCATCCTCTTCCTCTTCAACGACAACACTTCTCCTCCTTGCAGGCTCCGGTCGATCCTGCTCTGTCCGAGGCTCTTCTTCCAGAGTAAGGAGAGGGGATGACCTCATCTGTTCCGGGCTTGCGCTAGTACTGGGAAAATGATTTGGAGTCGCGGACCTCGCCCTGACATCAGGCAATATGTCTAGATGTGGTTGGGGAGTTTGAGGTAATGGTGTAGGAGGCAGGGTGGGTGGCAGTGGCGTCGGTGGGGGAATAGGAGTATTCGTTGAAGTTGTGAGGTACTCAGAATCAGAGACACCAGCATTAGGAATAGGGGTATTCGTCGAGGAACGCTTTCTACGTCGCCTCCGTTTGCTTGTAGGTGAAGGTGTAGCCGCTGAACGATCCTCACCACTGATTACCTCGGCATCCGCTTCTTTAGTGAATCTCGGAGCCAGGACGTCAAGTAACTGTTTGCGGACAAGGGTACGCTCTGCAGTGAGTCGCTCGTCTCCAGTAACTGTTAGGTTACGACGAAGTTTTGCCGATAATGAAGGCGGTGTGGGAGACGGAGACAGGGAAGGATCATAGACATCGGTCCCCCCAGTGAGTTTGTGCATTGCTGTTTGCCTGCCGATGGCGCTATGCGACCGCTGCAGCTGGAGTCCCTTCCGCTGCTGAATATCTTCCAGGGATGGTAGAAGTGGTGTCGGTGGCGCACTCGGTCTGTCATTGGGAGTGGGCGACCTGAGCAGACGCGTTCGTAACAAAGGACTGGCAAAGGGTACTGGAGAAGGAGGTATCGCTGGGGCATCGACAGGACTTAAGCCTATTACACCAAGTTCTGGGGAAGAGTCACCATGAGTAGGCGTTGGCGTCTGCATATTTCTAGCCTTCATTGCCTTCAAATCTTTGGAGCCTCGTGAAGACCGCCGCCGTGAGCGTGAACGACGGCCCGAACGGGATGATGGTCGAGCGACGGTGACCTCCTCCACTTCTTCTGCTTCCACATTCTCTTCTACCGGTGGTTCTTGGATTTGCGCGTCGACTTCAACTGGCGGCACCTCTGGCTCTATGATCTCCGGAGGTGGCGTATCAATATCCGGCGTTTGGTCTCTGCTATCCTGCACCTTCTCTCCCTCGCTGACGGCCTCTGTGTGCATCCGAGGGCGTCGTCCGCCTTCTATCCGCGGCAGGGATGCTGCGCGTTTCAGTTTGGCGACCGCCAGCTTCCGCTGCTCTCTCGGATCTGGAACAGCTGCATTTTCGTTTTCCATTGGATGCCCAGGAGTCGTTGGAAAGCTACTAGCAAGTGCTTTGATCAATATAGGCGAGTCAGAGGAACAGAGGCCCATGGAGATGAACAGACCTGGGTTAAGCTCCAATTCACCGAATCCAGAATGAAAAAACGCCGGATATATCGACAGAAAACGAGGTTGAAGGGGAACGTTGACGGTTGGGTGAGAAGGACGACCGCGACCAGGAGCGACTGCAATTACAAGGGGCCTGAAAATGCAGAACCACGTGGTTTCCATATATGGAGCTAACATTCAGGGGCGCGGAGTCAATTGAAGTGCAAGTTTACCCTCTTCCCTTCTTTGCCTCTTGCTTGCCTCGCCGTTTCCGCGAGGTTCACAGGTTGTTGTTGCCCACTCATGTTAATACCGTCTATCCTCAAGAAACCCTACTGTAGCGGGCCAGGATGCTCGCAGGCTATTTGCCGCGTTGTCATCTATCAGTCGCCTGAACATTGGCTGGCGAATTGTCGTCTTGGTAAACAACTTGACTCGAATTTATTCAACAGATGCAATTCGACATTCCAGTCTGAAAGTGACACGTTTCTTTCCAATGCCGAACGAAGGCACTGAGCATATCTATTGTACAAATAGGTAAAGGCAAACCGAACAGATGATGGAGTTTCTTTCCATATGTTCGAAAAGAGCTCACTTCGCCGTCGGAATTCCCACCTCCACATCCGATGACAAGCTTACATGTATCTACTACTACCGTGCACCACTATCCCGTTAAATGATAGAGCAATATCTGAGTACCGGCCCCGTAAATGATCTCTGACAGAGTAGGGGCCGGCCTACACAACGGAGCCGGCCAATTTGTTTATCGGTGCATTCGCACGGGCAAAGGTCATTCCTCGAATGATTTGTCTGTCTGATGGCTTCTGCGCACCACATCCACTAAACTGAGAGCCTTCCTAAGTACATTCTCGGAATTGCTGTCGGGAAAAAAACGCAGATAACTTCTTGAAAGTTTCGTAACGCGACAACAATCATCCCGTACGACATATTTTCAGTCAGTCATGAGAAAACCTTCACCGTTTCGACTTTGGAGACGCTATAATTCTTTGTAACGCGGAAAGTATGAGCGTACCATGACCGCGAAGAACAGGGAACAACTGCCTGCCTTGCAATGAGCCGACTTCGAAGATACAAAGAGCGCGGACGTCCATACAGAAGCGTAGTGCCAGTCTTTCACTGGAGATCACGGCGATAAACGATGCCATCTTATGGAAGTGCGGCCATAACTCAGCACCGTGTGTTAACTGTCGTATCAAAGGGACTTGACAGAACAAGTATAGCCTAGAGTCAGTGAATCAAAATGAAAAGATGCCAACTTTGAAAGATCAGTACCTCCAGATAAAGAACTATCACCGTGGCTTGAATCAGATGAAAATATATAGTGAAATTGATACCTGAAATGATGCATCGATAATAAAATAGAGCAATAGAAAAGAAATGCCATGGCCGCCAGATGATGCCGGCATCCAATAAGTAACCGAATTTCAAATAGTTACAAGCAAATACATGTACAAAGAATTTCACTGCTTCATGAGAACAATGGATGTCGTCAAGATACCCAGAAGACCACCAAGGAATCCTACCACGGTCCATCGTGTGTATTCCTGAAAGTGGTGTTCCACTATGGTTGAACCGGTGACGGACACTCCTCTCAAAGAATAAAGCACGATGCCCGCAACGAACCCGATAATCGCATAGGCCAAGAAAACTATCGGCAAAGAGAATAATATATGTCGTCGCTTCACAAAAACACCGGTTGAGTCAAGTCCCCGAGAACAGTAACGGTGCAACTTACAGAAATGATCATCAGACCTTCGCCACTTATAAAAGATACAGCACTCTCTGCATCACTCTTATATTTGAATATGGCGACAACCGTCGAAGTCAAAGAAAATGCAGAAAAGAGCACGGTGAGAAGCCCCACAGCCCGTGCGACATTGTCCAGCCCTGGTAAGGAAAGAAAAGTCACCGAGGCACTCAGAACAATCGCCGCCTGTTTGCAAAGAAATTTTTGAGGGTGTAAGGCTGAGTGGAAGAGAGGAGCTTACTACAAGACAAGTGCAGGCGCCGATCACCAGCATCGGCGCAGCACTTCGAATGCCGCCTTCTTCGTCTATTCCTCGATGCTGCGAGCGGTTGTAAAAGATATATGGAATGCCGAGACATAGGCAGGAGATACAAAAGTCGACTAGAGCGCGGCCCAGCTGATTGCGACGTGTAGGCAGACGTAAAGAGTGACTGGTCGCATCATGGGGAAGAGGCCTGTTGGGACGGAAATTCACTTGACGCCAATGAACTGTGGACAAACTGCGAGTCACTATTGGTTCATGAACGCTCAAATATTCGATGCTCACTCATTCGAAGATGGATCCTGCAGACGATCCGAGTAATTTGCATTCCATTCTCGGTAGTGATTTCTGGAAAGAGCCTCAGAGATATGCCGTACTCTGGGCAGCGAAACGTACCTCCACGAAGTAAAGAAGTGAGCTCTTGGTACTCATGTTGACTGAAAGGCGCTGAAGTTGTTTGTCGAGAAGGAAGCAGATGATCTGAATCAAAGCAATTGTGTTGGATAATGTTCAACGCCGGCCTTGAAAATAAACAATCACCTGTCCATGCCCATATGAGAGCATTCATGGCTTCCCCGTGTGCATTCGCAGGAAGTGGGCTGTGCGCAGGGTGCGCCTCCATGAAAGCCCAGTACCGATATTCCATATCCAAAGCTGCAAGTCAATGAGTTCATGTTCCCGGCCTCCGAAGCATCAATTTTTGACACACCGTCTTCATCATTTCGCCCCAGTCTCGAGGGACCTTTCCTCGGTAGCTCTGACGACACTCTTCGACTCTTATGATCGATCCACCACCCCACAAGGGGAGGATCCCGCTTCTTCTTCCGAGCGCCCTCCCTCAGCCACAGCTCCATCCCAGTAGGTGGAGCAAGGTCGTCTTTATAGCTGTCAAAGTAGGATGTGACTAGATCTAGCTTCTTGTTGTTCCGCAACTCCATGTCGGTTGTCACCCGGAGGGTGGGGTGAACATAGTATACTACGGAATCAGGAAGAGAAAACTCAATCCAACCCAGCTGGTTCAGTTTGGGAGTAGCCGATGGTGCTGGCAAAGGCCAAAACGAAGATGATGGCAACGCAGATTGAGGAGAGACGTTGACCCGAGTCTGATGTTGAGACTGAAGGTACGAAGGTGATCTGGGAAAAGGTACTTGTGAGAGTAGAGGACGTGTTTCGCTGTTCAGATAGGAAGTTAGTTATGTATTTGTCAAAACGATCAGTGAAGGGGCCATACTCTGTCTCTGGTTCGAAACGATGAATGCTGTTCCTAAGGCTTAGTGTCGATGAAGTAGCACGAATCGATCTGTAGTTTTTGAGGTTATAGAACCATCTGGCAATTATAACCACGTACCTTGATGGGATTACATCTTGCATGAGGGGGAGTGGCATCACGATTATGGACTGGTCATCTTGAGGTACTGATGCTTCTTCATGCTGCGGCCTGATTCGAAAAGTACATCAGCTTGAAAACCAAGGTCAGAAGCACTACGTACTCGGGCAAAACAATGTGATCATGCGGAACATTTATCTCAGGGACAGGATCAGCAAACGGGTCCTCCATTGGCACCGGCATTCTAGAATATGTAAGTTAACGATAAAAGAGGGGCAGAGCGATTTACTGACTGCACAGACATTCCCTCGTTTTCAGATTCGTGATTGGCGATGCGTTCACTCAACGTTGTTTCCGCCAATGACTGGGCCACGGACGAATGATGGGTGTTTCTCCAAGCCTCTTGAGACGAGTCGGCGTCATATGAAGGCATCATAGTAGTTGCTGGCACGAGAGGAGGCATTTCTGCGACCGGCTTTATCAGTTCATCGTGAACGTCGGAAAGAGGAACGTTTTCGGTCTCAACGTCTCGAGGCCGGGGTGTTGGCTCAGAGAAAATGGATTCTTCTGGCACGGGGGCAGGATGAACTGGCTCTGGTTGCGCAGGAATTTCGAAATTCAATGAGAAACTTCCCATGTCATGAACTGGCGAGGGTGGAGGTTCTGTAGCAGGTTCGGCCTCTAGATCGGTGGGAATGGATTCTCCCACCAGCGGAGCACGGTCAACATTCGACTCCTTCTGCTGCATTTCATAAGGCTGTTCTTCGACTTGAGGTGTGGCCGCTGGCACCTCATGAGCAAAAGTTCCACTCTGCTGAAGCGTCTCATTGCCCTTGCCTTCGGAAGCCAAAGTCCGTGTTTCCTCCACGGACTTATGCCCCTCCACGCTTTGGTGGTCATGCATGTCCTCGGGTTCTGCAGTGAGCACAGGTGTATCGGTAACGACAGTTTGAGGAGGCGCCGGTTGCTGGGGAGTATCGGTTGCTACAGCGGCAGCTTCTCTCGCTGGGGACTCTGCTATAGGGCTGGGGGCCTCGTGCACTGCAATCTCTGGTGTAGACACAACCGCAGAGCGTGCTTCGACATTTTTGACGGAACTGGTGTCTGACCCAGAAGGCGTGCCCGGACGTGATAGTGATAGAATGGAGGACGTGCGCCGCACGGCCTTGCCCATGCGGGAACGGAATACAGACTTTGTCGGCGTGCTCATGATGCTCAGTCTCGAGGAGTAGAGGCCTTGAAAGAGCAGATAAACTGGCGGGAATGAGAGAAAGGAACAACTTGAAGCGTAAGGAGGACACGGTGACGAGAAGACAAGAGTATCACTTTAATATCTTCGTGCGAGTCTGCCTGGAGGCGTCATCGAGGCGAGCAGTCGAAACAAGCGCAGCATGGATTAGGCGTGCATGAAATGCATCGAGGGATCAATAGATGAACACGTTACAAACATACGCCGCGCCCTTGTGGCAGGATGACCGGGGATGTAGAAACGAAGAGGAAACAACGTTTTTGTTAAGTAAATGGTTGGCTCCTGGACGAAGTCCCCTTCTTACGTGTTAGAGTGTTGCCCATACTTAGATCATCAAACGACTGTAGCCAAGACCCAATGCAAGTACTACTCCACCTCCCGTCAGGGCACTGACTAGAAGGTTCACTTCCAATAGTTGGTATGCATCGTAGTCACTGAGGTGCTGCAGTGGCCGGTAAGTACTGCACCAGCATTCCCAACCGCTGCAGACCCGGATCAAGGAACTTCCACTGCCTTTCGGAAGTTTTCCGATAAGATGCACGATATCCGGGAAGCTCGCCTAGAAAACACTGATGGAGGCCGATTGGTCAGTGAAGAATGTAAGATAAACGTGGGAACTTCTTGGCCTTTCCATGTATCACCGGCAATTATAATAGCCGATTAGAATTAGAATTGAACGAGTTGAGATATGCTATGTAACAGTAATGGCAAAGGATATTCGTAAGTAATCTCAGTCGGGAACAGAGGACGTAGAACGACTATTGTTGAAGGAGACACGTGATACCCGACTCTATACCCGACGTTTTACTTATTTTCTACTTACCGACTCTAGGTACCATTCCTTACTCCTGTACTTCAACCTGCCAGTATATATACCTCCTTAGTTATGCCCGCCACCTCAGTCATTTTAGTACTGTACCGACTGAGGTATGCTTTCTTAACTATTATACCAACATACACCTTACTTACATATATTACAGTTCTAACTATGTTGTTCAACTTACTCTAGGTTATGTGGCCCTGCTGTAGCCTTTGAACCAGTCAAGATGAACATGCAGTAAATTGTACCCACAAAGCAACTCAATACCCCCTACCTTATATAGTAAGAACAGACATGTGTGAATACTAGGTATTGATATAACCAGTGTATGACCGGAGTGTACCAGTCTTGTATTCCATACTTCAGCCATTGTAATTCATCTCTGTTTTCTTCTGCACCTATTAATACCACTGCTTTTAGATAAAGTTCCAGCATCAAGACATCATCCTAAGGCATTGATATAGCCATAAAGAAACAAGCCATTCTGGATTCCACCAAACTCTAAAGTCACAAAGAAAGCTGCAATGGGTGAAGACCTTCTGTCGACAGGTTTGTGTCCATTTATATGCTTCCGTGACAGATGAAATTAAAAAAATGCTACATAGACTACAGATAGTACATACAAATCACAATCATCATACTCCGTAGTCAACATCCCATGAGTTCTTCTTCTATATCATCTTCATTTGTTACACTGTCCCCATCTTGGTCTGTTTCTTGGAGCGCCACCCAAAGAGCTTCATCTTCTGGTTGATCTAGGACAAGTTCTACCATGTCCCTAGCCATTTCTAAAGCATCCTGTCAATGTCGTACTCAATCGTAGGACCATATGACACACCTGACATGATGTTTAACTCAAGTTGGGCAGGCACTGGCGTCCAGTCCGGCAGAGGTGAATAACTTAACCGCCCAAATGTGAGGGTGAACATATGCATAATGCCATTGAAATGTCGGGGTGGAGCACGAAGAAGTTTCTGCCGCAAGCTCATGGCTGTCGGATCGCTGCTAATGATGTTATGAAGAAGATACAAGACGTAATTTATCATTCGAACAGTCCTGTTGTTCTGTTAAGTGTGGAAAATGTGAAATAGAAAAGTGCATACATACATCAATGTGAGGTCCGCAGACAAAATGTACTTTTGGTCTTCCTCCCATAATGGCGTCGTCAGCATATGAAGGCATACAACTAATGAGGGCACCAAGACGATCGAGTCAGTCAACACAGCAAATGCCTTGGCATCAGCAACTGACACCAAAGCAAAGAAGATGAGGATATGTGTTTTCAGGGACAAGCACTTATGTTTCGGAATGTTCATTGCATCCTGGAAACACCGGAGTAGCACACACCTCATCATCTTGACGATTGATATCAATGAGGAAAGAGCATAATCGATCGAGCACAGGATATTTGGTGGTCTCGGACGCGACAGGTTGTTCTGAACCGGACATCGGAAAGGCGAGTATGTAGTAACAAAGTTGCGGATCTAGAAAAGTGTCTTCACAGAGAAAAGATTTCAGAGGACAACACACGTACATGTCATGAGACGAACGAGGAGGCGAGTCACTTGGGATAAAACCCAGTTTGGTTGGAGATTATGAAGGAGCACAGCGAGAACTTCTCGGTTCTGGCATATATATCCTAGTCTGTGTGAGATTAGGATCATATTTATAGGCTGGGATAGACATTTCTCACTTGTCAATATCTGTAGTAGTGACATTCCAACATAACACTTCTAGTAAGGCTAACGTTTTCTTCGCAAGTAGGTTTGGGTAGGCCCCATCCTTCGAGGGCTGCAAATGGTTACAGATGACACTGGAGAGTAATACCATAATGCGAGGACTGCCATTGGTATCGGTCTGTGATAGTAGTATGGAGGAAAAGAACGGTAATGAATGGATGAGTGATACTAGTAGGTCTAGCATTTCAACTAAATTAGAAGTCTAGCAGAGGTCCTTAGATATGTATACAATAAAGGCATGGGAGAGCAGCTCACTAGATCTAGCGTAACCAAAACAGACGCCATGGAAACCAGACACGGCGACATAGCTATAGCTGCCGTGGGATAATCGTGAAATCTCGACGCGGCTACAATGGCAAGGATGCCTGATATGACTTCGCTATATTGACTATTGGAGTGAGTGGCTGTTACAACAGGTGCTTCTGTCAGCGAAAGTAGTGTCGGTTGATGAGATAATGACGTCGTATGGGTCAGCAATATTCGGAACAGCTGGAACAAAGGCGAAAATCAGTCCTATGATCTTCGGTGGCTAGAAGGACCCACTTCTGCTTTCCAGTCAAATGGTTCCAGGTCAGAGACCTCCACAGTTTGGTCTGCTATAGTTATCGTATTGCCATCATCATTGAACACATCGTCATTGCTTGGAATTGCTTCTACGTCAATTTTGAAGTCGTCGTCCATATTGACATCGGAATCAGCATCCGGCCCGTTCCTTCGGGAGGGGCTGGAAATCGGAGACCTGATGGTCTGAATCTGCGTTAATATTTGATTTGAAGAATGTGTGTTCCTTGTTGTATTTTTCCGTGGTTGTAATGTGGGGCTATGCGTGAAGGCATTTTGGAAGTCAAGCAGTCGCTGAGACTTTTCTGGAGTCTTCTGAAGATTCCGAGAGGTCTTGGGGCTGTTCACACGACGTGGAGTACTGGGCCTGGCCTGGGAACTACGGTTGAGGTTCCACCCTTGCATTTGAGAGGGAATCGGTAAAGCTTGGGCATAGACATCCTTCCCTGCCCTCTTAGATTGCCCTGACGGTGGCCTTCGTGAGGCTTCCGCTTCCTGTTGCTGAAGAACTATGCGTATAGAATGGATTGGAAGAAACTGTGGGAAATGAATACCTTGAACATGAATTCAGTCTTCAGCCTCTCCATTTCGTTTTTTCGATCTCTGTGCATTTGCACCTGTCTGGCATCCGTTTCTTCCTTCTCGGCTTTGAGTCTTGATAATTGAGCGGCGTAATCTTTGGCAGTCTTGAACACCAACAATGAGTGCAAAATTAGAATTGGAACCGGTTGAAAATACCTTTTCGATGGTTTGACGAAGAATTGTCACCTCTCCTTCCCTTGAAAATCGGGCTTTCTTAGCTTCCTCAAGTGCGAGTTGGACCTTCCTTCTTTCATCTTCTGACTATGGGTAATGTACTGAATAAACAGAAGGCAAGAGAAGTGCTATGCAGCCAACCTCTTTCAATTTCGTCAATAAGTCTTGCACTCTGGCTTCTACAGCATCTGCGTTTGAGATTTGAGGTGGGACAAGAATAGAAGATGTAGCATTAGAACGAAACGTCTGTGCTTGATGCGACTGAGGAGGATGTCCATTTCTTCCCATCAGAACACGTCCAGATTGATGTCCACGAGACGGTGGGCGGCTTGCATTGCTCTGAGGTAGGTGAACGTTCCGATTCGTTACATCTGTCATTGTAATGTCTGTATCGGTATGCTTGCCCCCATTAGGGCCAGTCATTGTCTGCTCATTATCCATAGACACGGTGCCTATGGAACAGCGAACAGCATTCCAACTCGCGTCAGAGTCGCGAAAAAAGCCGGGTGGAAGACCATACATGCCAACACCGGACACTGATATTTCTGGGAGATCGTCTGCGGCTACCCGAGCTACAGGAACGTGTGTTTGCTGAACATCGTCCAATCTCTGTCTTTTGGTCGGTGGTTCAGAGTCCTCGAGATTATCGGTCGTTAGCGGTAGCGCATGTTCACCAGCAGCATATTTTGCTACAACGCTATCGAGCGCAGCAAGGGTCTCGTCGGCGCAGAAAAAGTTGTCATCGAAGAATTGGTCGTCGTCGCTCATATGAAGGAAGGTGCTTAGGTAACGAACTTGCTGAATACTATCATCAGGTCCGGAGCGCTCACTCTTCCCCACACCCGCAATTCATGGAATCCGGCAATGGCGTCCAGTCGTTTTCAAAACAAGATGACGAGAAATCCCGCTATGCGAAACGCGCTGCTCTTAAGGAGCTCAACACAAATCCTGTTCCTAAAGGTGCGTCATTAACTGTTGTGCTTCAAGGAATGCTCATTCTATTCCAACAGAATCATCCAAGCTCGACTCTTCATTGAGGCGCCATACCGCTCTCATTAAGCGCATACGACAGTCTGTGGCCTCCGACAATCGTGACCAAATCCTCAAGGACATTGACTCCCTGTCACTTGAAAAGTATGTTGATGAAATCGCTGGCGCTATTGTAGAAGGTACTTCTAGGTGCAAGACAGAAAAGGACGTGTGGAGCGCTGTTGAGGTCAGCTATATGAATGCTTCTACTGAATTATCATTTCCTCATATCATTAGGTTATATCTGCAATTTACCGTCGATTTCCCTCTTCGTTTGGGGCAGCACTCGTCCCATTCTTAACATCTGCTCTCAGTAGTCCATCTCGGACGAGTTTTTCCAACCTTCCTCCAGAACAAAGAGAAAAGGAAGACTCGTCTCGGGTGACACGACAAAGACCTGCACTAAGAGTATGCTCCGAACTGGCCTTAGTTGGTGTCATCAAAGATGCACCCAGTCGAAGCGGCGGTGAATGGATTATGAAAGTCTTGAAAGAACTGGCAAGTATTTCATGGTATATCCTAGACAGACTGATCAAACCTGGTTCCAGCTCTCCAATGACCCGAGCCTCTCTTCACTTCCGTTATTAATTACGTTTCTCAAAAGTTACTCTCTTCCATTTCTTGGTATCACTCCTGCCATAATTAAGCAGGTCTCTGCGAATTCGGAACCCGGAATGTTGTCTGCTACACAAGCATTAGATTCAATCGCTTTTCCCTCCCTGGTTGACGATAATGGGTCTCTTATTGAGCAGGACATTCGTGATCGTTTCAAACGCATGTGTGAGGGTTACTTTGAAAGCGTTTCAAAAAAACTAGTCATCGAGCACAAAGTCAGTGCTTGAGATTCCTTGGCGATTATGCACTTATTCATATTTACTGGACAGCGACTGCAAGAGCAAGATCGTCGAAATCATGAAGCATACATCCGTTCGGGAGAAATATTTGAGGACCGCCAGCAGGCGTATGAAAGGATGACAAAAGGCTATGAAAAGCTGTTGGCCAGCTGCCAATCGTAGGTGATCCTGTTGTACATACATCCTTCTCAATGACCGGCCTTTAGATTGTCTGAGCTTCTGTATCTACCCATGCCATCATTGCCTACTGCATCACAGAAATCGGACTCCATTTTGATTGGGACGAACAGCACAAGTTCATTTTCGAACGACGAGGGCGATGTCACTGCTGGAGGAAAATGGGAAGACGAAGAGGAGAGACGGTTCTTCGAAGATGTTCAGGATCTCAAAGACTTCGTTCCAAAGAGCATCCTTGGCGTGGGAGAAGGCGAAAGCAAAGATCAGGAGAGTGAGGAAAGCAAGGAGAAACAGAATGAAAGGCACGAACAGGATAGGGAATACATCAAGAAGTTAGAGGAAGAGCTCAAAAAACTCGCAGAAGGCGGACTACCTTCTGTTTCACAAGACGAGGACGAGGATGAGTACGGACATGCATTCTCTTCACTGACCAAACACTCAGCATATTTTAAGGGCCCCGACACCAGTACCAGGGACCCCGAGGGCCACTACGCCGCCTCTATCTTCGCAAGCACCACAAGGTCCTTCACAACTTCTAACAGCTCTTCTGATTCGGCTTCCGGATGCCACTAATCGCGAGCTAATCGACCAAGCTGCCATTGACTTTGCTTTTTTGAATTCTAAAGCTGCTCGTAAGAGACTTGTAAAGGTGATGTTTAGTGCATTTTCTTCCGTTCTGTGTTTACGCTGCTATGTCCTAGTTCTTGAGCCAAGTGTCCAAAAGTCGCATTGACCTTCTACCGCATTACTCGCGCCTTGTCGCGACCCTCGATTATTATATGCCAGACATTGGATCGGATCTGATTTCCATCGTAAGTCTCACAGGAGTTCTCATGATCCAATCGCTGAAGCCATCCTGTGCAGCTGGATGAGGAGTTCAGATACCTCCAAAGGAAGAAAAATGTGGTGAAAGAATTTTCCGAAGTCAGACTCAAGGTGCGATATCTTAAATTCAGCTAATTCATATGGTTTCACCAGCTCGATCCAGAACATTGTATTTATATCCAACCTAACCAAGTTCGGTGTAGTTCCGACACACCTCGTTTTACATATGTTCAAAGTCTGCTTGGATGACTTCTCGGGGACGAATGTAGACAACATTGCTCTACTCCTTGAAGGGTGTGGTCGATACCTGCTACAAGGGGAAGAAACACGAGAACGATTTGGTACTATGGTTTGTGGAAGGATGAATCTTCCGTTACCAATTCTAAGTTTCGTATGGACAGCTAGAACTGATGAGACGAAAACAAAGTTTGCAGCACTTCGACCAGCGTCAATTACTTCTTCTGGAGAATGCTTACTATCAGGTACGAAAGATACTCATGTGCCCTCGATTGGAAGCTTGATCTTTGATCGTCAGTGTAACCCTCCTGAGCGCGCGCCTCGCCAGGAAAAGGTCCGGCCACCAATGGAGCTGTTTATTCGACACTTAATCTATGATGTTCTTGCCAAGAGAACGATTGACAAAGTCCTTAAATTGATTCGAAAACTGGACTGGGAAGACGAGGACGTACGACGTATTCTGTTCAAGGTTTTCACAAAACCATGGAAGATCAAGTACGGAAACATTAGCCTATTGGCTATGTTAACGTATGACTTGCAAAGATATCATCCCGACTTTCCCATCTCTGTTGTTGACCAAATCCTGGAGGACATCAGGAGAGGACTCGAACAAAATATGTACAGCACCAATCAAAGACGGATTGCAACTATCAAATATTTGGGAGAGTTGTACATCTACCGGCTACTGAGCTCCAGCATAATGTTTGATATTTTATGGTTATTGATTACCTTTGGACACCGTACGTTCTATGTTTACGTTCACCGCGGTTGTCCCTACTGATATGGTCGTACAGCTGATGGGAGAGCTCTACCGAACCAATTCTGTCCACTGGACATGCCTGATGACTTTTTCCGAGTACGCCTTGTCTGCGTCCTTCTGGATACATGTGGAATGTGCTTCGATCGTGGCACACAGAGAAAGAAGCTCGACAACTTTTTAACAATGTTCCAAGTGGGTCAAAGCCAATTCATCTCTTTATCTCTCATATCCGCGTCTTTTAGTTTTATATTCATTGCAAGCAGAAGCTTCCTATGGATGTTGATTTCATGCTGTCAGATTCTCTTGACGTGAGTTCGCTGCTGAGCAGTGTACGGCATCTATCCTGACTTCCTGCGAAGGCCATAAGACCTAAATTCGAACTGGCTAAAACTATCGAAGAGGCCGCCGTTGCTGTTGACAACATGCTGGGCTCGTTCCAGGCAACTGACCGTAAGTTATTCTTCGACGGTCACCATACAGCTGATGCGAGCGGTTCGTTTTTCTGTAGTAGATGACGAGATCGAAGCAGACGAAGGTGGTGACGACAGTAGCGACGAAGATGAACGTGTCGACGAAGATGAAAGAGAAGAGGACGATGAGGGTGATGTTGGGGCTCAAGACCCATTGGTGAGCACTCGAGTGTACGCACTTCGCCAAGGAACTCACCCGTCACGTGCAGGACGGCGAACGACCGCCTTCTCCGGAGCAGGAAGTTGTGCTCTCTGGGAGCGCTAGTCTGCAGGAGAACCTCGGTCCCTCTGAAGAAGCTGATGCAGAGTTCGCGAGAGAGCTCGCCAAGATGGTTATGGATTCATCGTCAGAATCTCGGAAGGTTGACAAGAAGACAGCACTCGCGCTATGGGACTCCTCCGTATTACCAGCGGTTCGAAAGCGGCGTGAAGACCCTGATGAAGCGCTTGACATCGATGATCCAGACATGATGAAATTCACAGTCCTCACGAAGCGCGGGAACAGGCAACTGGTAGGCTATGATCACCGGTACCGGTACCTTACCATGTTGTTGATCATTTTCTAGACTCGGCAATTAGCGGTCCCATCTGAGTCCGCTCTAGCCGTCCATACCCGGTCCGCTCAGCTACAGGATAAGGTAGAGCAACAGCATTTAAAGCGCCTAGTCCTCGATTATGAACAGCGTGAGGAAGCAGAGGAATTGAAAGGTACTTCGTCACCTTCCCGCATCAACTGGTTTCCCCCAACTTACCCCTCTGTCAGCTCTGGGGATCCAGAATCGTATGGGAGCTATCAAGATACGATACGCTGGCTGACATCAAGACAACACGCTTATACAACTATCACAAATCTTGCTAGCCTTCGATGTGCTATGAATGGCCTTCTTTGCAAGTATTGCACTTGATGGTCAGCTCACGGCGACATTTGTGGACCCGCTGCATGAACTGACAAGAGATTTGATGTCGGGGACGATTAGATTAGATGAGTATGAATTTGAATTACGTGGATCTGGCGCCACACGTTATGGTGCTACTTCGGTAGTCCCTTCTGCTTCCGTCCATTGCTGTCGCTACATTGGAGCACGGAAAACTATCTCTCTTTTCTTTCTCCTTCTTCCCATTTTATGTACATACTCAGTGTACATTGTCGTCGCGTTCAATCCTCAGACCTTTAATGGTTTCCGAGCCTGAGCGAATACCGGCCACCTCCTTGGTGACGACAAACCCAGACAAGAAAATCAATCAGTACGTACAACGAAGGGTGCTTCACACGAAACATGGAAGTTCAACGATAGTGCTGCTCTGTCGGGACAGTAATGTAGAAGGCCGTGATGTGGTATGTCCTTTAAACGGAGCTGTCCCATCGGTATAAGTGGGTAATCCTGCACCTAGGTTGTAAAAGCCGTCAAGCGACTTAGCATTCAGGACAAATCCAAGATGTTCAAGAAGAGCTACGTGGCAGTTCGAAGGAACGACCCTCCCAGCTCTGAGCAGAACGTCCAGAAGGAGATATCCATTCTCAGATCATGCCGCCATGCAAGTCACGTCCAGTTGCTGGAGGTCATCGACGACCCCTCGCAGGATTCTGTTTTCATAGGTAATGGCCAGTTATCTATGCCTGGCTTGTGTTTGACCATTTCCTTTCAATTAGCCATGGAGTATCTTTGTGGTGGCCAGATCCAGTGGGAATGTCAGGGAAAGCCAACGTTGACCATTGAACAAAGCCGCCGAATTGTTCGGGACGTCGTCCTAGGGTTGGAATATCGTCAGTGCAACTTGTCCCTGCGTTCCTAATTTTATTCTCTTCAAGCTGAACGTTCTTCTAGTCCACTACCACGGTATCATTCACAGGGATATCAAGCCTGCGAATTTGGTCTGGTCGCAGGATCGATCATACGTAAAAATTATCGACTACGGTATTTCGCACTACAGCAACAACTTTATCCAAGTTTCTCGCCCTCACACGAGGGCGCAATTGGATCCCTTGAGGAACTGTGCATATTTCAAAGATCAAGACCTCTTGAAAATGCGTGGGACGGGATTCTTCTATGCACCAGAGGTAATTTGGCTGCCCAAAGATACCCCTTCTCCGACCACGCCTTCCGACACTATAGAATCGTGTTCGGCGACTCCAACAACTCGACCACCTGTAACCAAAAGTGTCGATGTCTGGTGTCTCGCTGTGACGTTGTATTGCTTCCTCTTTGGCCACTTTCCTTTCCATCCTGTCAGGAAGCGGCACCCATCCCATAATCAATTCGCGCTGAATAAGCTCATTCTTGATAGTGATTGGGACGTTGACGAAACAATGGGTGCTGATGTGGTGCCCACAGGTGGTAGACACCATCCCCCTCACACCGCAAGCGTAATCGGTCTCCTTGATCAAATGCTGCAGAAAGATCCAAGGAAGAGGATCAGCATTTTGGAATTAAAAGTAGGCTTCAATTATAATTTTGGTTCCTCCGGGAGTATTCATCCTTGGAACAGCGACACCCTTGGATCCTGCAAGGAATAGAAGACGTAGACGGCTGGACTTGGAATACCTCTCCATCTACGTATTATATGCATCCCAGTTACCGATGGCTTAGACAGCTTCTGTACAGACTATTTTCACACACTTATGGGTGGTAGTCGGTTTTTTTTTTTCGCTCTGGTCGTGTACGTTTACCTCCAAATTCTCCATCCGCAAATGACATTGGACAATCTAGGGTTTGCCGCATAGTCGTGAAAATCCTGGATTTTACTGATGCCATTGCGTACTGCTTATTCTATGGATACTGATGAATCCTTTTTACGAGGTGCTACGTGATCTGCATAGATTTTCTTGTCTCATGGTCTTTGGCAGATATTGCGGGTCAAGGGTTTCTACATAGCATGTTTTTTGTCGATATTGCCTCTCGCTGAGATGCGGGCAGAGAATGCACAAGACAACGTCTATTTAGATAACCACTACAGAGAAGAAAAAGAGATGTAAAGCCGGTTGGGGAAACTCTACCTCGCCGGCGTAATCTGGGAGTCCACAAGATCACCGTATGGCACGATTATAAAACTTTACAGATCTAGTACTGCAAAGGACACAAGGTATATAATCCGGATGACATGCCTCTATAGCAGAACACAACGAAGCAGCACTATTGCACAACATTGTTCGTCCGAGCGGTTGCATTTTTTAGTGGATACCGAGCTAATTCGATCTGTACATAATCCTGAATAGCCGGGAGAGCTCTTATGATTAGCTTGATAGGCTGCGTTTCATCTGAAAAAAGGCTATTAGCCAAGTAGACAATCTGTGCACAACGCTTCCCATATACCAATAACTACGACATTACCGTGTCGACGCACATCCTTTTTCCCTTGAGAGTTGTTTCCATATACGGGGTGACTTGAAGGGACGGCTACGAGAGAATGCTGTTACACGAGTCAGACGAAGGGTTTCATGGAAGAGCAAAGCAAAAGCTAACGTTTGAATACCATGCTTTGAATTCGTCAGATTTTGGGACTGTTGGAATCTTGGAATTCCCCACGACTTGTACGATACCCTTTATTAGCTTGTTTCCTGACATCCCTATGAGGCATTAGCATTCAGCAAACATAATTCCCAGAGATGAATGAAGCTTACACCTCTGATCAACAAGATCCATCATTGATTGACAACCAGGTCCATGTCCGACCAGGACGACTCTCTCCGCATGCGAAAGTCTAAGAGCGATGGTGAATAGAAAATTTTATTGTGAGCCTGCGTGCCATACTGGACATAGTTATCCCATAAATACACCAAAACCTCTTTTGTTGGGTCCTTTGTTGCTTGCGAGCGCTAGAACCATGATGAACGTGCTAGAGAATCGGACATAACGTCGCTTACCCTGGCGGGTGCCGCAAAGGGCTTTGGAAACTGATTGATATCGAGCAAAGAATACCCTTGTTTTTTGACCCATGCTATGAAATCTTTCGAAAAATCGACCTGATGAATTGTTATGTCAGACAGGATTACATACGTCGCCAATGCGCACCAAGTATGATCGTTCTAATTCCAGGTTGCATGTTGCGGATGACTCCAGCTCCGTCCGCAAGTTTCCACTGGAATCCTTATAGAACGGACAGAGATAAGAAACAATGTCAAACCTTACAATTCGTGGATGAAGATGACCATGGTCTTGTTGTCTAACAAATCTGGTCTGAAAAAATATTAATGGATACGTATCCAAGACATCATATGGCCACCCACGTGCACATGATTTGCATCGAAAACCGTTCATCGAGGTAGTCAGAGAGTAAAGGAATCTGCATCATGTCATAATTGGTATATAGATAGTGTTGGCGATGCGCCTTCAATATTTCTATAGCAGAACTTCAGTCAAGTCTATACTCTTGAATGGTGTGCCCGGCTTACCGGGTATCGAAAAAGTAGCAGGTTCAAAGTCTATGTTGATATATCAATGTTGTAAGAGTGAAAGTAATAGAAGGGACTACCTTTCCTGGGTTCACAAGTTTTGGGATCCACGTTCTTCCAGTGCTTATTCTGTTCTCTGGCCACAAGCCAGACCGTTTCTGTCGCAGATTCACCCGCCGTCATAGGTGGTAGCTCCGGTGGTGCTTCACCCAAAAGGACTTGAGTCACTGCGAGTGCTGATTTCGCGATTGCATTGATGTTATAGCCTCCCTGCGATTGTCAAAGAGCGAGCTCTATGGTATGGAGATAAGATAGACGTATACCTCTAGTGCGACAACGACCTTCCCGCCTGCTAATCCTGACAACATATGGGTCATATGCGCATAGCCAGCTGGGCTGACATGGCATTGCCCCAATTCGTCACCTTCTGCGGCATCAAATCCGGCAGAGACTAGGACGGGTAAAGTCGTATAAGTGGACGAGCATGGAATGGTGGTGCTGGGAACTCACTGATCACAAGTTGAGGTGCAAATTCTATGGCGATTGGCATGACAATCTTCTGAAAGGCATGTATATAGTCGGCATCTTTCATCCCTTTCTCGGGCCAAGGTATATTCACGGAGCTAAGAAGAATAAGAGAGGGAAAATGGTTATTGAATGGCTTACAATCCAAGCCCTGGCCCCTCCCCGCATGACTGCATGCCACCAAACGTACCGCAGGGGTAGAACCGGCCATCTTCATAGCGGTGTAATGATATATACAGAACACTAGGGTCATTATTGAAGGCCTTTTGAGTTCCATTGCCTGCTTGCCCGTCAATCCATGTCCATGTCATTTCTAACGACACAAACCGCGCACCATGATGAACATCCCTAACAACGAATCCTATTACCAGGTAGTTCGACGACGCCAGTTTAGAGCTTACCAATCCAATATGAGTACTCGCTTCAATCCCAAGCGCTCCTGTACAACACGAGCAGCAACAGATACATTGTTGAAAAAACAAAAGCCCATATGTTCGTTTGGTTCAGCATGGTGGCCTGGAGGTCGAACTATCGCGAGAGCCTTTTTCAAAGACGAGCCCGGAGCAGCCACTGCCAGACATGCTTCTATCACACCGCCGCAACTGAGAAGAGCGGATCTTGTAGTTCCTTGCATGACATATAAAGAGAGGGTTTCGTAGTACGCCTCTGAATCAACAATCTGCTGGGGGGTCATGTCTAAACGAAGTACGGCAATTTGTTCAAATTAGCAGTATATACGAGAGCTCTGCGCTTACATTGAATTGCATGTACTTTGTCCCAATGATCCTCGCTATGAACCAGGAGAGCCTCTTGCTTATGGACTGGGCGAATGGGGAGCCACTTCATCTTTGCATTGCATTTATTGGCAATAAGGGTATTCCATATATGAGAGATACGAGCGGGTTGCTCTGGATGGTCCTGAAGTGAGAAATGGCTGGTCATTTCTGATGAATAGACGACGCCGACGGTAAACTGGGAAGGAACGAGCGGAATGGACGACGCGCGAGGGCCTTTAGGACTCGAAGATCGGACTGAGCCAGAAGGTTTTTTGGAGGGCCTGACGTCGCGATTCGCCGTCTCAAAGTGCAGTACGCTGGGGCCGGCAACCATAGCAGCCACAGACGGAGGAGTAATGTAAGAGGAAACAAAGGCTTTTGTATCTAACACGGTCAAAGATGGATGTGATGAACCGGTCCGAATGCCGGATTTCTAATTTACTCATCCACGATATCCAATATAAATTAATAAAAAGCACATTCACTTGCGAGCTTCAGCCTTTGGCGCATGCTCATATTCACTAAATCCCAGAGACTTTTGAAGAACATCTTCCTGAGCATCAGGTTCTAAATGTCCAAATTTGTTCCTTCTCGCCCTGTAACTCTGTTAAAAAAGAGTTTTCAAGAATGAACAGAGCATCTCACCTGAAGAAAGTATATGATAGGACAACATCTCGGACATCTCGACACGAAGGATCGTCAAGGATATCCCTGTCAATGAAGAAAAGAATAGGCATATCAACCTCCTCCCCAGCTAATAGGCGCTGCTCCTCGAAACAGAAGCATTCAACTTTGGAGAAATACGGGGCAACCTCGGGTAACTGTCAGTCGTGCAATCTTTAGGAGGTGGAACGCGACTCACTCGATCCGGAGTAACATTATACGTCGCAATGCCAATGATATCTTCGACCGAATTGTTCTTGGCTACATAGAAGGCCAAGCTGGATTCGCCCGGAAGGACATTCACGACTGTTTGTAGTGGCTTGAACGTCCAAGGTAGCTGCTCGGACCTGTCTGCATTGAAATGAACCTTGATTCGCGGTGAATCCTCTACGGGAACGAGTCTTTCTGGCCCAAAGCGTCCGCTGACATTGGGAGTCCCGGCAAAACCTGTAGCAGCGCAGAACATCCTATACAGAGGAACGGAGGCATATGTCACACCCAGTGCGACTACTATCTTGGATGCGGGTCATGCTTCGGTATGATGTAGACAGGAATTGCAGCGACTCACGACCGCAGACGAATACATCAACAGGCTCCTGTTCTTTCTTCGATGTATTTCGGCGAGCCTTTGTGCACTTGGCAGCGGTCTTCTTGGTGGTATTTGCTGCGTCGACATGCGCCGTAAGACGGGATACAGAGACGCCTCACGAAAACATTGATATTGAATGTGCTAGAGGCCATTTAACACTGGTGAACCATGGATAGATTTCGCATGACATACCGTTCTACCAGCAGCAAGAAAAGCACGAGCAGGAAACATGAAGCAGACGCAGCAAAGGTGGACAAACAAACGGATCGAGTCTGGCCGTGACCATGATCTATCCCGTGCTGACCTCTAGATTTCTATCTCTATCTCGGTAGCAGCTTTCACGTTTGCTAAGTGTCGAGCGAAACTCGATATATTAAACGGCGGCCAAGATGTACACTCACTCTTCTACTGAGTAATAATCTGTCGGAGTTACTAGGATAGGGCATCAATTCGATCGTCTGGCTTGCGCGCGGTCGCTCGTCAATGTTTGGCCTTCCAAGTCCCTATGATTCGCCAGTGAAAGCAAATTTGTTTCTATTATAGACTTGAAAGGATACGTGACGGAAATCGTCAAGTGTGGCATCTCGCGTGAGCTTCGGATTCTCAAACAGTTACTGGCACCTGGACCTTCAGTGCATCATGCAGCTAAGTTATATGATGGATCTACAGAGATTCGCTGAGTCCTAAGAAGGTTACTAGTATTGTTACAATTTATGTGGCAGTGCATGACTACCATAATATACGAGGAGGGTCAGTAAGAGTATCTCGGCAAATCGTCCATATCTCGTGTTCTCATGGGGGGAAGGGGACCTCCAGGAGATTTAGAATCAGAATCTCTCTTTCGTTGTTGCTCTTCATCCAGCGAAGGCACCTCTTCAAACTCATCTCTTTGATGGTCAGTAGCGTCGACCGCTTCGGATCGCTGTAATCTAGCCTTTTCTTCTATTGATATCTCAGAATGAGTCCATGTTCCTCCTAAAACAGGGTTATTGATGCTAACCACGCCGAATAACCCTTACGACGTACCTCCATATCCCGCTTCTATGGGTAATCCATACGTGTTCGAATATAATTCGACTTCTGGAATCGCCGACGGCCCCGCTTGGGACTGGTTTCGGTAGGGGTCAAACTCTTCGTAGGCATTGAACTCGCGTGCCGATTTATATGGTTCGGGTGAAAGTGCTGAGAACTGGGACATCCTTCTAGTATCAGTGAGAGATACGTATTCTGAGTGTGGCACCGGGAACATTGTATAGCCCATGCTCATTCGAGAAGCTCGCATCGTGCGCTTCTCCCTTTGGATCTGGTTCAGATAACGCGCGACGATGATGGCACCATCTAGAAACAGTAAACACATGGACAACGGAGGTGAATATATAAACGGACACATCTCAATGAGCAGAACCAGTGCTGCTATGACAAAGTAGACGCCCCTGGCGATCTGTAATATACCAATACATTGTTGTTGTGCATCGGTATTCTTTATAGTATCTTGACAAGCCTTGGTGGCAGCGTTTTCAGAGAAATGGGTAATGAGCCATAACAAGTAGGCAGCGACGCCCACATTGATGAAGAAATGAACGTAAATGAAGTACGCGTAGATTTGGACAAACAGCTGCTTCCGAACAATAGCGCCGACAAAGCTGAGAAATTTTTAAATGACAACAAGTGCAGGCGGATCTCAGGCAACGTAACTTACCCGAGGATCGAAACCACACACAGGAACGTCTCCAGTAGGCCGGCCAGAACAAATCCAGCACGTTCTCCGCTTGTCAGGTCGGGTGTGCCTTTCAAAGATTCAGTTACTGCAGGTTACCGCATGGCGCAGAAGAAAAAGTGGAAACATACTAGCCACTTCGTACCACAAGATAATTGTCAGAATTCCAGACAAGATGATACCCAAAAGCGACATGGAGATGACGCCGGCCCTTACGGGCAGGCAGCAGCAGAATTGCGTCCCTCCGAAAAAGAGCTCCCGATAGCTGAAGGGCATGAATGAAGAAGATGCAATTGGACGACGCCGCCAAGTGAAACGTCGACACAAGGCTGCATATCGAATTTTGATGATCAGGTTTTCTGAGTTCCCGCACAGCTTTCGAAGGCAGAATGGCAGTCCGGAATGGCCGACGCGTAGATGCCCTAGAAAGTATTCTTCGACTTCCCAAGAATGGTCTATACCCATTATTGTGGAACCAGCTGAAACGATACTTTACCGTTTACCTTAAGCGCTTAGGCGTCAGCTCACTAGTTCCACTTCAGATCCTAGCCCCGGACATTAGCGACGGTGATGGGAGATTCCGGAAAATTCTCTGCTGTTGCTTGCCCTGCTCACCGAAAAATAAGTAAGCGCCAAACGGAATCTTGATATTTCACACAGCTCGGGATATTCCATTTTCTTTTCGAGCATCACAGCTCCTAGCAAGGTTAAATGACAATCCTTGGGGAAAACGGTAAATAATGCGAAACTGACGACGATATTCCCCGCGTCTTGCCGCGAAGTAGTCCGTCCCTGAACTGACGGCCCGTCCTGACATTTGAATAGTAATCATATTTCAAGTCCCCTGGCGCCGGGTCCTATTCAAGCTTCGCTTCTTCATTTTCATGCCATAAGAACAAACCGTTCGTGGTGTACAAAAGGCATGCAAATTGTGCATTCGTACATAGCTTCCACGTCCCGACTCTCCCATCTAGTCATATCACTCCATCAAACTGTCCGTTCAGACATAACTACCACTTGATCTCCCCAGGCAGATTCCTTCGCGAGCTAAAAACCTTCTGCATTTGCCTGGGGGGCAGTAGGAACATATCGAATTTCAATGACAGTGATGGTGACGCGCTTGACGTCCGATCTCAATATGGGTTCTGGTAAGTATCATGTCGATAGCTATGGGTTTTTTAGGGAAAACTGACTCTTGCTGTACTTACCATACAGCCGCCGCTATCGCTTTTCTTATTTGGTGAGCCGATTTTAAGTTGCTTCTTGTGCTTGTTAAGGCCGCACAGGGAGCTCTTGATAACTTTCGACCGCGAGGTGAATTTTATATGGTCGTAAGTCTCCTTTACTAATTTGGTGGACGAGCTGTGGACGTCTTTCCCTTTAGAAAACCGAGAAGCTCTTGGATCAAGTGGGTCTTTCTCTTTGCCCGATACTTTCCACTCTTGGCCGGACTGTGCGTGCAATAACCTCCAGCTATCATCCTGTAACCAATCAAGTGCCATAGATGTGGCCGCATTATCGATTCCATAGTCTTGTATAAACATCCAATTCCAATACCGCTAAATGCCTTGCGCATCTGGTATATCTGTCAGGTTCTGATAATCCACCTGATGATGATGGGGGCGGAAATTGTTATGATGGCGCGAGGTCCGTCTTGTTCTATGGTACACTTACGCAGAGTTCTGATTGACATCTAGTCTATGCGTTGTATAATCGCAATCGATATATTGGGGGGGTGTTCTTTCTTCTTCTTTTTGGCGAAACTACCTCGGTTGTAATTGGCCTTTCACTGAATTTGCCGAGCAAAAACTTCGATTCCAGCTCACTGATAACCAGCTCCTCCAAGTCCTTCATTTATTTCGGGTTCGTCTTCTGTTCTCGACTGTAAAAACATATCTGACTCTTCCAATTAGAATCTCAGCAATGATTTCGCAAGTGGTCATACTCGCTTTCTCTATCTATCGATATATCCGGGGGGATTGGAAAGGTGTTCCAATTGTCTCTCTCATGATTCGCGATGGAACGCTTGCCTTTGCAGTCTTGTTTTGTACGTGTTCATTCTCAGTCACTTGAAATACGCTAACATCAGTGAGGGTATAGTCGTTTCTTTGCTGCTGGTCACGTACACGGCGATGGGTCTAACATATTCCACACCCACATTTGCGTACGTATGCCGTCTCTGAAGTCGTTCTTGGTTGACGAGTGATCAGGTGGCTGATGAACTTCATCTCGACGGCTGTTCGTATCTACTTTTTTTTTTGCACACTCGGTACTCAAACAGCTGACAGGAATGCCGGCTGATTCTGAACATGCAGCAGATTCCCGTCCCAAACAATACGTACCGGACTTCTGATACACCACTGACGACATTCCTCGTGGATAATAGTGGACTTGGAGAATATCGATCAGTAAGTCCATTTTGGCTCACTTTCGCCGTTTTATTCTGATCCCAAATAGAACGTTGCAGCTCCATGACACTTATACCCTTCTACACACCACTGTATATACAAGCATCATCTACTGTATCAATTGGGCGGAATTGGGGCGGAAACTTGAATCAAATTTGAAATTTCCTTTCTGACGAATTCCACGTGATGTCCATCTGTCTTTTTCAAATTCCCCCCCACGCCCTTGACTGTGAACTGGCGAGTGGAACAAGTCGGGTAATGTTCTGATTCGCGTTTGGAGCAAGGGCGCTGAAAAACTTCATTCAAATTTCTTTGGAGCTATACAAGTTTGGGAAGGACAGAAAGGAAAATACCTATGTGAGTCTTGTGCCCTGTATTTCGTTGAGGCTTTCCCACTAGCGCTTCCTGCTGCAGTAGCTTTATGTCATGCCAACGCGCTACCATGCACAACGAATGCACATTGTATCCTCTGTGAGCCGCATTCCATCATCCAGCCTTCTTTTTGGTCTTACTGGCGCTCCAAGCTTGACACTTTGTTGTACCAGCTCCATGCCTTGTCCTTTTTCCTGTCGCCATCAATATGGGCTCTGTTTTGCCGCTACTTCATGCAACAGCAGTGCGTCCGACCAAGAGACTTTGATACACAAACCCCACGGTCATTGGGTGTCTGGCTCGGTCTTATTGCCATCATCAATGCATTCAGTGTCTACCCGCATGCGACGGAGGGGACATCCCAGGGCAGGACGGTTATCTTGGACTTCATCGGGCTTAGTATGTCTCATTTGGTCGCTTGATCGTTTCTCACATTGTGTCCAGACTATGTGCCATCGAAACTCCAACTTCTCTCACTCGACTTGTTCATTATGTGCCTCCAGATGCTCCTGGTATTCATTGCATATGAGATACATATCATCGAGAACACAGATTCAGCCGACACGCTCCTCCCTAAACCCTCACCCTCCGATTCCCTGGCATTGCCATTATCCACTGATACGGCAGAGCCATTTGATGCGCCCGAGCCCTCGAAGACCAGGCCATCCACATCATGCCCACACGTCATGGAAATAACCTTCTCTCAATTTCTGCGACGTTTGCGGGAAACTCCTCCCAATAATCAAACAAACACAGGTGACGGTCTACCCATGCCCAACCTGACGCCTTGGTCGTTGAGGATGAGGGCAATACGGACCCGAACCAGGATTAATTTAGAGGAAAGAAGGGATGAAGAAGTGACACCGACAAGTAGGACGGTTCCGGGCAGTATCGACAACGGACATGTGGACGATTAGGCAGCCTGTACTATTATATACACTCCCGCATTGGATATCACCATTTGCGTTTCATCTAATCATTGTTTGAATATTGTATCACTGGGAACAAAAGAAATCGAGGCACACGCACTGCGTCACGTAGGCATTGCCCGAATTTGAGAAACTCCTCTTTGCATACATCCTTTCGAACGTCTGTGTAGGTCGCCAGAATGCATCTCCCGTACGTGGACGCTTGCGCTGCACAAGTCGTTGTCGAGTGCACCGCGAGACGGCGGAGGGGTCTTTCGATGATGGTCGTTGAGGTCATTCTTGTCGGCTTACCAAATCACCTCGCTCCTACCTTCTGGTCTCATTGCAATGCTGGACAATCTCGTCCTCATTGCCTGCGTCTGCATTGGGATTGCCTCTGTCATCTACATTTTCTACTGGAGTCGGCTGGTCGCATGGCTCCTCGCCCTCGTCATTCGCTTTCTCTCCTGGTCCCAAGGCGCGTCTAGCATATGGGTGTCAATAGGTGCGCATTCAAGTATCACTACCTGCGTAAGCAGTAAACTAGGGCCTAGGATCTATCCATTTCTCACTGTTGAGCGGAAGGATCCTCCTAAAAGACATTCGGTATCACTCAAGTAACCAAACAGTCAAGATCGTCAAGTGTCAAGTAGTATGGCGGTACTGGATACGGAAGCCGCTATTGGAGGATGGGGTCGACTTGGCGCTGGGGAGTGAAGGGCGTATGTGTCGGTCACTATGCTCTTATCGGCATATCTTTACTTGAGAACAGAGAAATCGGGACCACAAAACTCGTTGTGTCGGATACAGGTCTCATTTCAAGGCTTTGAATGGTTTCTGTACAACCGGACAGCTGCCTACGACAATATCATATCTCAGATGGTGTCCACAAGCCCCGCTTATCACAAGACGCGTAGAAGTTCAACAGAATGTCGCCAGTCGTTCCAAATGTCGGATTTCGGCACTCCAATTCCTCCCCCTTCGTCTGTACTCGGCGCTCTCCATCTTCGAACACCCACTTTTCTTCAAGATGCCTTCACTTGGTTCAAACGCCAACTTCCCACCTTGGACCCCAAGGAATTATTGCCTATTGGCCTAGACGCTACTAAAGGGGTGATAATTTGCGGCAACAATTCGACACCCAATTTGCTCGTGGCAGAATTCCAAAGGGCGGAAGGTAATATTGGGATATCACAGGCGCGTACTATGCCGTTCCGGGCTTCTACTTGACTTATTTCTACACAGTCACGGTCGAAGTATGACTTGTATAAGCAGTTTCTCACTCTTCGCTTCCAAAACGCTCTCATTCAGTATGTGGAGAACAGACAATATGGTGACACCATGCCTGCTATGGGAGAAATGATTCGTGATCTTGTTCAACAGTGAGTTCTTGCACCCAAAGAATTGTTGATTGTCTGAATCATATGTAGGAACGTCAGTCTCGGTCTATCATCTTCGTTTATGACATTCCATCGTTTTGGGAAAATCTGGCGGAAACTGCGTCTCTATGGGTTCATGGCGAAGTTCGTTTTGCGGCCAACTTCCTCTCGGATTCAGTCCCACGGAAAAACCACAAGTATGGAGGAAGACACTCCCATCGGGTCTGGATTTACATCTATGGAGTATGCCATCGAGCAAAAGGTATTGGAGACGCCGTCCCTCGAATTGTGCTACTATGCGGATGTGGCTGGCACCGTGCCTCCCCTCTCTCAACATCCAGATCAAGGGAGTTTTGATGACATTGGTAACGGCGACGTAGGGCCTGAATGGGGTATCGACCTGGTGGTTAAAAGTGGATTCATACACTATGGGCCTTGGGCAGATCGACAACGGTGAGTGAGTTCTTTTCTTCTGGTTGAGAGGATTTCTAAATGCCCGATCAGAGGCCATCTTCAGCGAGTCTTCTTCCCGCCAACGTTCCATGATGCAGAAGAGACCCTTCACTTACAACCAGGCGATCAACGACTATGGACGAACTTGAGAGTATTTGTCGAACTTCGCGATGCGACTACTCTTCATATTCCGTTCCGCGAAGCATCCAAGGTAGGTAGTTCTTCTTGTAGAACAATTACGGCCTTTAACGTGCTGAGTCGTTTAGAATTGGCAATGGGATGGGCTTACTGAAGTTCCCAGTAGACCCAAGAAAAGAGAACCTGCTGTGATCCACTTTACTGCAGGAGACAGTTCTACTATCAGCTACATGATGCCCATGATCGCCAGCTCTCGAGGTTATGAGCCAACATTGGAGGTACACATTGATACTCTAGTGGTCACATCTAGTTTGAATGACATAGAGCTCGTTACCTCCGAGTCATGCCGCGTGCGTCCTTTCTTTCTTCATATAATAATATCGTTCGATACTCATTCTGTTTTCCAGGTACGATGCGAGCTTCCCTCTCCGTTGAAGTGGAACGATTCAAGGACTTGGTGTATCGCAGTTTCTTTGAGGAAACCGATTCTGTACCTCTTACGTGATCATATCACCATGCTCATTGACCTTGGAAAAGACTGGGCTTCGGGACCTCCGAGCGATTTTTTCCGCTTCGTTCCGACGGTGTACTCATTTCAACTCGATATGCATCATTTTGAGTTGAACTTGTATGCAAATGACCATAATATTATTGACAAGCCTTTGGTCAAAGAAGAGAATGGTACTTCTGTTTAGCTGTTTACGTTGAATAGCAGCTGAGATTTCATGTAGCACTTCTGACGATTCGTGGACCATCGCTACGGAATGTAACTAGCATCCCGTCCGACATTTTTCGCCCTGAAGCCACAACCATTGCGTTCGTTGTGGAAGCGCCCGATGCTTCTCTTGCTCTCTCCTTACCTCGATGGCACACCCATGCTTTGCACGCTCCTGAGGACGGCAACCATATAGGGGTTCTGGATCTCCACCTTGACGGTTCTTACAGATACTTCGCAGACGTCCGAGAGGATAACATCGAACAGCTGAAATTGGTCTTATCGGTAAGTCTGTAACAAATTGTGTTTTCTCTCTTTAAAATCTTAATAGACCAGGAATGTTGCATTCAAAGCCGTAGGATGGTCAATCCGATATTTCATGATCATCAAAGATAACTACTTCGGATCCTTTACCCATTTCTCGACCTTGTATGAATATCTGGAGCGAAAGAGCCGAGGTCTTCCTCCTGGAGATCCTGTCGTGGACAAGTATCGTAAAGGACATGTAAGCGCTTTTCAGAAGTTTTTCTTGTATGTTATGAGCTTAAGCCTCCACCTCTAGTCCAACATGCTCCAAGTGAATATAGTTGTTCGAGTTGACAGCGGCTGTGTGATTTTACCTGCTGGACTTCCGGGTTACGACAGATCCTGCACAACGAAAGGCCATTCAGATGAAATCTGTATCGGACCGTGCCTTGTGCTGGATATTCCTGAACTGCAACTGCAACTGCGAATACATGATTATTTTATGGGTCAGGTGACTTCCATGGATTTTGCTTTTGTTAGCTAATCTTGTTAGCAGATCTTTCCTTAAATACTGGGTCCATCACAGGTTACATAGACTCAAATTGTCCTGAGAAAGTTCTCTATGCCTCGCAGTCGAAACCACCGAATGCCAAGAGCGTACTTTTGATAGAGGGTATGGGCAACTCCGGTGTTGGATCAAATGCTGATCGCACTGTAACAGGTCTCGACATCGTCGCCAATAGGCTATTTGGTCCCGTTCCACGCACGATCACATATTTCTGCGTCTGGAATATTAAGGTGGACAGTATCAAAGGCGTCTTGTCAGCTGCAGAGGCATCGACAATCACAGATGCGATCACTTCCTTTCGTGTAAACTTTTCGGATGCTGCTAATGCACCGGCGGTCGAATATGCTTTACCTTCTTATCCTGACGGTAAGTTCTTTATCCTTTTCGAACAGCTTGGAGTTCTACTAATCAACACAATAGTGACGTTCGTGAAGGTCCGGCTTTCGAGTGTTCATGTAATATGGGAAGCGAGCGATGCAGCCGCTATTCTTTCTTTACCAGAAGGTTTACGTCTGGACAATAACAACTTGGGTGGTCGCTTTCATCGCCAGTTGACAAGCATCCGTATCCCAGTAGCTCGTGCCAAAATGCTGCTCCATAATTTGTCTGATCATTGGTTGGAAGCAGGAGAGATGGTAGTTGATGTGTACCTTGATGTGTATACGTCACCCGTCAACTGGCGGAACCTGGCGGGAGCGCAGGAATCATTCGTCAAGGAACAAGATGTTCTTACAGGCCGGGCAGCGAAAATGCTGGAGAAGTTCAGGCTTTTTGGTTATGGAGATCCGTCTAACAGTCAGTGCTTCCACCCCTTGCTTCGTTTTCGAGTTCATTGATTTTAAACAAGTTTTTCCTACACACAGGAACAGTGTCTATATTCCCCAGCCCCTGAAACACCGTACACGTGGGCCTTGGGAAGACACCATGTATCAGGGTAAGAATGCGTCAACGTCGCCTGATTCTTGGCCTCTTTCAGAATCAGAGGAGGAATTTGGAGTATCTGAAGCGGATCGCGATGCTCGTCTGGCGTGGGTGTTAGGTCCTTCATATTATTATGAGAGCCCTCTGATCTTGTTCCCTCAGCCAAAGTCGAGTGGACTCTCTAATGTCACCTGTGCATGAAGAGGATCAAAATATGAGTGACGGCGACGAATCGGATAACGAAGATCTCACAGATGGCGAGACATCTGAAAGTGATTGGTTTGACTTTGGTTAGCAATTTATTCATCGTAATGCGAAGAGTGAACAATCCTGATATCCTGGGTAGAGGAAGAGACGTCTAACCCACTGTGTCGGAAGTACGGTCGATTTACACGACATTATATGGGAAGAGTTATCGACAAACTTGAACTTTGGGATCAATCGCCCTTTGTCCCAATCAGTGTAGGTCAGCCAAATCATCCAGGTTCCAACTATCTAATAGGTTATTTCAGTCGCTCAAGGCAGAGGATGTGCCGAAACATGCACGGGCTAGAGCACCACGGTCGTCCTCCATGCCACGCAACGATTTTCTAGATATGACTCTCCCGCCGCTTGACGTCGAAGTCACTGTGCTCCGTTGCATATGTCGGAAAGGCATTGAAATACGTCTTACGCCACTCGTCCTACCTGTCTTGTCCCATTTAGAGGAAGACTGTGAGAAAATTGTATGTTTCCAACTGCTTCAGGCTACCTTGAGTTCACCGAACGCCACAGAAATCCATTCCAGAATTGTGTATCGACTCGATGATGTCCGGATATCTTGGAAGCTTTTCCAAGTCATGGAAATATCAAAAGCGTGTTCTTCTTGACGTTGCTGTGCCGTCTCTTCGATTACTCGTTCTGCGTCATCTTGACCTCCCATCTTCCAATCCGACGGGCGTTATGAGCTCGATTGACCTTCGCCTGATGGGATTTTATGTACGTGGGTTCACCCAGAGACGAATAGGGACCTTGACCGCTGGCTCCGATGGCCTTGGCATCACCCTTGACACAGTTGGAAGGGCTGAAAAGATGGAAAAGGCCTTTGCAACGATATCAACTTCAGAGATCGATATTCATTGGAATGGTAAAGACTTAGACGCGTCATTTGGGTCCTTGACTATGACCGTGTCTCATCGGTGCCCCGAGTACCTCATGGCTCTTACTCTGGCGCTGGTCCGAGACGCCAAAGAGTTGCAGGCGTTGTTCACAAAATGGAAAAGTATCTTCACGCAACCGAAACTACGTGTTGTGCATTGGGTCTTAACTATGACGGGCGAAGATACCATCATGGATCCACTATCCGCCATCCAGCCCTTGTATCTCATTCAAAGCGGCACTCCTCACCAGCTGCGAACGGATGTCACATTTCGGTTCTTATTTCACTTGCGAAATCATCTATGGCACATTCAAAATGAGCGCAAGTTGACCCTCCCCGATCCCAATCGTTGCGTGAAACTGGAAGATATCGTGCCTGATTTGGAAGCTCGTTTGAGGATCGTAGATCCTGACGCATATCAAATGCAACGCTTGACATCACTGGAGCCATTGTTCCCCAGTCTACGACAATACTCAGGATCTATCGACGCTAAAGGCCTAGGACATGCTTTCACCTCGTTTACCATACGGATCTTGCACGCTTCCGCTCAAGTCGAAGACCCTGAAGGTCCACACTCTAGCGGCGTATCTGTGCAAAACTTGCGCCTGGGCGTTCGAGTCCGATACCTCGATTTGATCAATCCCCCGCGAAGTCCCTCGGAGAGTAATTCTGATATGTCAATTGGACAATATTCGCGTGACATGATTCAAGCATTTTACACCCAATTCTCTTTGGACACAACGGTGGTGACCATATATCCTCATGTGGTGGGCTTTATGCAAGCTTTCTTGCGGGTACAGCGAAATAAAAAATCATTCGGCACATGTGAACGTGGAGACGTCGAGACGCGTTCGCGTCAATCAAAGGCCTCAGTTAGGCGCACAGTGACGGCTACCAAGATAGAGGTCGACGCTTCCGTTCAAAGCTTTCGAGTGCATGCCATTGCGTCAAATATCACATTTGAATACGGCTTAAATGCTCTTCGCTACAGCTCCAATACGATGTTTGACAACACTCGTGATATTTCCATGAATCACTCCCTGCTATTCACCGACATCTACATTCGCGCACGTTCTCCGTCAGATATGTCTGTGGAAAATGGCCAGGACATTCTTGCTGCCCTAACACTTAGTGGCGGCAAGTTGAATACCATCATTCGTCAGGAAATCACTTCAGCCATGAAAGTTCGGCTTATCTTTGTGGCAGACAAACTTAATTTCACTGTCCCCCGTAGCGCTCTCCGTCTTTATCGCTTCTTTCAGGAATGGAGGAATGACTTTGTCGTCGGAATCGAGAGTTCTGTCCGAGAACTTTTGGTTGAATTGAGACCGTCCCCGCGCCAACCGACATCACCTGCACCTCCATCGTCGCGCGCTTCTATCCTTTTCCAAATAAATGGGAACCTTGGCGCATTTGGTGTCCTCCTACAGGTGATGCACGGCACTTGGATATCATGGGAAATGAATGATACAACGATGCATATGAGCACCACTCCGCCGCTCTCGTCACATAAATTATTCGGACTGCAAGTGGGTTCTCAAATATTCACAGTATCTTCCAAATCAGATGCTCGCGATGTTCTACCCAATTCCAGAGTCAAATTGGGATTGCCTCCGTTATCGCTTAGCGGGCGTTTTGATGGGTCTTGCATTAGAGCTATTCTGTTGGCCGAGTTTCTGGAACTGAAAGTGAAGCCATCTCATTGGGATACCCTCATGGCGGTGCAGCAAAAGTTTGGACAGGATTTCAACGATCTATTGGCACTGGTTCAGGAAACCCGGCTCAAACAGACCTATTCGGCACCGCAGAAGCCTGTTACTGCAATCTCATCCACAAAGGTCGTCCTTGCCGTAAAGATAAATGGTTTCCGAATCGGTCTTGAAGGTTTATCTTCCACCGTTTATCTCGAATGTAAGGATATTAGCGGAGGCCTTGATGACATGTCCGGACGTGCCTGGTCCATGACACTTTCCGGCCTTGCGTTGTCTTTGGCGCCTCTGGCAGCACTTGAACCTCGCAGCACTTCGTTTAGCAGAGATCATCGCTCGGCATTCGTCACCACAGACTTCAAAATCATGTCAAGGAGTCGAACGGACGAGACAATTCTTGGTGATACGTTGCAGATATCCGTGACCAAGATCCATGCAGTCATGCAACCCAGTTCCATTGGTGAAGTGGGGGATTTTATTGATGATATGCAGGTAATTGCCTGAGACTTATCCATATATATCTTGGACTTACAACTTCACACAGGCTGAGTTGTCTGTGCGAAGAGAGCAGCGTGCTCATGAACTTGCTGCTTTCAAGCAAAAAACCCAGAGCATCTTGAAGAGCTTCGAAGTCAAGGTCCATGATCTGGAATCTCGATCATCCTGGCTCAAAAACTATAATATTGATGTGAATATCAATCATATTGGGGTGGCTTTCCCTCTCACGCACGATGAACAACTCGAATTACCGAAATCAGGCAGTCATGATTCCAGTGCTGTCCGTGCTTTCCTCTTTTCCATTGAATCCCTCAAATTTGGAACGGAACGTGGAGTCACTGGCGAAGCATACATGAAAAACTGCTCTTTCCAGTTTGTCCAAAGGTGTGTCAGTGCAAGTGTCTTGATCATGGTCAATGCTCATGCAATCGACAGTTTTCACCAATCACTTCCAGACGATTTTTCTGGGTCATCACATCAAACCCGGAATCGTCTTGTGTACCCGGAAATGACCGCCTACATCAGGTCCTCAGGTTCCACCACGTCTCGTCAGATTACCATGAAGGCCAATGTCAGCGGTTTTGTCCTAGACTTGGATTCAAGTATTCCGGATTACATTTTTTCCTTGGTGGATGTTTATCAACGAGGCAAAGAGCGTGTCGTGCAACTGTCAAACACTTCACAACGTCTCTCTTCATCTCCCCCTTCTCGTCTTGAAGCAGCGACGGAGCCATTTGAACGACAATCTGCCACCGTTCCGACCTCGGCTTTCTGCGGATCGCTCACATTTTTGAGCGGTAAAGTGCGGGCATATAGTGCCACTGCTTCAAAATTGTCTCGAGCTAAGGCATTTACCAAGATACCATATAGCCCCACCGACGAGCAGGTTCTGTGTTTAGGCGCTGAAATATTTCGTCTTCCTATGGTCTCCGTTTGGACCGAGTATCGAGCAACGCCTGCATCCCAGAAACTCCGTGCAGTCACAGGCGATACAGAAGCATCAATTTTGGTATTCAAAAGCACGGTTCATTCCAGCCAAAACACCCTCAGGCCAACGCTCCTGCCCTTTTTCACGGAATTGATCAGTCACATAGAAAGTCGGCTAAGGGAGTCTAGTCGTCGGGAAACACAGTCACCGACATCGGACTCCCTTACTAGTCCTCGTTTGGCTACATCTGACGTCGATTCGTCGTCGAGCATGCAGATAAGTTTCAGTCTGCGGATAGACCAATCTAGGTTGGAATTGACTTGTAAACCAGATGTCAATGTTGTTGCTGGTTTGCACTGGGATAGCGGGGGCTTCGTCATCAATGTGTGTCCTCGTGCACGCAACGTCACATTCACTGGAAGTGTAGGTGGCCTCACCGTCGGTTTGCGACATGGTTTCTTAAGTGAAGATTGTGTCAATCTGGATGCCCGCAATCTTGCGTTTTCGATCACCTTCTCCAAGCTAGATGTTGATGAGACCAGATCAATCAGTTCTGTGTCTCTTGTTTTGGACACCGAGTTCCTTGGAGGCATGCGCTTTTCTCGGCTTCAGGATGTACTTTGTTTTAAGGCAGTTTGGCTCGATCGGCTTCCCATGTTTAATGGGAAGCAAAGTGACAGTATTGTCAATGCGGCCCCGAAATCGAATCCTGACACACTTATGGCACATCGACAAGAATACGCCACCATCATTCTCCTTCGCATACGTCAAATCAAGTTAGACGTTGATTTGGGCCAGTCCATTAGTACCGTCGTTCTTGATCTCAAAGATTCCATTCTACGCACAAAATTGACTGAGGCCACTCACGAGCTCTCGTTGTCTGTTGGAGATGTCAGCGTTACGGCTAAAGGAAATGTCGCCGGCAAAGCGAATGTATCTAATTGCGTATTCCAAACGATCCGCCGAATCGAGAATCACGTTGATGACGCTGCTCACAGCCGCATGCTGGAGCTCAGGATGACAAGTGGTCCTTTTGTTGTAGTCCTTGAATCAGAACACCAGAAATTATTACATTATAGGTAAGCCGACAATCCTACCTTGGGGGAGTTCATCCTAAAGATTGAATAGGGCGGAGCCTATTGAAGTAGAGATCTTTGATGACTGGTCACAGATTCTGTTGCATTTGGAGACAGCCAATCGTCCACTCAGTCTATCATTCACTGTCGTCAGCCCCGAAATCGTTGCTGTCATCACGGTCGGAACAATTCCGAAAATCCTAACCTATGCGAAGAAGTTCAACGCAAACCTGGATGCCCAGCGGGAGGGTGCCAGTCGAGACTCCAAAACCTTCCGTGCCAGTAGAACCACCCAGCCAGATAATGCACTATCCGCTATTGCCGAGGCAATGTTACATACAGCGCGCAATCGCCTCAGAGAAGTAGAGGCTGGTCTGTCGTACACCATCCGTCAATACATGAGTCTACGACTCGACTTATTGCGTTTGGTCTTATTTCCAAGGACTATGGATGATCTCGAAGCCGCACAGTTCATTGGGCGAAACATCCGTGCACGTCTGGATCGTCTTATCCATGTGGATAAGCCATCCAGGAGGGATATATTTCTGTCATTCACATCCATGTCAATCTCCCGTTTCGCACAGCTGGGCCACATACCTACTACACTACTGGACAACAGCGAATGGTTGACAGACCTTTTGAAGGATGCGTCGGAAGCCATCATTGTGGGTCTGCCATCGATGACTATGCACATGGTCAGCGAGGAGACGCAAGAGGGCTCCAGTAAAGTTCTCGACTACGACTTTCGAAGTGTTTTCGTTCGTCGTACAGGAATGCGGGACTTCGAGGATATCTATATCACCCTGAACGTTGGCCTCTACTCTTGGCTCACTGTTCAAAGAAAGAACTTGACCAGGGAAATGGATCAAGTTCGAACGGCTGTGGAGTGGAGAAGCACGCTTACTGCGCCAGCCAATATTGCATCAACTCGCAGGAAGGTAGTCGATACTCCAGAGACTCCTCGTCCGGCGACCGTTCCACGACCTCCTAGACCACCGTCTCCCGCGACCGCCCGGTCAGCGTCAGCGGCTATCCCCAGTTTCGCTTCCCCTCCAACCGGTCAAAGTGGCTCTGCACCCACGACCGCCGACGAGGATGCAGACACGACGGTGGTAAATTCTCCGCTACAAGCACCCCACAAGGGGATCATTTACCGGCATCATGACAGATATATCGAACGCCTGACTATGCGCCAACTAGGCGATGCGACACCTGATGTCATGCATCCATTCTTCATGAAAAAGGCTGGCTTCAGTTTGGAAGAATCTCTTCCACAATATGTGCATGAATATGCCACTGTCCCTTTGGAACAGATCATGGAAGCTTTGCTCAAATTGTACAGTAGGCAGCTTCCAGATAGAGGGGATTCGGTTTAGTTTCGGGTATGATATTGTATATTCGCTATTTTAATCCTCTTACTGCTAACGTACATTTTATATAATTCGAAGCTGTCCATACCAATGTTCAAAAGGTCATTTTCCAACGTTCGAACAACCGCTGAAGACACTCAGCAGAGCAAAACAGCCATACAAAAGCCCAACAGGGTAAGCGACCAAAAGACGCTGGTCGGACATACGCAGGACAGCAACAAATATGCCAGATGCCGAATAAGTGCACCAAATGATAGAGAGAAGTGCAAGAAGATAACCAAACATGTCACTGGCAAAATGTAAGAATTGATAGGACAAAGATGAAGATAAACTTACTCTAAAGCCACCATGATACTAACGCCACCGACGCCTACCATGGGGAGCAGGCAGTAGCCAAGCACAGAGGCCACGCGATATGCATCAATACCCTGCTCCGACATGAGGTTCAAGAGCATATAAATGGAGACTGAGCCGAAAAGGCCGACCCCGTAGATGAATCCGAAATTTGGTTTCCCTGACTGCAATACTGCATCAAGATAAAGTGAAAGAGAAGGACGAAACACTGAACTCACAAACAATAGGAATAGGCCATAGCAGAAGAAGAAGATTATGGGTCCTGCAAGATCTGCGTCGTCCATTATATGGTCGTCCACGCTGCTCAACGGATTGAGTACGGTCATGGATTTAGCGCGTATATGAGAAAAATTGATTCCTAGCTCTGAGAACTGAGCGTTAGAAAAAAGAAAAAAAAACATTAGAGGTACTCTGCACCTTCCAGTAACGGTGGTTCGCCTTCAAAACCTCCCGTACCAAATGCCGTCCACCATGGACCTTGAACCTGAATATTCCCTCCGAATCCTGGACCACTGGGGCCTTGGGACATTGTTCCTTGTGCTCCCATGCTTCCTTCTAGACTAGGACGTGATCCAGGATAAAATGAGCTTCCATCTGAACCGGATGGAGAATAGAATTGCAGGGGAGCTCCCTGGGCAGGTTGGGAGTAGTAAGTATTTTGGGAAGACGATGCGCCGTATGCATTGTTATCTTGCCACATAATTTTAAAGGAAGTAGAACTGGAATTGAGGAAGAAACTTGAAAGAATCAGGAAGATACTGCTGCACAGTGCACGTCGGTCGCACAACTACACGTGGATGGTCACGTGCTATTCAAATCAGATCCACTATTTTTGTCTGATTGGCAAAAGCGTCATCGAGAATTTCTCTCCTCCCGTCATGGTGAAGAAAATAAGTTTGTTCAGTATGATATCTTTCCTGACAGGTTTTTTTTCTTGCAGCCTCAGGTAATCCTGAAAGTCCTACAAGATACATACGAGGTGCTGAACTGTCTTATAGAATGAATATATCGAGGAGCACATAAAAAGGCATGGAAGAAGATTAGATCATTTCGAGCGAAAGTGAGTGGCCAATGCTGAAGGCGTAATATCGACTGAACAAGCACCAAGGCGCAAAAAAGAGGCTCGTGAAGCCCACCGTTCTTCAGCATACGCCCAAAAAGCATTTGGTATAAAGGCCAAGCTCCTCCATGCTAAGCGACACGCCGAGAAGGTTCAACTCAAGAAGACCCTCAAAGCCCACGACGAGCGCAATATAAAACAAGCTGACTCATCAACTGTACCGGATGGCGCGCTCCCCACCTACCTTCTTGATCGTGAAGGGCAAAAAGATGCGAAAGCCCTCTCCACTGCCATCAAGCAGAAGCGGAAAGATAAAGCGGCCAAGTATTCCGTTCCCTTACCCAAAGTTCGTGGTATTGCGGAAGACGAAATGTTCAAGGTCATGAAAACCGGGAAAAGCAAGAGCAAGGCATGGAAGAGGATGGTCACGAAAGCGACGTTTGTAGGGGAGGGTTTCACAAGAAAACCGGTCAAGATGGAACGTTTCATCCGGCCCATGGCCTTGCGGTATAAGAAAGCTAATGTCACACATCGTCCGTCCTTCATTAGTCTCTCATTACCATTGCTCATTACCACTTTAGCCGACCTAAAGGCCACATTCCAACTTCAGATTCTCGGCGTCAAGAAAAACCCTCAGTCACCTATGTACACACAACTCGGTGTGATGACAAAAGGCACGGTGATAGAGGTGAACGTTTCCGAGCTCGGAATGGTCACCACTGGCGGCAAAGTCGTGTTCGGAAAATATGCTCAAATAACTAACAATCCTGAAAACGACGGTTGTATTAATGCTGTCCTCCGTAAGTCTTCCATCCTTTATTCTGCCGATCTACTGACCGCCGTAATTCAGTCGTGTGATTCATGATATACCTTCCCATCTTCCCTGTATCATAGATCTACATGTATACTTAGTGGTATGTCTTGATACCTCTTCTAGGTTGATCCCCAATCTATGGCTAAGAGAGTCATCATGAGTCATTCTGCCGCAGCTCAGTCATGTTGGGAAAAGCATATTTATGTGGAGCAGCAAGAAAGCTACGATTGAACAATGTCCTTGGATATTTACATATACTAAAATACAGTATTCCGTTGATACTAAACCAGCAGAGGAAGAGATAAATAAGCAGTTGCGACGGATTACAAAATTGGGAGATCTATTATTACAGACCATGCCCTTGAATAAAATTAAGAGGTGTGCGGTGTGGGGGGTGGAGGGAATGCATGGAAGCTCCGTGGTGGGTGATTGTCCCAGGTAAAATAGCTAGTTTTGTTTTCCTCGTCGTAATGGCGATTTTGTCTGTCCCAGCCAGGGGGCACCCTAAGTATGGTACACATTGAGAATTCTGATAGTGCAGCAGTTTGGAAAAAGCATCATACCGGAATACCCGTCTATCGATGGAAGGTTGGGCTTGTGCAGGAATCGACCGAGCATCCGAGGTAGGTGGATGAGAATAGAGTCGGTCGGTCTCGTCATCGTACACATCCACTGCATGACCCGAATCGTCCGTTGATCTATAAGCGACTTGTCTATGACTCGAGGGAGGGAGCTGATGGTCAACAAACGACTTATTCTGGTGTTCATACGGAGCAGGTGATGAATGAGGCAATCGATGATACGAAGCAATTCGTGGGACGCGTGGTCCCGAGGACCAATCGTTCGCACCGTTACTCGCTGGAGGCTGATGGTAAGTTGGGTAACGAGACCTATCAACCCCGGCAGTGGGCAAATGCTCGTCAGAAGGATCCTGCAGTTGGTAAAAACTCTGCCTTAATACGGACATTGACGAGGAAGATTGACTTCTATGCGCAGACTGAGATCGCGGAGGGTGAAGAGGGGTTGACTCAGCAGAATAAGACGATTGGAGCGATATGACAGGCTGTGGTGAATGCGTTGTGGGCATAGACCAGAGAGCAACATCCTGTTGCGACTCCGTCGATGACTCGGATGAACCCGACACGTACCGAGAAACATTCCTTTGTGCCAATCGCCTACTTTCCCGAAAGTCCAGAGAGCAGTCTCGATCTTCATCCCCGTCGGAAGAAGGCAATGATTCCTTGATTTGTCGTCTGCCATATCATACAAGTCAGAACACAGGTGGAAACACAACCAAACCCACATTATAGGTTCCACAGTTTCGTAACGGGGTGCCGCCCATTCCAAGGCTTTTAGAAAGATCGATATATCCTTCATGAGAGGTTCCAGAGCCTGAACTAGAGGTGGCTTGATATCTTCGATCCCACTGGCCAGCTGAACCCTTTCCTTGGCTTTCAGATCCCAAATCCCCACCAGTAACACGCCACACGAAATATGCGATATTGAGATCAGATTTGGAATGTTCCAAAGTCCCTGCAGCATTTGTTCTTCTACGATATGAGCGCATGATTTGGCCGCGTTGGTGCAGATGGCCAAAGCTGGAAATGGAAACGACGAAGTGGAGTTAGAAGGACGACCGTCGCATGCTGCGGGAGACGGAATAAAAGGGCGATAAATCAGCATCTGAGTGAGGTAATAAGCGGTATATAAAGTTGCCGAGAGATTGGAATAGATTGAGTTTTCGAGCTGAGAAGACCATTTCACTAAGACAACGTCATAGTAAGTAAGGCTGGAGAAAGATTCATCGCAGCACTCACAATAGTCAGGAACCGAGTCTACCCATTCTGTCAAGGCAGCATTCAACTGTGAAACGATTTGGTCCGGTCTTCCGATAGGACGTCCCATGATAACATTGGCCGGATTCGTGGCATACTGTAAACTAGTCAGTCCAACGAAGATCTGTGAAACGATAAAAATTACATACAATCGTCCGCGTGGTGAAAGCCACTATCTGTGAGAGCTTGATAAACAAGTTGAAGGCAGTTATCGTGCAAGGAACATCTTGAGGCTGCTGAAAGGCCATGCTTGGGTCTTCAGGCTCCCAATATGCATCGTCCACTTCCACCGGTAAGTCCACATCGAAGCTGGAGAAGAGTGAGTCCAATAACCGATTTTACCACAATGTACCTACTCTTCTTCCCCAACACCGCATGGCCGTCCGATATGGGCACTCCCGATGCGATCAAAAGCGATTAACATCCAGAAAGCTCTCTTCCACAGTTCTTCTTGCACCGTTGGTTTCTGTTGATAAACCGTTCGGCGATGAGCTCCAACATCTTGAGCTTTGCGTATGCCGACACTTATTAACATCCAGGCAGTGGGATGAGACGAGGTTCCTCGGAGAAACATAGCCAATAGCTGGGAATGTGTCAGGGAAGCATGGTATCTGATTTTGTAAGAGCTCACTGAAAACGTCTGCACTTCGAGAAGAGTAGCCGGATAGAGAAGGCTTCTCCGATGTCGATGAACACCTGTATAGAAGTATTAACCACCTTTGAGATGAAAGGAGATTTATCTTACCAAGCGCCACAGTGAAATAGGTCCATCCCGCCTTTGTCCAGTCTACTTCCTCATTTTCCTTCTTGGCGACACCTTTCGGCAGAACCCGCGGATCATCGCAAGAACGACTAGCGACCGCAAAGATGGTAAGTGCCAAACATGCGAACCAGATGTTCCGGTTTTGCAAATTTTCGCGCCACTGACGATCAAAAGTTGGTCGGTGAAGGAGAGGGAACTGGATGTTGATGCGACAAAAATAAATATCAACGAGCTTCGTGGCAAGATCGGGAGGAGGGAATTGAGCGAGGATTTCAGGCAGAATTTCAGGAGAATCTACATGAATACCTTCGTATAAACGCTCCCACTACACTCAGCTATTAGTCAGTAAAAATGAGCAAGGTGAAAGCAAGACATACAGGCGGAGGACGCCAAAATTCTGGCCTCCTCGGTGAATCGGGGCCAAAACCCGGACTAGGCGTACCTTTACCGGAATCGCTGCCCGTATCGAGCATATGCAGATGTTTGAACTTTCGCGTCGCATCCACCATCCGTAATGAGCTGCTCTGACCATGAAAGCGAGCGAAGTTGTCCTCTTCTGAAATATCATCGGACAAGCGTAGAGATAGTCGACCTTTACCTTCGAAGCCTTCTACCAGCTCATCAACGTCAGATGAAGGATCAGAGACATTGGCTTCCGATTTATGGTGACTTCCATGAGTGCCAGAAGAATGTTTCCGAACCGGAACACGGGGGCGCTTCTGTGGACGTAGATCGCTGAGCATTAAGTGGGTAGAAAATCCAAGCGGGACCGAGGGAGAGAACAGAGCGCCTGCCGCGACAGGTTTCTTGGATGAAGATGACGCCAGGAGATTGAAAGAAGTAGACTTTGCTTTCGACTGGGATGTGGCGTTGTCGGCTGAATTTGCAGACTCCTCGTTTTTCCAGGAATCACGTATAACTGGAGGTCCTAAGTCTTCTGAAAAGTCGGATTCAGGCCACAGCTACAAGTTAGGAAAGTTAGATACATGATCGAGACGTCATGGCGCGAACAAACTGCGTATGTGACGCGACAAATACACGCACCCTCTTCAAAAGGTCCTCCATCTTTTCGAGGCGGTCCTCAAGCCCAACTACATACCTGCGCAGGGGAATGAGTACGAAGCGTATATATGAGGCCGGACTGACGCTTTAGGCGGGCCCCTGGGCTTGGACATTTCCCTACGGGTGGCTATTGAGAACCAGGACGGCGAGAAAGTGGGAAGTAGTGACATACACATAAGTGCAGGCCTTGCGACTTTGCATACAGTTGGTACAGACATTATCGGGCATTTTGGGACCGTCGCATTTTGTCTTGCGACGACGACAAGCATCGCAAGCCCTGTCAATCTTCCGTTTCTTGTGGGCGGGCGGGCGAAGCTTAGGACGGCTGTCTATGGAATCCAAGGCAAAAGAGGATGTAGAAGGAGCGGATAAATCAATGACATGAGTAGAACTCTCTGATTGATAATAAGGAAGAGAGTTTTGCATTAATGAGAGACGGGTACACTCTGGAGGGAGGCACAAGGGGGGCCGAGGAGACGATGGTGGTGATGGGAGAAGGAGGGGGGAGGGGGGCGGGCGGGATGGCGGTCAGAAAGGTGGTGAACAAGATCAGGCACTCTCCAGTTACAAAGTTCTCGTCGCTCACGTGGTTGAGTCGATCATTTCAATCGTCCGAGAGCCAGGTCCCATACGTCAGTCGTGGTTGTCAGCTTACGACTTTTGCTCATTTTAGCCGTCTGTGATTTATTAATCGTCGGCAATGGCCTTTGCCCAGCTGCGGTCTGCTGCGCCTCAGGGCATTCCTTGATCTAGATTTCCCCCGTTTCCCAGCCATTTCCTGGACTCTAGGTACCTAGTACCTGGCGTTGATTCCCCGATTCATTCATATGAGAGTAGTAAATGCCAAGTAGTCGCCTGAAACTTAGCTTGCAATCACATGGTTCCAGTCTCCATCTCCTCACATTTTCCTCCAGATCTCGTGCGGTTGGACGGATCAGACACAGTCCAGCCGTATCGGAACGGCGCCGAATCACACTAAAAGCATCACAGGTTTCAGCTATCAGCGGGGGGTAACTCGGCGGTGGTGGCGTGATAGGCTGCTCGTTCCCGAGCTTGCAGCGCTTCGCAGGCAAAGCGTAGGAATATTTGTTTAGAAGGATACTAGCCTCATCAAGCTTGTCGGATCATCGATCATCCTTAGCTTTCGCGGGAAAACCATGTGTAACTGCACACAACAGAATATTAGAATCGTCCAAAACAACCGCTGTCAAAGGAACGCACAAATCAATGGTATCGCGTGCAACGATTCAAGCCCAGAAGTTCCTAGAAATTCTTGTAGAACTCAGCGCTTGTTTATTCGTCGTTAGGGTGCTTGGACATCGATGAGTTCACCCCCACAGGACCAAAAGTGATGGCCCACTAGGTACAAAGGCTCAACTTTTATCAGAACCCTCACGGAAGAGCGAACCTAGCAAAAACACCGACAAGCATCCGAATGGCAAACTGCCGACGACAATGTCCGCACAACGACCTCTTATTATCAAGCGTGAAACCGAGATGAGTATGACGTTGAAGGTTGGTGAGGTTCCTTTTATCCCTCGCAACCCACTAAATTTTTTTTGCATCCCACCTCATTGCAGGAATATCGCTGCTGCAACAAACAGAAGTCAAATATTTCTTCCATACTTACACATAAACGCGTCAAACTAAATGGATCCTACACAACGCCGTGCCAACACATTGTGTTAAGCGCCGGAGGTACCAAGGCTTTTTCGTAAATGAAATAGTAGAAACCATCATCGCCGAATACCTCTTGAAGCTGTAGGCGCCACACCGCGACCACGTCGGGCTGCAAAAAAAAGATGAGTCAGTACGCAGATCCTTTGGGGAATTGTTGTAACAAACGTACCATTTGCTGAAGGAATTACATGAATAAACGTCAAACCAATGACAGGATGAAAGTGACCACGTACCCCGCATAATGGTTGCACGTCCACGTGCTGTACCAATACCTCTCCCTCTCATAGCATTGGGACCAACCCGTTTGAACCTGCGACAAGAAATTTCGCCATTGGTCAGGCGGCTAGGAGGATTGAAGCAAAGAGGGGCGCACATCGGGGCATTCTGCAGCATATCCGGAACAATGAAGAATCGAATCATACTCCCCCGAATATACACTTGGTCTAGCTGGGAAACACGTCCATCCCGCGCAGTGACAGTGATTTCTTTGAGAGATATATTCAGATTATCCTCAGCTGTGAAATGACAGGAATAAAAATGTTGGTCGTGCTTTGGGTGAGGACAAACGGACCTTCCGCTAGCTTTCCGCGGTACAGCTGGCCCGTTTTCAGCTCTACTGTTATAATATGGCCCAGCGATTCGTGGAGTAATTTGACTGGAACACCGAGTCCTGACGTTGCCATCGTTTTTCGTATATATGCTCGGTCTTGTTGAGAGGCGGAGTCAAGACGCGATAAGCTTCTGATGCAAACATGAACCAACAGACACTTGGAACAAAACTTCAGATCACTGGCGTCGAGCTGCAGTTGCGAAATTGTCAGATTTACCGGGCTTTCATAGACTCCATGAACAATATGTTCATTATTTAAGATTTCCGGATGAAGGAAAGTCATCAATTCACTGTAACTCATCAACACAGGCGTTTTCAGAAGGGCCAGTGAGGCCCGGCCAACACTAAGTAATGCCATTACTGGGTTCGCAACCTGAACGTATATGTAGCACTAAGTAGAAACGGTTATAAAGGTCCTTGGTATACTCTGACACTGAACAGCTTTCAATAAATAGGTTTAGGGCAGGCCGGATCAGATCATGACTTCTCCTCCAACTCACTCAAGAAAGCAAGCCATGTTTTCTTGTCAATAACACCTTCGACTGGAGAATTTTTCAGTGCCCGCATACATACTACAGAATGTCGGAGAAACCTACAGTATCCGTCAACGTCTGTCACCACAACGTAGCGAGCCCCTAGTTTCACAAAAAGCTGATGAACCATTTCCAATGGGGAATTTGATTGCACAGTAAGAGGTGCCTGTATCGAGATCAGATAAATAAAGAGAGAACCGAGCGGAGGTACAATCCAACTTGCCTGATCCATGTAGATACTAAAATCAAAGGGATCGGCAGCATAATCTTGCGTATTCTCTATCAAGGAAGAGACAGATAAAGAGGCGAGGCTGTGATATGAGAACGTGGAATGGAAGTGTACTTCGTCATCAGCATGATCCGCCACTATACCTGGAATAGATGTCAATTACAGGTAGCAAGCACACTGGAGGAAAACGAACTGAGCGCATGTTCGAGCTCGTTGGCACCAATATATCCAACCATTCTCAGGCCCCCTTCGTCGCCGTCCGTTCGGAGGATAGGGAAACCACCATCATCGTTACCGGAAGATAGTAGGGTCTGAAGTTGATCCCGAAGGCTTTCAACGGTGTTTGGCCGGTCAAGTCTGATAATTTCGACATCTCTGTCGGTCTACACCCATCGCGTTATTAGCATGACAACACAGTGAAATCGGAGAAGTAATCGCTCACTATGTCATCAATAGTCAACTTGCCCCATAGGTATCCAATTTTCGAGTCAAGGTAGGGAAGCTGAGACAGGTTAATGACGAGATCGTAGATTCCCTTGGGTTCGAGTGCGTCAGCGACACCCTTCGCTACGAGCACGGCCAACATGACAGGAACAGCATATGTTAAAGTGTCGGTCAGCTCAAACATGATGACAGCCAGGGAAACTGTCGTTCGCTGCCAAAGCTCTGGGCTTAGTTTTTAATCGGGAACAAAATGTCGAGGACCCTACCGTGACACCAGACAAAGAAGCCGCCGCACCCACCATAGCATAAAGTCCGGGAATGATGCCTGTGTGGCATGAGAAACGATCAAAGAGACATTCGGGAAACAGGACAGGACTTACAGTCCAAATCGCCTTTACACGGCTTGAATATTGGGGCATCAGGGTATGTCATTTGCAACCATTGCATGAAGATGCCAAGGATTCGACCCGCGCAGGCTCCAACACCAAGGGACGGTATGAAGATTCCCGCCGGTACCTTGATACCAAAGGTAATGATAGTGAGTGCACCCCGTACAACTAGGGCGACTGTGATGGCGCGGATGACAGGCCAGATGTGTTCGAAGGATCCCGGGTCGACAACACACAGACCTTCATGCGAATTTCCAGAGCCTGTTTGACATTCTGCAAACAGGTTATACACCAGCTCTGTACCACCCATGCGAGTATAGGGATTAAGGAAACAAATGACAGTGGTAAGAAGAGTGACCTGATGCCAATAGCAAATCAGAAAAGGAACAGCACAAGTGATAAAGATATTATACCAATAAAACTTCCGCGACAGGGTGTGTCTTGAGCCATGACCCATTTCGTACGTGCCGACTCCAGCGGTAATTCAGCTTGGAGAAATATGCGCCGTAGATACCCTATTTGTTAACTGTAAGCAACAAGGATAACAATAGCGCAGAGCAAGTGGGGCACTCGCACCCCAAACACGCCCAGAAGGACAAACGGGAACAGCTCGTACGCATGCCAGTCCTAAATATCCGAAAATCAATGATTCGCAGAAATCACAGTATGATGGATGAATTACCCTATCATATGTCACTTGGAAGAGCACTAGTTTCCCGGTCCCAAATGGGTCAAGCATCTTAAGAGTGATTGCTGCTATCATCGCGCAGAAGAAACTGAAAGATGTTGAGCATGCAGGGAACGATTGATAAACGGGATACAAGCACCTTCGCCACATGACCTTCAGATATTTTCAGTTCATTGGACCATGGAGTCAAGACTGCTGGTCAACAACGCACCTTGGGAGGAAAGAAGTAGGACACCTCTTCCAAGCTGAACAATGTACCACCTATAGGTGCGCCAAAGGCGACCGCTACGCCAGCCGCGCAAGCTGCGCTCAATATTTCACGCCGTTTAGCTAGTGAAACATGAGACACGAGAGATTGCAACTGTAAAAGGCTAACAGACCTTCATTGTTCTCATATTTACTATGGAACCGGCTGACGATGTTACCAATGCAGCTTGCAATGTGCACAAACGGGCCTTCCTTTCCTAACGAGAGACCGGAGGCCACGGAAAGGGCGAGCCCGACGGACTTGGTGAACAAAACACGACCGCCAAGGTACCCATGGATGACGAATCCTACATTCACTGTCAGACAGTTCTCTGCAGTTTGCGACACGACCGTACCGGAAAGAATGGTCTTAATTTCAGGTATCCCGCTTCCAGCAGCCTATAAATGGCAAATTAACGAAAGGCAACATGAATATAGTAGTCGTGCTTGCATAGAACGCGACTTTGCGTTTTGCTCCAGGAGAGGACAGTGTATCTTTCAAGCTTTGCCGGTGATCAGTGAAGTCTGGTGCGAGGACGCCCGATTCTATACGGTATCAAACGAAAGTGGGTGAGATAAAGAAACCCATACTTGCCTTTGCGCGTAACGAATGACGAAGAGTTGGTTAAATATATCGTAAGCAAGCATGACACTAGTGCCAGCAATAACTGTGGAGAGTCAGCACAGCTATCGTTATCAGATGGATAATCTTACAGCGACAGCAGAATAAGACAGGTACTCCGCAGCCTCTCCGCTCTTGGCATGCTTATCCAAATGTGCCGCCTGCACCCACGTCGTCCACGCCGAACAACCATTCTCCAATGTGGAGTCGCCAGAGAAGAGAGAAATGAAAAATGCCGAAGATTCGTCAAGCTGAGGACAACAAAACCGTTTGGCGCGCAGCCAGTGGTCTTTACAATACCCTTCCTTCAAGTCAAACAACCATTGCTCGCTTCGAACAACAAGAAACGCGACGACAGCGGTGAAGAACCCTACGATGGTGACGATGATCCAACCCAAACTCTTGTCTACTGCTAGACGTATGCGCGCCCGGAGGGACTTGCGTCTCCTCAATCGGGAGAAACGCGCCGAGTCCTTAATAGCGTCGTGGAGCCAGTCGACGGATGAGAAAGATGAATACCAGACGCGGATGCCATTGACCTTTGTATCCATGTCGGTGCTCCCGGTATCCTTGGATGAGAAGGGAGCATCGTAGGCCGAGATTGGACGTTGTGCGCTCAGACGTGAATATGTTTCTCTGAACAAAGAAGGGGAATACATCGGAGTTGGAGTATCAGTAACAACATCCCGGCCCGGTAGAGTAATGGGGGGAAGGTCTGGCATACTGCGTCTCGTCGAGAAAGTGAGAGAGCCCTTGTGAAACAGAGATTTTTTGGAATTGCCAGAAGGCAAAGTGCCATAAAAGCGGGGACTTTGACTGGGCTGACGTAGGGGGGTGTTTTCAGCAACATCCTGCTCAGGAAGAGGTTCGTTGGCCGCTGAATCACGACCCTGAACAGACTCGTGGCTAGGGGGAAGTGCTGACAGAGTTTCGACCGTACTAGGTGTACTACCGATTCGTAGGAGCCGCTCGCGACGCCATGTTGTCGAAGACGGCGCACTGATCCCGACGTTAGCGCTCGGTTGGGTCTCCAAGCCTGACATAGCAAGTGTACGAGCACAAGGCTACGGTACCGGTTCCATTGCCAATTTCTCCACACTGGTAGTGACGGCAACACGGAACCAAGTGCCGGAAACATATCAAAAAGTAGCTTTGTCCTCGTTTTGGTAATTTTTGAGTGCTAATCGCAAGGCAGGGTCCTCACGTCCGCGTCCTCCAGCGCTCCGTTCTATGTGAAACATAATTTCTAGAATTTTAGATACCGTTCCTTCACTGGAGCTGGATCCAAGTTGAACGAGAACAACAGCTATATATCTTGGCCGTAAGTACAAAAGAATGCCGATGGTGCCGCCATCAATCAAGGGGGGTTGGGGCCTTTGAGTTAAATATATATTATTCATTACGTGCTGCACAGAAATACTCATACTCTACGCTGCGATTCCTTTCAGGACCGACTGGCACCTTGGCTGCTAGCACCAAAAGTGGCACTCCCAGCCGCTGAAGCAGTTGTAGGCATCGGACCACCTGTTCCCTGAACTGAGATCGCTGGAACGGCCGTTGATCCCCCAGAACTACTACTGCTACTGCTACTACTAGTGCTTCTAGACATCAAAGAATTCAATATGACCGCCAATCCACTCATCTGTGAAGACTGCAGCACTGAAACATTGATCTCCAGGCTCAACATGGTACCATTAGCCGACGAGCCTCGAAGCACCGCAGGCGGTGCAGGTTGCCCATCCGTCACAGATGTAGGGGCCACGGGCACGATGCCGAGTTGATGAAGAGCTGGGAGTGATGAAACAGGGAGCTGGACAGGTATAGCACTTCCTAGCTGGTATGGTGCTGTGGCTGCTGGGGCGGCGGGTGCTGGCGTCACAGGCGCAACACTAAATGAGGATGTGGAACTTGGCTGTACATGCGCACCATATGCATACGCGTACGGGTAGGGATGGTAGTAGGGTCGACTTGTGGTTGTGGTAGCTGGCGTCACCGGCTGAGCCATGTAATACGATGTCCGCTGTGCATTCGTGGCAACACGCTTCTCTCTTTCGAGTCGGTCTAGTTCCGTCCGAGCGGTGCGAAGCTCGTTGTTTAACGTGACAGTGTCAGCGCGTTCGCCTTCTAAAACCGCTTGGGCAAGGAAGACCGCCTGGTCATTAGGCGCAGAACGCTGGCGCCATTGAATGAGTACACGAGATTCATACGGATTATGATACTCCTTACCCGTCCAGATTTCAAACGTGCTTTCCGAAAGCGTTCTTCCAACTTCTTCCTTCGCTTGAAACATTCTAGCGCGAATTTCGTTTCTGTGAAGAGTAAAACAGCAAGGTTGCTTAAGATATACACGTTCACGAACCGTGTATCTCCCTGTTAAGGTCATCATGGGTCGCCTTACCCTTGCCTTTGCCTACATTTCCGTGGATAAGTGCATGCAGGTCATCTGATGGCTGTTGGTATACGTGGTAGGGTAGGAGACGCTTGATGATGTCGAGAGTATCGGAGAAAGGAGTATCCACCTCTGGATGTGTAACCGCCGCTTGGTCTGCTGCAAGACAAGTAGCTACACTGCACCAGAAAGCGGTAAGCATATGAACGTTCATTACGTGCCCAAACCTACTTGGCTGCAACCTGTGCCGATATTCTACTTTCCTCCTGTGTCCTGTTTTTTCTAGGTGCTGCTTTTTTGGCGGGCGGCTGATTCTGGGCTAGGTTCCAATGTGCTGGAGGTCGCCAAGTGGACGGGCCAGCATGCAACGATGACATTGCTGTTGGGAGGATGGGCTGTGTGGAAGAAGAAAGGACGCCTGGATATGCATCCTGGACTGGCTTGATAGAGGTATTCGTGAACGAAAGAGGTGAAGAGAAGGTTTGCGACATTCGTCTACGTTTGTTGAGGTTTTACTTTTCAGGTCACGCGCCAGCACCCTTGTTAAGGGCAGGTTCTGGGCTAAGTCGATATCGAATCATCTAGGTAGTAAATAAAACTGTGATACTACTAAGTCACCACTGCGTCAGCTTCACCCGCCATTTGCTTCGTGATAAGCTGCTTAACCTTTTTCAGCATGGTCGTTGCCCGAGCTACATCCTCGGAGTTGCTGGCTGCCACCGACGAGAGGTACTCCCGGGCCAAGTTCAGATCGCCATCCGGAACGAGCATCTGATACGCAGCAACTTCAATACAAGACTTGGCATATTCTGTAATGTCCCTCTCTAAACAAAAAGAAACTTCTTTGGTAATCCCCGAAGAATAGAAATCAGATGCACTCAACGTTCTGCTTGGCTGATCTCAATTATCCGGCGATGAAATGATGTTGCTTCCATGTCTTCGCCAAGTTTGTAGTATAGTCTCGCAAGGTTCAGCTTCACACTAATCTCACAGGGATTGGCCGAAATAAGAGATCGTTTATAGCATTCGATAGCTTGGCGGATCCTTAGACATTATCAGAACAGACGACGAACAAGGTACAACGGCCTATGATTTCTCACCGTCCAAGCACTTCGTAGCAATGGCCCGCTGCTTGCCACATACGCATATCGTAAGGTCTGTGTCCCCGCTTCAGTACTAGTCATTTGGGTGTTACAATTGACCCTACACAATTGATGTCGCATGCAAGAAATAATGCAGCGCGTTGTCGTGCATGCTCAACAGTTCGTACGCTTGCCCCAAGCCGTACCATGCACGATGATCGTCTCTTCGGATATCTAATTGAAAAAATGGTAGTGCAGCTCCTCAAATAAGGGATTTACTTACTTAAAGTCCGGCGATACGCAGTGATGGCGGCCTGCGCGTTCTTCATCTCAATATATTCATGCCCCATGAGGGTGAGGGCAGTATCGTATGTTGGATCCAAATCAGCGGCGCGCTTGAAATACTTGATAGCATCGATATGATACGAACGGACAGAGTAGTAGTTGCCTGGAACCATATGGTGAGAATCAGAATCAAGCGAAAAGATTTTCACCTACCAACGAAGCAAGCAACTTCTGGGCGGTCCTTGTTAAGGAGGAGGTACTCGCGACTAAGTCTCGAAAGTTTCCTTGTCCCTTCGTTCACGTGCAAGGCAAAAGAATATACGTCAACGTATTCAATATGCCAAGGATCCAGCTCCAGCATTCGCTCAAACTCCACGACGGCTGCACCCATATCTAAAGTCCGTACCGAGATCAATAGAGAGCGCCCTGCTAAGAGAGACGACCAACCGTGGCTATTGTACATGATACATCCCCGAAGACCGTAAAGAAAGTCATTCCTGGGGAAGCAATTGGGCTCCAAGAGCTTGGCTGCTAGAGTCATTTCATGATCCGATGCTAACTGCAAATCAGACATCGTTTTTATATGGAACATCTGGGTCAATGGGTGATTCTCAGGTACAGGGAGCAATTGGATGAGTGCTGACATCTAGTTCTTCAGTCAGTAATTAAAATGAAGCAACTGAGGGAAGCGCTACCTGTTCGCTGTCAGATACACAACTCCTCAATAATTCCCAAGCAGACCAATTCCACAGAAAGCCAGCTATGGATAAGATAGCACTTTCAGCAGCTTCCTCGCGTCGACCAAGATGTTTAAGGAATAGTCCCTTGCTAAAACCATGAATGACGGTCGGACGAAATTGGTTTCGACCTTACAGAAAGAGGAGCCAAGGATCTGCTGCATCACAGATAAGGCGAAGGAGTTCGCGTAGCTCGGTGGGGCCTGAACGCAGAGTTCAGCAAGCCCGTAATGTCCATATTGAATATGCTCACTGCTATTATGCTTCCCATTGGTTAGCAACATTATTACGAGATTTCGTACTAGCTCACCGCAAATCTACTGTACACCTCCAAAAACCGTGCTTTCGAGCTCCGGCAATTCCTCAAGGCCGGAGCGATTCGATTGTATTCTCTTGTGTCCATCCATGCACGTGCCATAGCAATTTCGTCCTCCTCAAGAGCTTCGAGTTGAAGCTCGTGCTGCAGCAACTCCGGCGGCAGGGATCTGAGCGAAGCTGCATGAGGATGGCGAACCTGTGGTTTCATTGGAGGAGTTTCCATGAACGAGGTCTTCGCGTTGCCAGTGTTCTTCGCCGGCGTAGATGTGGAGAAAGTCGTTTCTGTTATTGAGAGTCGTGCTTTCCGTTTCGCCTCTGGGATTGTCAGCAACAAATCCGCTGCCCTAGTAGCCGCATCAATGGAGCCGATGTGCTATACAAAGTGAACTCACCATTGAGCTGCCTTGCAAAGACCTCTTTCTGAGCATTCTTTAACTGCGGCGCGTATATCTGCTGCCATCGACGCGTCGACGTAGATTGTCATTTCTCGTGGCGTTGCTGGTCATGTACAACGAACAATTTCGGAATGTATTGCACAAGCTTAGGTAAACAGTAGCAAATTATTTATTTAAATAAACTAAAATTATTATGTTTGATAAACTAGCCTTCGACTATCGTTAATAATGGGAGGAAAGAAATTGAGTAGCTAATAGCATGTTATAATTTCAAAATATCAGAAAAACGAAGGAACAATGGGAGACCGACGTGAGTTGCTATCTTAGCTTGCGCAAAGATACCCGAGAGGCCATTTCAGACCGACAGGCCTTACAGGTCCCACCAGACCGATGCATTTTGCTGATGTGGGTACCATCCATGGTCATATATGGCGAGTCTCCCCTTTAATCTGCATTGACCCCAAATCCTGAGACGAATGAGAAGAGTGGTGCATGTGCGATTCAGTATCAACGTGCATAATCAGCAAACTCGTTGAATTGACATGGAATTCAGATATCTTTACAGTCGCAGGAGCGTATACAAGCGGATGCAGCACCACTGATCCCACTGAGGAAATTCAAGTTTTCCCCTCACAGAACTGAGGCGTCGCTGTCGGACAGGATTCTCGGGGTGAGAAAGATGGATAAAACATCGTAACGATTTGAGAAAAAGCTAACCAGCAAAGAAGTCAATAGAGCAGGAAATTCATATGGTGGGACGGTTATCCACAAGGCAAACATACTATGTACGAAAGGATACAGAAGACCCTTGTTTTCAATCATTCGATGAAGGGGGATCCTATCATGAGGGATAGGCGGTTCGGATGGTGTTGAGGTATTAGGAGCATTGACACTCAGCTGAGGTAGTGTCCTGGGGAAACATGAATAGTACATGGATGACATCCTCGACGTTGCCGTGACACGTCAGCTGCCATTGACTAGCAAGACTTTTCCCTTCTCAACCACGGGGTCGGGTGTCGCGGTCAGGGTGCATGTCAAGGCGGGAACAGAAGATTGCGAGGGCGGCAGAAGTCGGAGAGCCTATCAGATCGACAATGTGATATCAGCGAACCAATTTGGGATCATATGACATAAGGTGTTGCAGGTATCAATCCCAAGGGAAGCGACTTCGGACGTGGCATGACGTTCTGCAAGAAATCGCAGAAGATATAGAAAGGCAAGGATTGTTCTATGATATCTTATAGGTGTAAATCTGGTCTTTGAGAACAAGTTTGCATTCATGGACCGACATGGAGAAGGCAACGGGGGAAGGTGATCTGGATTTTTTTCAAGATGTCGGACGTAGTGTGACGACGATCCGAGCACCATAAGTGAGGTCTGAATCGACGCAGGCACTGCAAATAGAAAGACCAGTGTGTGGATGTATGTCTCCTAGGAAGCAATCTAATGCAAAAGTGACACTACAGGCACTGCAGTGATGGCTGCATAGACACTCTGGGGCTATTTGGAGACCTTCTGGAGTATATCTTGAAGCTCAAAGCTGATTGGTCAATCAGGATGTACTCTAGATATACCCCAGGAGACCACACCAAACTGATGTTCTCATCACCACAGTGAGGCTTGTAGAGCTTTTAATTTCCAGTTCAATGGAGTGCCAGTTGTAGCAGAGGTGATAGTGTTACATTCGATGGCGGCAAGTTCGAGAACGAGGGCGTTGAATTCGCGCGTTTTTCTAGGACTCCCATTGTCATTGTCTAGTGATTCGCCGGGGTCCGTTGAGGACATGGCTGACCCAGATTTTGCGCATCTGAAGTCCATCCGGAGCGGCGCTGTATGAAATAGACGGCATAACGAGTTACGAATCACATCGGACCTATCCATCCTCCATGGGGTCCAGGTACGAGGTCCAAAAAACAGCAGGTTCGAACGACTCGGACATTGTCTCGATCCGTGACGATAATCAGATCAAAGCAAGGCTTCAACTACTGCAAAGTGAGAAGCTTTCCGGCGGAAGTACTATTGACCGAACGTACGAATGGCCACTGAGATTCCGGGAGAGCGAGAGTCCCTTGGGTCCTTGATCCAAACGGCCCTCGTCGGACACGGTATAATTTGGCAACTCGCACATCAACTGAAGGGTGACCAGCAACACGCCTCGTAATGGGCAAAGACGAGACGTCAACCGAGGGGAGAACAATATTCCGCGAGTTTTTTTGGGCGATGTTACGAGCGACAGAAGTGTTAGACGAACAAACCCATGTAGAAAATGTTCCTGCCCACATGAAGTTTTTGTGAGGCCGTGATCGGCCAACAGGTTGAGGCAGATAATGGAAGAAGCTCTCAGACTCAGGCAGGCAACCAGGCAGGTACTGAAACTTGAGGAATATCCTTGAACGATAACAAGTAACACTAAGACAGACGGTCGGTCTTGTAGGGGGACGATATATGTTCGATAGGAAGGAAGGAAGAAGAAAGTCTTATTAACCGACGTGGTTCAAATGCACACATACACTAGCTACAGTACACAGCATGCTACGGTATCGAACCAATCCGCCCGTCATGAGTATTCCCTCACGGCCTCGGCAGTGAGGTGGAATGAAAAATGTTTTATGACGCCGTGAATAGACAATGGCAATATTCCCGCAAGTCAATAAGAGGTTTTTGAGCTTCGTACTGTAAGGTCCCGCCTCCTCGTCACCTTGTCGAGTTTTGATGATGGGACTCGGAGCCTTTTCGTCCCCTGACCGCATTTCTTTGTTTGTACTTACCGTGCTCTCTTCGGCCAGGCCCACCTGCTGCTTTCCATGGCCTTCAGTCTTTCTGTCCTCGCCATTTTTTGGCTTTTGTGCGTAGCATGCATTTTACGCATTTTTTCCTTGTTGCCTGCCCAGAAATCCTCTGGTAGAGTACGGGTGTCGAATAATACCTCTACTACCCGGAAGCTTGCCGTCTTTTTAGGATCAGGTGAACCTTAACTTTGTGCCATGAGGAGAATCACTGACACGTCTTCGCGCAGGTGGCCATACCAGCGAAGCCATAGCCCTTCTCTCTTCCTTGGACTTCACTCGGTTTTCTCCACGGATATACATAGTTAGTGATGGCGACAACTTGAGTGCCCAGAAGGCGAGAGACCTTGAATCCAAGAAATGTGCTTCTTCATCAGGGAACAACGTGCGACATCTGTTCTAGTCATACAAGTGCCGACTTTTGACTTTTCTTCCCCGTTACTCTGCACTCTGTGACCGTTCTTAAGTTCGCCGTTTTGACAATCCCGCGTGCCCGACGTGTCCACCAATCTCTTTTTTCCATCCCCCTGACAGCATTTTGGTCTCTATCAAGATGCATGCAACTCGTAACTTTGTCCCCTCTTTTGTCTTCATCATCTTCTCAGCCATTCGCCGATGTTCTGATCCTTAATGGCCCTGGTACTTGTCTCTCCCTCTGTATCGCTGTCTATGTCAGCAAAGTAAGTTAATCTCCCCCTTGACTCTTCCCTTTGCTCAGTCTCTCCACAGTTCATCGGGTGTCCAGCTCCCAGGCTTATCTACGTGGAGTCGTTTGCACGAGTTCGTTCCTTATCCTTGTCGGGCAAGTTGCTTCGCCCCTTGGTAGACAGGTGTCGTGTTGCTGTTCGTATTGACCCTGTCTCGCCTTACCCGTCTCCTAGATTTGTTGTACAATGGCCACAACCCTTGGCGGATGGAGGTCGGGGGGATTCCTTTGGTTGGCTTGTCTAGTATGGGTAGTTCGGAGAAACTTCCAGGGCCAAATCTCTTAATCTCGATGTTCAATCACGGAGGAATAGATACATGCCCCCACTGGGCCGGAAGGACATATCACCCCAACTTTCACTTGCGGGTAAAAAATGTATAATATGCTTTGAAATAGATACATTACGCTAACAAGCAAGACGAGAGATTCGGGTTCATTTTCTCGTCCATCTATCTTCCCCTCCGTTCCTTGTCGGACTCGCACTTCTGCCGCGACCGCCCTCACGTCTTCGGTTGCTGGGCTCCCACCCTCCCGCACTCTCGGTTTTTGGTGGGTGCAACCTTCTTTCCAATCGCTGGCCCGCCCGCAAACTGGACACCAGCTCTTTCGAAGCTAGCCGCAAGTGCATGAAATTGCAGAAGCCTCCACGATTGCATTCTCCGTTCTCATTTTGACGACAACAGGCTTCGCGGAAATCTGTAACTGGCGACAACTCCGCATACAGCGGTCGTCCTATACAAGTCATAATCGTGTCGACGCAACATCATCAAATTACTCACCTGCATACCAACGGTCATTCAGATTATCAACAGCCGCCTGTGCCTCGGTCTCCCATTCGAACCGAGCGTAGACATTGCCAATAAGATGATCGCCTACGTTGTCGCATACCTGTACGTCGGTTAGCACCATGGCAATCAAAAAGTGATATCTGGCCTCACGTGTAACTCCAGGAGATGTCCAAACTTTGACAGTTCGCAGTACAGATCTTCATAGACGGCATCAAAGCCCTCCTGAAGCTCCTTCTCCGTCAGTTTGCAAACGGGGTCATGAGCAGGGTTGTGGTAGACGTTGGGGAGGAGAATCGTTTGAGAAAACGGTGGCCGAATATGCTTCCTCGAGCACCTATCGCCGTGTCGGCAGGCACCTATCTTCAAAGGGGATTAAAAACAGCGATAAAGAAAAAGTGAAGGGCGCACTTTGTAGTAGAAAGAGCAGTTAACACGGTCCTGCTCTGTTCCAAAGATATTTGCCTGGAAGAATATCAGAAGATAAACGATGTACAGGTACCACAGGACTTACGAGATGAGACGCCATTTTGTTCAACGACGGAGTAAAGGGTCAAGCAGCAACTAGTGTTGCTTAGTTGGTGCTGGCCGAATGACTAAGCTAGCGGAGTTTCGATCTTTCCAGAACACGATCTGTTCAAAAATGGACATTTTTGCCGTTTTGCACACTAAAACGCGAGAAACTTGTCAGTACTACGTGTGTTCATTCTATTACGGCTACTAATCAGAACAGGTATGCAGGATATATATTGTGACATTATTTTATCCCCTCCGTGTCCCACTGTGATGCGTAATACGTCGTACTTTTCGATCAACCGTGGATCAACTCAGTACTTTTCAAGTTGCTCATTGATCAAAGAAATGGAAATTACAATGGGTCGTATCTTCATGTTCACATCATCTTCTGATAGTCTGATGACCTTTGCTTTCGTTCCTCAGGCTGGGAACTTGAACGGTCACCGGTGAGTGGGCGAGACTTCAAATTGAACTTTCCAAGTTTTCATGAGGTGGATGACAATACTCGGGTCACCGAGGGCTCTTTACCCCTACATCCGGCATCTTTCTGGGCAACAAGAACCGGTACCATCTCATCAGGTCTCATCTACTGCTGCGGTTACTGGTAGCGGTTGAAAGCTCAGGACTCGTAACCGGCTCAGGCGTCAGGTCCGAGTCATTCATTTGTCCTTCAGACACTGGCTGAAGCATTGCCTCCGATGTGAGACATCTTGTCTCACTCACTCACCATGCCCGTCTGTGACCTGGCGGTAATTTCGAAAATATAGATTCGACAAAAGAATATAAAGCTTCCATTCCACTGTTCTGCAAAGTACCGTAATTTGTTGCATGCCAGGCACATAGAGTTGGACCACCACCTGCCATTCAAAGCTTGGCTCCTTCGACTCGCTACCTTGGGCCGTAGTAGAAGCGGCGACGTTCCCGTGTATTTTGGTCGGTGCCTTGCTTGGTTCGCCCTTGGAGCATCATAACTGATGTTCGATCTTGAACCTGCAGCTGTTCATGTCACAATTCGCTCCGAGGCAGTGCTTGGATATATCAATGGAACTTCTTCAACTTGACCTTCCCGTTTGGGAGGCAAGTTGTTCCCTCCGAGGCAGTGCTTGGATATTTTAATGGAACTTCTTCAGCTTGACTTTCCCATTTACCGTCCGACTGGTTTCGTCTTGATCCTGAGATACACGTTATTCCATTGAAACATTAAACCATCAGTCCCAACTTCCATCCGACACTCCAACATTGCCATGGGAGAACTGCTCAGGTTGGGGAATAATGTTATGTGGGAATGACATTTCTTCTACTCATGAGAACTTTGATGGGACAGGCCCTTGAGCCCAGCCGCATCCCCTTCTCACCGCACCGTCCATACTTCAACGCAAATCTAGACGCCACACCGTTTCCATCAAGCTGCCAAGGATGAACTTAAGTCGGTCAAGCGTACATCCGACGTTCGATCGTGGCATTTATCTGCCTTGATGATCCGATGCTTCAAGGTCGCTGAGTCTATCCACAACATTTTGTGTGTCAACTACATGGGCGCCATCGAGCGCTGGATTAAGTTATGAAAAAGTTACTTGTACATGTATTGTATAAATAGAAGGAAAAAAGGAAAGTATAACAATAATATCCGGTATTTGCAAACACCGAGACTCGATGCTATCGACTGGGGCGCAATTCTGATAGTCCGGGGCTCTCGTCACCTACGGGGTTCCCAGTTCATCATTGGATCATCGGCAGCCATGTGCATGTCGGAAACAAAGCTATCCCAAGGGCGGATGCCATGCAATGCTAATGGAGTAATGGCATCGGGAGGTATCGCGGTCTGTACAGCTATTGGATCATAGATGTTCGTATGGGTACCGAAAGGATGCCGTAGCTGATCACAGTCATTCAAAACTGTCTCTGTATCATCGGGCGGGCAATTGACATCACCCAAGGATGTCCTATCCAAGATATGTCAGCAAAGGGGAACATAGGGAAGGGGAAAACAACCTACGAAGCATGAGTATCCAGCTCCGAGACTCGTCTCTGGAGTGAACAGCTCGAGCCAGAATGATGTCGAGGTGATCTTGCAAGCACATCCGCGGCTTTCCGAAGCCTCAGTGATAACTCCAAGAGCGCACGATAGTTTGCGGCTTCATGTAAACAGCCGCAGTGACCGTTGTTAGTCTTTGGAAGGTCACAAAGATTACGTCTCGCCATTGAATGATCCGAAGGTATCATGTCTGGATAGGACATAAACATGGACACCAGATCCAGTCCGTCAGATGTCGATCCGACAGCGACTGGTGAGCAGGAAAACTCATCTACAGGAGTGGCGGTGGGTGAAGGGGTGCTAACGGGAGAGGCACTGAAACACGACGAAGACTGAGAGGATGGACTGCTATCAATACGCAGGCTGTTTGGAGGATATGTCGGTGACGTAGGTGAAGGCAACGTTTGCGGATTTGGATGTTTCACGGGCGCAGAAGATGAAGGCCTAGTGGAATCCGGAGCGGCGGAAACGTGAATAACTGGATTCTGAGACGAGCTTTTAGCTTCGGGAGCCATTTGTTGGCAGCCTGGTTGCAACCATCGGGGATGCGGTTTGTTCTTCAGCTATATACATTTATTAATCAACGATGAATCCGAAAAGTTGTGCGCAGTCATTCACCTCACGTATAACACCTTCGAGCTCGGCGACTCGTTTTAATAGACGCAAGCTCTCATCCTGGGTATCGGACCGTTGATTGGGATCATCAACTTCATATACACATAGACCGGTCTTAACCATAGTGATCAGTGACGAATGAAACTGGTCCAGGATAGCAACCTACTAGACCAAGTTGTGTACAGCGAGCACAAGCAGGACGCTTCCGATCACACTGCCCGAATATTAGTTTGTTCACGCAGCAGTGCAAGGAAAAAGTACGTACCATTCGCTTTGATGTATGACAGTTGAGACATGATTGAGTGGTGCGGTTCCGACGCCTTTATAATAATACCAGTTAGCTTCGTCGACTCACGGCGTAAGAAGGGTAGAATACCTTTTGCGGTGATCGACATCTGAGTCCGGCTTGCAATCGGATACGGCTCTCTTTTTGCGAGGCTGAGTTTCTATGGGCATAGTGTACGTGTGTACAGTAGAGTAGACCTGAACGAGTCGTTGAAACCAAGAAATTGGGTGGACCTTTTGTAGCAATCGTTTTTCTTGGCGCTTCCTATCACCTAATGTGCAGATTAATCGACGTCAGTTTCTGGTCATCAAAGCATCAACAAAAATACCTAAAAGCGGTATTTCAGGACGCAGAACCATGGTGATATCGGGGTAGACAAGGATCATGAAACGGGCCGATATCGTTTGGACGTGAGAACATTCACGACAATGACAGCGGTCGAGCGGGTCTGTTAACGTTTTCGTATAACGGGTGGGGCCAACATATCAAGCCGGTTTAGAGTAATCGGACAACCGGAAGGATGGGGAATCCCTGAGGGCATGATTCGAGATGCTGACCGAAGTGAGTGAGATACTCAAGCCGCCGTAACATTTTATCTATATCGGTGTGCGATGTGTTGATCTACCGCTGAAGCTATCGCTTATGAATGTGCGAATAAGCACTTCTCTGTAGAAAAAAAGCCGATGTATACGCGCGCATTTTACCTTCTGTTGCACTACAGTCACCATTGATTCCTCGGAATCGGTGGAATATCGACGCCTAGAAGCCAACCCTAGATCTCGATGAACTAATGCCAAGATGTTCGGTCAGAGGCCGATTGGCGCGAATGAAACGAAGGCGGGATTCCATAAGATGACACGGAAAATCGTACCGTGTGAGCCGCGCGTTAACGTGGATGAAAAAAATGTTTGACCGGACATGTGGGATTGTCATCATCATCTTTCACGCCGGACTTTCAGGAGGTAACACTCACCGAATAGGTGTGGCTGCGAACCATCAAATCAGGGTAATAATAGCTCAGTATACTTCAAATCGTCATATCCAAACATCACAGGACGTCGAGGTTTTTTTTAAGTTTTAATTATGCTCCATCCTTTTATGGGCGCATCCTCGATTGACGCTGAAGTAACAAACCGGCTTTCATTTGGAGCATTGAGGGGGGAGTGAAGGTTTTGTTTGGCCACTGGGGGCACTGCTTATCGCCGGCTTTGAACACCGATCTAAGGGGAATCCCCCACCTGTGGATATGGCGTGGGCTCGACATTATGCCAAGACAACTTGAAGAAGTTCTGAGATCCCCTTGTCCTGTTTCTTGTTTGTTTCTATCCTTTGTTCTCAGATAATACAAGCTAAAAAACCACTTACGTCCGACGATATGTCCCAAGATAAAGTCCCTACGGGGAGTACCATGTGCTGTGGTATCAAAGGAGGGTCGGAACCACGGGCAAGGTAAAACAATCTCTTGGCAAAGGAAGACGCTGGCAGTATACCAGGTGAAAACGATTGACAACGATCTTTAAGAATCAGAACGGCCCACCCAGTAAATCGGCATGCGATACTACGTCACATGGGAGCGTCCTCCGTTCACGGAGCCCCAAAAAGTCGTCGGCGTGTTCGTTTCGATGAAGCTGACACACATCAGCCGCTAGGTGGTCAAAGGTGTACCTGCACTATGGATAGAGTTAAGGAACACAGACCTTTGCTCCTTCAGGTCCCGCAATATACCTGAGGCCTGAAGCCTTGAAGGCCTGGATATGGCGGTCATGAATTGCCGGGTTAACTTGAAAGGATGAAAGCAAACAAACGTGAATACCAGAATTGAATTTCGCACGGTTTCATGGCCTGTTTTTGATTCTTACAGCGCAGGGAAGGACTGCTTGTGGTAAGACCAAGAATCCGGGTCTATGCACCCGCTAGGGCTGACAAGGCCTGCAACGAAATGTCACTGGCACACCATAAACATGGAACATTTCTGACGAGAGTCAATTCTTGGCCCTCGGAATGACGTTTCATCTAACATGATTATCAGTGGTGTTTTAGTGTCAAGGCTTACAGCACGGGAGGTTACACTTCACCGATTCTGGCATTCCAAAAGTTATGATTATATATTAGAATTGTGCTGCTCGCAAATGGCGAATTACAGAGATAACCATACACTGATATAATCAGTAGGCGATGCCGCTGCTAAAGGTTCCGAGCAGAGTGATCCACCAGGCACGATATAGAGCGCTCCAACCTTCCTCATTGATGATACGCTTTGCACAGTCCGCCAAACCAATATACGGATCACCTTCGCTGCGCAAGCTAAAGCATGCCGATTAGTATAAACCAAAAAGGAGGTACGTATTCTACGCACCCAATAACGTCTTCCTCAGCGCCAGAGAACTCTTCTACATCCTCCGCATCACCGTCAACTTCCTGAGAAATAGAATTATACTCTGACGAAGCATGATTCCGTTGTATAGCTAGTCGCGTCGCCATCACTTCCAATGGAGTAAGCAGGGCGGCGGCGACCAAAACTACCAACAAGTATACGGCCAGTCTGACCGGAGAAACGTCAGGAAGATGGCTGTTTGATTCTGGGAGGGGCGGAAGGAGAAGACGCCTAAGCGGTCCCAGCGCGAGAACCACAATAGCGACATGTGAAACTTCAGCGGCAAGCAATCCCGGGGTCAAATAGATGATCCATGGACGACGGCGCTCTGTTGGGGTGAGAAGAATACGCAGTGATTTCGCAGCATTGAGGTAAGGTAGCTTGTGGGGTGTAGTGATTGCACTTTGTATAACATATGCTAAGCAATAAGGTCTTTACGAAATAGTAAACTCACCGGTACGTGACGATCGCAGTTGGCAAAGCAATGAGCATCATTCCGATACTGTAAACCAACGTGCCTAGGACACCCGTCTGGGGAGCGTGATAGGTGCCATGACGCGGTAGGGGAGTGTCCATGAATACTACGATCAAGACAGTGACCACAGAGGTGCTCAAGAAAGTAGGCACTATGCATCGCCATCAAGAAAAAGACGTGAAATAAGCTCTAATCAAGTGCGTACTCAAGCCCTTGTACAGACCCGGCCATCCCTGCCAGAAGACTTTGAGAGGTAAGAGGAAAATATGAGACTTGAGACTTACCTCAATCTGGTACACCCGTTTCATCATACCAAAGTAGGACTTTACAATGGGCCCTAATTTTTTGTCAGATAAAACGCAGTGAAGCCATGTGTATTACGCGCATACCTGTATGCGGTTGGGCGCCTCCTTCGGGATCTAGTTGTAGACCCTTGGGATTGTAGTTCGCTCTGAACCGTACAAGAACACCAGTAAGTGGCACAATGATGGCCAAGCTCACTGCAAGAGACAGCGTAAGCGCAAGGAGGTCGAGAAATCCTAACATGGGGGAAAGCAGGAATGTGTTGGCAGAAGTGCTGCGTAACAGTGGAATGCTGAGCAGCCGAATAGCCGACCAGGCCGCTTTAGGGTCCGACTCTTCACGTGACTTCAGACTATATATAGGAGGGATTTTTTGTCTCAGGGTATCTTTCCTTCCTTTCTAACCACCACAGGTTTAGGGGAGGTGCTGCCATGTCGCTCCGTTGCGTTTCTCTGACTGTTGGATGGGTCTCCAATGATCAGTGCTTATTTGCTGCCTTGTTTTCTTTGCTTGTCGGACAGTCCTTTGATCGTTGCTTGGAACTATCGACCTACAGAACGGCGTGAAATCGGATTTGTCTTCGACCTTTTAGAGCGGTTCCTATTTTTGCGCTGGGTTTCAGCTTACCCGTTCAATTTGGTGTCATGATGATATGCGCCAAGCGGGAGGAGGCCTAGCCTACCTATTCCTTGTTCTGCAGGTTATAAGGAGATCTCAAGTACGTTGGAATATTGTAATCTGTTTGACTTGGGAGTACGTGATATCCTGTTAAGGTACACCACACACGCAGGAATGTATGATGCGTGCTCGGCTACTGGTATCTTGGTTCTGGGGGGAGGCTTTTCGGTTCTTCAAAGAGTGGGGGTGGGGCGGGGGGTTGCGATTTGTTTCTCTCTGTTTTCGACCGTGGCCGTGTGACCTGGAGGATGGATGTTATTTGTCGAGCATGGTATGATGTGGTGTCCTGTTCTTGCCTTTACCCCCGTACGTAGCATCAATGCATTGTTCTTTGTCAAGTTTTTTTCATAACTCTCAAGAGTTAGAGTTTGTCCATCCTTGAGACATTGTGTCCGCCAGAATCTACATTCCTACGTATATCGTTGTTGCAAAGGTCGTGAGCGATGAACGTTAACGACATTCAGATCTTTCAGGATTCATGGCTGTCGCTTGCAATTTCCTTGTTCGAGTAGTTGTAGAGTCAATGCAGCCACTTTTTTTTACTCTCCGACATTGAGCCGTACTGTTTTAGAGTTTGGGGTCACTGCCTTGTCATCACTCATCGTGCAGCAACGGAGGTATACCCTTTAGCGACTGATCACATCCCCTAGCCGAATTTTGAGGTCATCGTTGTTGCCGATAATGTCTACGGTTGACGTCGCCAGAGCCAAGGTGAGTGTGTCGTTGTAGAACGTGGGTGGTCGACCTCATGGCCACTGTTTTCATTTGCAGCGGGAGGCCGCCTTGGAACATCTCAAATTTTCCAAGCGGTCAAAGATGAATGCCTCTAATTCAAGCCTCACTAGCTCGGCGTCAACGATAGCGCCGAACGCACTGTCCGTAGCATCGCTGCCGTCGCAGTCTAGAGATGCCACTGTGTCATCGCGTTTTTTTCCTCCGTCTTCCCCATCGACTGCTGGTACCATTCTTGTCCCTGATTCAAGTCCCAGCGCCTCTCCGGTCAATCATGGCCTGCGTCAGTCCAATAATGCTGGACAGGGCAGTGACGTGGCGCCAGCCGTGGCGGTTGTACAGGGCGGGCACTGGAATTACTCGTCGCATACAGGCGGCATTGATCCACTGGCTGGGCCGAGCGGGTTTGTGTCGAGCGGAAGAACAGGCAAGGGGGTTCTGCGACGGCCGTGGGATAGCGATGATAGCCATAGTGAAGAGCCGCCTCGTAAGCGACTGAACGCGTCCTCCACCGACGTCGTGAATTCACCGGACTCGCCGGCAATTCAACGCGCTGGGCAGCGCCGTCGCAATGTTGCCTACGCCGACGCCCAATCGACAGCATCGGACGAATCGTTGCCTGAGGTTGTCAACATAAACGCCGATGCTGCCAGACTGCGTATTTTTCGTGGTCATCCGTCTGATTCGTCTCCATCGAACAGTGATCCGCTAGCATCAGACCAGAAATTTGTTCGTTTCAAGCTCACTATGCCAATGGAGTCTCCTGATCGTGTCAAGGCTGCCTGGCTCCAAGCTAGCGGAGACGTGAGGCGGGCGACCTCATTACTATCAGACCCGGACTGGGTTGCCAAACCCTCCCCCACACCCACAAAAATAGCTTCGCCGGCCATTGGACGTGTAGATGGCTATGTCGAGTCTACGAAAGCCCAGCGCGTTGCAGCCAAAGAGAAGGGGAAGAAGTCCATGATTTACGCCAACCGTCTTGAGATCGACTCGCAAGTTGCGAGCACTTCGACACCACCTCCTTCCAAGCATGCCTTGAACACATCTACAGTTGATCCCTCGTCTGTAGTTCGACCCGCAGGCCGTAAACGTGCAAAGAAGATGGTATTGGACACCGACTCAGAGGACGCAAGCGAGAGTGAAGACGGCCATCAATACAAGCGGCGTCGACAGGAGGACACAGATGAAGCGCGGACATTGGCTTTTTTTAACTTGAAAAATGCAGAAGCACTGCAACAACTAACAGGTGCGTTTCAAACACCGTCGTCTCTCAGAATAGTCACGCCGACGGTCTTTCAGGTTGCACTTCTGCGCAGGCCAATACTATAATAGGGCTGCGACCTTTTGACACCGTTGAAGACTTGAATTCAAAACTTGGCCAGGGGAAGAAGAAATCTGGCCCGGCCGGCATCAGTCCTCGTCTCTTTGACGATTGTACTGACATCTTCAAAGGATATGGCGCAGTCGACCGTATACTAGAGGAATGCGAAGACATAGGATCTAACCTTCGTTCAGTCATTGCTGGCTGGGCATCCGGTGTTGATGTCGACAAGGGCAAAGGCAAAGCTCGAGCAGATATTCCGGAATCCGAGGCAAACCAAGATGGATCCCTCAACCTTCGTTCCATTGCACCACTGAAGGACCAGCATGCCAAAAGCTACCTTGTCTCTCAGCCATCGCTTCTATCACCAAACGTTCAACTCAAAGATTATCAGCTTTTGGGTGTCAATTGGCTGCGTCTCCTCTATGACCGTAAGCTAAGTTGTATTCTGGCGGACGAAATGGGTAGGTGGTCAAGGTATTTTGATGTACACGTCACAATTATAACCATCACGTCAGGCCTCGGCAAAACCATCCAAGTTATAAGTTTCTTTGCACATCTAAAGGAGCATGGACGGAATGGGCCACATCTCATTGTTGTTCCGTACGTTTTCATCATCCTTCCTGCCTCGTTTCTTCTTACGTTTTTGATAAGATCTTCTACGCTGGAGAACTGGGTTCGCGAGTTTACACGCTTCGCTCCTTCGATCAAAGTGCAGACGTATTATGGCAGTAAGGACGAGCGTGTTCATCTTCGCCAGAATCTTTTAGATACACGACCCCACAAAACTACGGACGATGGATGGAACGTTCTGATCACCACTTACAATCTTGCGCAGGGTGATGGAGATCGTAAATTCTTCCGTCACGTCGACTGGGATGTGAGTTTTTCTTGAGTTATCTGAACGACCATTGTTTACCTAGTATTATAGTCTTGCGTTTTCGATGAAGGACATGTTCTCAAGAATTTCCAGTCCCAACGATACCAAGCTTTGCTGAAGGTCGATTCGAAGTGGCGCCTTTTGTTGACAGGGACACCGTTGCAAAACAATCTACAAGAACTTGTGGTACGCTTTCTATCTCACTGTTCACTCTGGCCAACGTGGGTTACTAATTCACATGTCAGTCACTCATGAACTTTATATTGCCTGAACATTTCTCCGACACGATAACCGAATTGCGAGCCATTTTTAAAGTCAAAGGTGACTCGAAGGTGACGTTACTAGCGCAGGAGCGAGTGTCACGGGCAAAGAAAATGATGACACCTTTTGTCCTAAGGCGACGGAAAGATCAAGTAAGTCATTCAATTTTGACTGTCAGAGTAAGTACTCATCAGGCTTAGGTTCTCACTGATCTACCAAAGAAAACTGAGCGCTTCGAATGGTGTGATATGACGTCACTGCAAAAGACTATTTATCGGGACACGCTGAAGCGCTCCCGAAAGACGATATATGATGTAGATGCCTCTACAGCCTCTACACCCCTTGAAGACGCCGCAGCAAAGGGTCGTAAACCTACGAAGAAGCCCCGGACAAAAGACAAACTATATCTCGAGAACAGCACTAACGTTCTTATGGATCTGCGCAAAGCGGCTGCGCATCCTATGCTCTTTCGAAAGCTCTTCACTGACGACATCTTGTCAGGGATCACAAAGCAGCTTTTAAAGGAACCCGATTTTAAGAGGCGAGGCGCGCTCTTCGACATCGTCAAGGAGGACATGTCGGTGATGACAGATGCTGAATTACAATTGCATTGCGGGACGTACAAGTCAACCAAAAAGTTCCTCCAAGACGACGAATGCTATCTTAACTCTGGAAAAGTTCAAGCGTTACTTAAATTGCTGCAAAATTACAACAAGGATGGACGGAAGGTTTTGATTTTTTCACAAGTATGCATGTCTCTTCTTCGTTCATTCACTGTAGCATCGAATCCTTTCTTTCCAGTTCACCCAGATCCTTGATATACTTCAGGTCGTTCTGAAGCAGAAGGATATCCGCTTCCTCGTTCTAACCGGGTCTACGGCTGTAGACGTACGTCAGTCTCTCGTGGACGAATTTGCCGAAGACGAAAACATTCCGGTCTTTTTGTTATCAACGAAAGCTGGCGGTGAGTCCTACCATGCACAAGTCCTGTGTTAAACTTAGTCTCGATAGGCATGGGCATAAATTTGACCGCAGCTTCAGTTGTTATCATGTAAGTGGCTTACCTTCAGATGTTCAGCCCTGTTCCTAATCCTGCGACTTGCCCAGGTTCGACCAAGATTTTAATCCGCACAATGACCGCCAAGCACAAGACCGTGCGTACCGCATTGGGCAGAAGCGTGATGTGGATGTCGTGAAACTAATATCACGGGGAACTATAGAAGAGGATATGCTGAGGTTGGGCGAAACGAAGTTGGCTCTTGACGAGGCCGTCGCAGGGGAGACGGACGACAAAGAGGACGCTGCAGCAGAACGAGAGATAAAGACATCCTTGATGAGTGTGCTGCGAGAACAATTCGAGCGACAGGAAGAGCTGGCGACAGATAACTCTACGACCTAGATTCAAATGGACAGATAATAGGGTGCGGTGTAAGACGTGTTCTCAAGTCTATACAGATTTGTACCGATTTTGTATTTTTATAGAGATAATATTCGCGGTCAAGCAAAGATGGACATGCCTCGAACAAGGCGATCAACACTGGAACGGAAGTATTCGTTGTCTATTCCACGTTCTGTAGAGTCCATGCTAACGAGCGGATTGCGAGTGACATATTCAAGGAACGGGCCAACGTATATCTGGCGAAGGACGAACCGAAGAGAGTCTGTATTTGGGTCACTGAGCATGACGAACTTATACCCTGAAATTGTCTCAAAGAGGTGTAGCTTGTACGCAGAGGTGCGATAGTTCACAAACTGCTCGTCTCTGTACCCCAGTTAGCTTGAAATAAAAGTAGATTGATAGAACAGTACCTTCCCGACAACTTCCTGATCATATTACGGAGTGACAGTATAACACCATATACAAGTTTTGCTTCCTCGTCGAAAGACAAGCCCGTACTAGTGATCGGACCAGATGTCATCAACGCTGAAGCAGCGGAAACTGGCGTCTGCAGCAACGGAGAAGGAGAGTCACTGGCTGCAGCGCCAGAACCTGAGGAGAGGGTGTTTCGAGTGCTTCCTGCGGTCGACAAGGATGGTTGATTGATTTCTGCTGGATGCGCAGAGACCGCCTGAGAAACTGCAGGCATTATTCCCCCTTCGACCGCGAGTTTTGGCCGCCTCGTCCTATGCCAATCCTGATAATATACGCAAGCACAGTGCCTATTGAGACCTATCAGTACGTACAGTAATCCCACAAAGGAAAGCATACGCGCCTATCATATATGTACAGACTGTGGATTGTCATTGCAACAACGTCCCTGCAAACAGAATGAAGTTAAATTTTGAATTTCGTGGACCGTGTCGTCAAGCGGCACCCGGGGTTGCCCGCGACCCGGGCCGGATTTACATCGGGGGTAGAACTTTTTTCTCTTGGATCATTTTTCCTTTGGTAGATGATGCTGTGACGGACGTGGGAACTCTGGACTCACTCTGATACTAATTCCCAGCCGTAGTGTATGACGCATAATTCACGAATGTCTCGAGTAGCCTCGAGTCATGATGCATGGGGTATTAGCGGTGCCGTCGTGATAGATAAAAGCAAAACGAACTTTAAATATTAATAAGGTCATTTACGGCCCTTTTCAGTATAAGTAGGACAGATACAGATCCGCCAAGTTAACGCCACCTTGAGTAGCCACTTTCCATTCTGTCGTTCGCATTTCGATCGGGCTTCAATCTTAACTAAGTTTTTGACACAGATCTACTAAAGGTCGCAGTTAACTGTCACACAGGAAGGATTTGGCGCGCGGTTCCATGTATCCAGTCAGACCGAGACATAACTTTATTAACGGTCCTTTACCGGGTGTAAGGTCAAGTCGCGCCAATGAAGGCAGATTATTAACGGAAAATATACTAAGTGCCTGCTACATATTCTCATAAATGATAATAACCTTGACATAACACAGAATCCATCATCTAAAATATCATGATGACCTAACCAGCAGGCATTGCTCAAATCTGCACTTGTTCGAACCCGCCCTTCTCGTCGACATGAATAGGTACGTTACCGATTACGCTCATGTGAGGCAAACCAGGCTCGGTTCTTCGGTAGGGATAAAAGTATGCTCCATCATCACTGGGACCGTTGATGTAAGACGGAAGATACGCATCAGGATGGAAAGCTGTAGGTGCTGTAGTAGGCGGTAAGACTATCTTCAGCATCTAAAATTTAATAGGATGAGTCGCAGTCAGTGAACAGACCCGGTAAATTCACCATGGCGGTTCGAAATACTCCGGGTGCGCTTGAAGCTTTCCACAGACAAGCATGTTGACCAAACTGGGCACGATCCGCCTGTCCCCATTTTTGAAGCATTTGTGCGATTTCCCTGCGACCCTGAAAGTGAAGATGTACGGTCATAAATTCTGGTCCAGCTGGTCTTAGGAATTTCAAGATTACCATATGTTTCCAAATCAACAACGGCAATAGAACTAGAAGGTCTAAAGCAGTGAAAATGCCGACGGTGATCGCAGCAGCGGCCTGTATAGGACCATGTGTTACCGTGAGCCAAAGGAATACCTGGAACGTAAATGCGAACCTGGGTTTGTCGCTGTGATCGTTCAGATGCTGGTACATGCCCTTGAATGAGTACGAAGTGATAGAGAAGTAGTGAAAGGGTGAAAGCAAATCTAGAGACGTTCAATCATCTCAATCATCTCTGAAGGCGGAAATCCACACACAGTAATCCGCCTACCAACCAAGCACGTTCCAATACTGGCTTGGAATAACGACCTGCTACACTTGTTATGGCATCTATGCGTATTTCCCACTTGTCGGCAGAAATCTACCAGTTTTCACATGTTGAACTTCCTCTTCGTTCAAGTCGCAGAAGAAGTAGCCGCTTACTTGGCCTTGTAGCTCGAAGGGAACAGGCGGCGCTGCCTGTTGATTTGGAGTTAGATGCTGTGTCACATTCTTTTAGTTCCGGTGATAAGAAAACTTGTAGAGGAGGCATACCAAAACGACCTCATTGGAACTATTTCTTGTAGGTCTGCTATAATCGAACATGTTCAGTCCACCGATTTTACAAGTGAGAAAGCAAGTCCGCTGGCGGACAAAGGGATTGGAGACGTAAAAGAACGTTATGGGGTACTTGTGGAGAGTATCGATCCTGTCGATGCAAGCCGAAGTGCGGAGGAGGGCGTGAGGGGACGGAGATGATGAAGGTGGGAAGAAAGAGGACCAGGATCATGACGAGAATTGACATTAATTGTTATACTGATTTGAACAAAAGACGCGTCGCGACATGCGCATCTCAATGGCAACTTTGATGCCTACCTGCTGCGTTGCAATTTTGCAGGAACAAGGCCCTCGCACCGGTACGGATCCTATTGTCTGGACCATGGGAATATTACTGGTGCTGCAAAAGACAGTATGAATGGTCTGAATAAATCCATAATGATGTCGGGCAGTATACCTTTGAACGTACTACATAGCATATGTGGTAACATGCACGACGCCACCAAACAAAATTTTCACCTTTACACAACATCTTATACTGTAATGCAGTGCCAATACGACAACATCATGCTTGTTGAACAATTCAACAATGATAGATCACAAGTGTGAGCCGAGAATAGTGGCGCATTTTGATTTTAATAATTGTACATACTTACTGTAGTCGCTCGTGGTGTTTTGCACCGCTGAATAGAATGGCACCATTCTTGTCCTCATCCTCATATCGCAACTCGCAGGCTCCGCAATTTTGCAACTCACCCACCTGCACCCTTAGTGTTGGATAAGTGTTCGGCTTCGTTTGTCGCATCGGCAAGCATCACGTGATCAAACAATTGCTCCCTCTTATATTACATAATATGCCTTCATTGCGCTTCGAGCTTCACAAGCAGCCAGGACAAAATGACCTCTCCCTTTTCAGCAAATGTTCAACTTCCTGATGCTGAAGATGCCTCCACTATACGTGCGGCATCAATGCACTTCTCCGACAGTGAGGACCAAGATGCCGGTTTCGAATATAACGAGCGCCACGGAGACTATTCTTCTCGCATAGAAGAACTGCTAGATGATGAAGGTGAAGTGGATAGCCATGCCTTCGGAGATGAGTCTGACGGTGACGATGATGGATTTTTGTACACGGGTGTTGATGCTGACACGTCCACTTCGTCCGGATATCGCCAACAGCTGAGAGATGTGTTGGGTCACGACACTGATGACGATTCGGACATGGATACGAGGGAGGTGGAGCAATCTCTTCTTATTAGTGACGACTCTACGAATAAGGAAGACATAACGGTGCGTGATTTTACATGCCAAGTATCTGTCGCGGATTTAATCACCCTCTAGAATGTCGACGCTTTGTCCGACAATGCACCATCCAGTCCAGATGCGTTGCCTGCTGTCTCCTCGCGAATGGGTACTCCTGATCCTAGTGGAAGCAATGGTCTCGCACGACCCTTTCTCCACCCAAATGTATCCCGACTTCGGTCATACACTCCTCAGTCGTCTCGCATTTCTTCGACGGCAAGCGGTCCTCCTTATCATGCGCCGGCATCGTCGCCTTCTCATCTCTCCTTGTCAAGAATGTCCTCTTTATCTAATCTTCACACTGCGTCTTGGACCGAAGAGAATGGCACTTCCTCTTTAAAGCTACCCCAGACAGACGTCTTCAAATGGACCCAACTGCGTGTCATTGAACAGCAACTGAAGACCAAGTCGCCAAAAGTTTCATCCATCCTAGGGGCACCGTTTCTCGGTTCTCCTACTGTACTCGCAGCAAATGGTCTCATTTGCATTGGGACAGACGAGGGGAGAATATGCGTCTTTGATTTCAAGCAGAAACTTATATGTGTGTGCGGCACGGAAGCGACAGGTGATGCCCTCCGCAATTCACCGAAGCGTTTCTGACAACCAGTCAGGTAAGGCAGCTGGACCAGTCACTGCTCTAGCGCTATCTTTCGATCATACGTATGTCGTCTCCGGGCATTCGTCGGGCTTCGTTCAGTTGTATGATCTGAAGACGCCAAACTCGCCTGTTCGAACTGTCTCGCCAACAACCGTTCTCGCTATTTCTACCGGTCGCAAAGAGGGCCATATACAAGGATCCAGAATTGTGAACGTAGGGTTCGTGGCAGGAAGACATACAGCTATCGTTACGGCGGATGAACATGGTCTCGCCTTCTATCATAGTCTTGGTAAAATGCTCTTCATAGAAGCCTCTGATATCCTTCGCATCCTTGGTAAATACCAATTCGATCCCCTTCCTTCTTCTGATGGTTCTCCCCCTCCTGCATCTACAACTCGTCGCCGAAAGTCTCGATATTCCCTTCTCTCCATGATGCCACTACCTCTTGGCACTACGGCTCATCCTACTGACGCCTACAACGTTGTGGCCTTATTGACCTCTACTAAACTTGTCATCGTCGGTCTCAAACCTGCCCCTAAAACATGGTTCAAGTGCCCTCGAATAATTGAGGAGGGTCAAGACCTACCGAGAACCAAGCTTAGTCAGAAAGGCTCCTTGTCCTGGTTTCCAAGTGTTCTGCTGAACTCAAACGGAAAGGTAGAAGTGATTGAGAAGGATCCTTTATATCATTCCGGTTCCTCGACAAATCCGAGGCTTGTGTATTCATGGGGACGTACATTCTATGTTTTACAGGTATTCGAGTCCAAGTTGAAGCGCACAGTTCGTAATTCCAGGTCTGGGAAATCCGGCCAGGTTGAAGTTGGCACGATAGGGTTCGAGAATCTCGCCAAATGGTCAGCAGATGACGATATATTGGCGGTTCAGTGGTTGAATGTTAATGTGGGTTCGTTTGCTCCAGCTGCCAAGTTCATTCCGGCATCGATACTGATATACTCTGTAGCAGGTGCTCATCTTGACGGAAAGCTCTCTTGAAGTGTACGACATCGACTTTGCAAAGCTGGTTGAGAGAGTGCCCTTCGATGGATTTTCGCTTGTTTCTCCGTCTTTGAGACAAACAATGAAGGGTAGTATGACCTACTCGGACTGCGCAAGTGATGTCGCGCACAGTATTCGCGTGTATAAAGGAAAGGTGTTTTTGCTGGTAAGGTTGCTATCAGTTTCGACGGACTTCTATTCAGGTGTCATCCCAGGGACGCGAAAACTTTCAAGTTGGAACGCTTCTGACATGGGCCGACAAAATTTTGGCATTTGTTCAAAATGGTGATTTCTTGAGTGCTATCAACATGTCGCGACTCTATTATGTTGGCGCCGCTCCAGGAAATAAGAACGGCCTCCCGGAGGATGCCGATCTACGGAAAGAGACTGTGGGCCAGAAAATACGCGATTTAATGGTTGCCTCAGCTCGATACGCTTTTTCCGAGGATCGTATGACGGACGATACACATATTACACCTGACGGCCGCGGTGTTGATCGGACCTCTCTGTTCGAAGGTCTTGTGACAACGTGTTGTCGTGCTTGTATTGCATTGGATGACTTCGAATTCCTTTTTGAAGATCTTTTCCAGCAGTACGACGACTCTGGGATCGCTCGAATATATCTCCTCCAACTGGAACGATTTGTGTTGGACAACGAGATACGATTCGTTCCACCCCGTATCACCCAGAGACTCGTAGCCATGCATGATGAAGATAACCGCCCAGATCTTGTGGAACGTATCATTTGGCACATCGACCCCGCTTGCCTGGACCTAAACCAAGCCATACACCTTTGCCAGCAGTATCACCTCTACGACGCCTTGATATACATTTATACTCGAGCCCTTCGGGATTACGTGGCGCCGATCGTTGAATTGCTCGGACTAATTCGCCGCGTCAACCAGTACCATAAAACAAACATGGATACTTGGGATGAAAGCACCATAGAGCCAATAATCTTGAACGCGTACAAGATTTATCCGTATCTCGCCAACATCCTTTCAGGCCTTACCTACCCTAGTGAGGAACCGCTCCCAGGTGAAGAGTGCTTCCAGGCAAAGAAAGATGCCTACTCGTTCCTTTTCTCTGGACGCTCAAGTGTTTGGCCTGTTGGCGAGGAAGGAAGTTTGGTTTTAACATCAGACGAAGAAGGTGGTATCGAACCCACATATCCTTACGTACGACTTCTCCTCCGTTTTGATGCCGAATCCTTTTTGCATTCACTTGATATTGCATTCGAAGACATCTATCTCAACGAGTCGCAAGGCGTCAGTCGTCTCGTCATCGTCCGAATACTACTGGAAATTGTCTCGTCAGGACGCCTGACTTCGGGTGATGTAACATTTGTGAACATCTTCATCGCCAGGAATACTCCCAAGTATCCCCAATTCCTCCTGGAGCTGATACCTGTGAGCACTTTGCATGCTCTTCTGTTTAGTCTAGCGGACGATCCTGACGCAAATACGCGTGAGGATCGTCAGCTGGCTGCAGAATACCTTCTTTCCGGATACATCCCTCATGATATTGACCGGGTGGTACAACTCTTTAACAATGCTGGATTTTATCGAATTCTTCGAATTTGGCACCGCCAGGACCGAAAATGGAGGCCGCTGCTTTCGACTTATATCGAGGACCCAGATCTTCACCCATCAGAATTGTTCCATAACCTTGACGAAGTCCTGCGGATTTCAAAGGAAGAAAGCAAGCACCTCGCGACGGAGTTGGTCATCACAATAGCTGATGCTCTACCCAAGCTATTACAGTCCAGCATCTCGAGCACAGCCAATCTTATTGACAAGCACATGCCAGACTTGCACAATCGCGCCCTAGAATGCCTTGGTCCTCGTGGCGACTACAAGCGTTTCGTATATCTGCAGCATCTCTTCGGTCCCCCTCATCCAGATGATGAAGAGTATATCAATATACCGCGAAGTGCCTCCTCTCAATCATACGGATTAGACGATCTTCGAGAAACGTATGTTGCGCTCCAGTGTCAGTATCGCCCTCAAGATGTTATCAGTGTTCTGAAGTACTTGTCATCGAGTCAGCTAGATTGGTCCAGTGTAGTGTCTGTGTGCGAGGAGAAAGAGGTTTATAATGCCGCAGTGTGGGCTCTGAATCAACGAGGTCATCCCTTTGATGCCCTTACCAAGGCGGAGATCTTCGAACAACGTCTTACTACCCGAGTCATCGATGCGCTTGGGGCCACCGAAAGGGCGAAAGCAGAGTCGGACATTAGGAAGGCAGTTGACGGACTGATTGACCTAGCAAGATCTAGCATCTCTGTATGTTTAGATCGGTCTTTATCGACCTCGCCGGACGTGTCATTAGAGGACATCTGGTTCCAACTACTTCGCAGTCAAATTAACTGCATCCAATCCGTCTCTGCATCTTGTTCACAAGAAGCATTATCCCCTTCCACCTCAGATTCTCGTACCCGTGAAGACCGTAGTGTGGACGTCGAACGGCAAACATTGGATGCGCTTCGCTCTGTCGTACAAGATACATTTACTTCTCTTGTATCTATAAGTTCCACCCGGCCATTGTCCTTTCCCCGGCTCTTCAAACGACTGGTAAATTCTGCAATCCAGATACCGTTATCCAAAGGCACTCATTACACCGAGTTTCGCACTATTCTGACCGGCATGTTGGAGTCCTATCGGTCAGAGGGGGATATGCTTATTATCACAAAGCACCTACTAGACCGGGATCTGTTTCAGGGTATAGTGGAGTTGACTCGAGAGCAGAACCGTGGATGGACTCCTTCCAAGGGCATGTGTTCTGTGTGTCGTAGACCATTACTAAAAGATCCGCATGCAGAAAGTGATACCAAAACACGGCAACTTGTTATCGTATCCCGAACAGGACGTTCATATCATAGTACATGCTCCCCTACAATGGTTTAATTCGATTGTATATCTGGGCTGTGACGGGGCTACAGTTTCAGAGCGATCTAGCGTCGAAGTGAAGCGAACTCGTCAACACTTGATACAGTTGGCAAGCATGCCGTCATCATCCGTGGCCCGTGGCCACTACGGGAAGAACAGATGACAATATTTATGCTACGTACACCTGTGGTACAAGTATTTGAACGATAATCTAATGTTGGGAGTGTATTGAGCCCCACAGTCTGCTTTTGATGGCACTGACAACACCTGGGATTCATTTTATCGCTCGCGCTGCCTTCAAACTAGGCCCTATCGTCCTACTTGCCTATTGGCTCCGATCCTGGACATTACTCCTTTTTCCTCTTGTTCTGCCATTCTATCCTGTCCTCTTTCGTCTATACTATGCCCGCCGCGCCTCTTCTCTCAACGCGCGCATCGCTCCTCGAGTATGCGGTAGCCTTCCTTTCAATATTGACATCATGCGAAGAGCTCAGAATGACAAGCATCCCTGCGATACATTGATGGAGCTGGCCGAGGAGTATGGGCCCATATTCAATACCGATATCCTGGGGCTCATGCAAATCGTGACCACGAGCCCGAAGCACATTCAGCGTGTCCTCGCCACCGATTTCGATAACTTCGAGAAAGGTGAATTTATTTTATCCATCAACCCTTCAGGCAGTGAATTTGAATTTGAAGGGAAGACGTTCCAAGAAACTATGTCCTCTGTACTAGGGGTGGGAGTCTTCAATTCGGACGGTGAGATGTGGAAGTATGCTCTACCGTATCTCATCCATCACAAAGTCTGAATAGCAGCCAATTAGATTTCACCGAACGATGACCCGCCCATTTTTTTCGCGCGACCGTATCTCACACTTTGACTTGTTTGACAACCATGCACAGACAGTGGTAGCCAAAATGAAGGGGCGCTTTCAGATGGGTGTAACAGTGGACTTCCAGGTACGAGTCAAGGTTTGTCATTAACATCTGACTGATAGGTCGGACACAGGATCTTATCCAACGTTTCACGCTCGATTCTGCAACAGAATTCCTCTTCGGGAAATCGGTCGAGAGTCTCTCCGGTATTCTTCCGTACCCACCTTCTACACCTTTTGGTCTTCAAAGTCACGAAAAAACACAGCCCGAAGTCTTTGCAGACGCCTTTCTGTCTGCTCTTGAGGTCCTGCATGAACGTGGCGATGAAGCGTGGATTTGGCCACTGTATGAAATGTTCGAGGACAAAACAGCAGCACCTATGAGCATTGTCAATCAATTCATACAGCCGATTGTGGATGAAGCAGTGAAGCAGCGCAATGAAGAAAAGCATGGAGTCAGGGAGGCAGACGACGCTCAGAGAGACACCTTACTAGGGCATCTCGTCCGTGAGACGAACGGTAAGTGTAATCAAGTTCTGGCGGCATTCCAATGACTGTTGGCTATTTCAGACCCAAATGTATTGAAAGATGAAATGTACGCTTACTCCCAGTCTTTGTTCAACCTTCCGACTCGGAGCTTAAGACGATGGTAGTCTTAATATACTGATCGCTGGACGCGACACTACTGGAGGAACATTGTCCGTTCTGGTCTACTTTCTATGTACTAACCCTCTCGTATGCATTCGTCTTCGTGAGGAGGTCATCAATTCAGTGGGTCCGGTATGCCGCCCTACGTTTGAAGATATCAAAGGAATGAAGTATCTGCGTGCGGTGATCAATGGTACGTTATTCTCCATGCCCTTTAAACAGCTGAGCAAATTGAGTAAAATTGTGATGAGCAGAGACGATGAGATTATATCCCGCTGTGTATGTCTTACTATCTAACTGAATGCAGGAGCTGATGTGAACACTGTAGTCCAGTGAATATTCGCACATCAATTAAGGAGACGACTTTCCCATCCGATGATCCGGAAGAGAAGGATATCTACGTTCCCGCAGGAACGCCGTAAGACTTTTCTTTTATTGTTTCATCTTCTCCATCTCAATTAGCGTACAGCGTTCCATACTCCGTCTTCATAATGCACAGGCGAAAAGATCTTTGGGGTCCAGACGGCGAGTCTCTTCAGCTGTCTTGTTCCGTGCCTCGTCTGATTTTGCGCGATATAATAGCCGAGCAATTCGACCCGCTACGATTTATTGACGAGCGACACCACCGCATAACGAAGAATCCATGGATTTTCTTGCCCTTCAATGCTGGTCCGAGGATATGCCTGGGCCAGCAATTTGCTTATAATGAAATGTCGTTCATCATCATCCGGCTACTGCAAGCATTTGAAGGTTTTGAGCTTGATGAAAATATGGGAGGAAAGTTCAGCCCCAAATTGACGCTGACGATCTACGCAAGCGTACGTCGATTTTTGCACTGAGCTCTTTGGAGTGGCTGACGTCCTTTCAAGGGTGGTATATGGATCAAGGCAAAGGAAGCGGGAGAAATTGAAGAAGTGTAGCGCCTGCAAAAATGTATATATCAAGAAAAATTTTACTTCCAATCGTTATTCTCAATGACACACAACTTCGAAGCTCCATCGTGCATCCAGGGACACTGCAACTGAGTTTGGCGGCGGGTTTGACAGACCAGGCCAAATTTATGCAACTGTTTCTCAGCAAATTTTCACATCCTACAACACAGACCTTCGCGCCCTCCTCTGACGAGCTTCTCTTTCTGCGTCCTCCCATAAATCCGCGGAAGAGACGGCCGTTTTTTCCCACTGTTGAACGATCGATGAAGGTGCGCGTGTTGCAACCAAACGGTAGTCAACTCGATCATTAGCAATCGCGGTCCTCGCTTTATTCCGCGCATTTATGGCTTCAGCGATTTCGAAAGCTTTGGAGCCCATCACTTGAATCAGAAGGACTTCCAAAGGACTACGGCTGTCGAGCAATGCGGAGGTGACGGACCCTACGACTTCAACGGCTTTTTTGGAGCTCAAAGGGGTGCTGATGGCTAAGTGCGTGATCGCGGAACCGTAGTGGTGAATTTCTGCAATAGAGGGAAAGTCTTGCAGAGATAGCTGCGCGTGGAAGTGAGTGGTTTCTGGAGAAATAAGGTAAAAGGGTATGCCATCTCGGCATGAAAGACCGAGGAAGTGCACCTCCCTAGCAACGTGAGAAGGCATTTGGTGGTGTGAAAGTAGATAGGCATGAAGGGAAAATCCACACGCAAGACTCTCTATGTTACACAGAGGGATGATTTTCTCTATAGAGGGCAGGGGACCTAAAGCGAAGATGCCGAGGTTCTTTACTCGACTGCAAAGCGGCACGATGGGCGCAAGACTGGAGGCTCTCGAGGTAACCATAGTTTCAAGGAAGAGTCTCACTGCACGCGACGATGACAGAACAGCGTTTCTGTAGATAACGGGAAGCGTCCAATGTCGAACATAAGTCGACACTAGTGTTAGGCGCAGCCCAGTCTCAGCAGACGAGGTTGATGCGAACTCGAATATCTCTCTCAGAATGTCGATGGATACTCCTGGGAATTCGGACTGTATCGGCATTCTAGCAATTCTCAAAGTTAACTCTAGGCGACCGATAAAAAGTAACTGTTGAGGCTCACCTTGCCAGTATAAAGTATTTCACGAAGAGGGTAGTTAGTAAAGCGACAGCAGTCGGAGTGAGTGTACATACAGGTGGCCGTGCCTCACCTGGATAATTTCAGTGCGTTGCCACGCACGAGTTGAATCTGGACTGCGTCATACCTATATGCAGCAGTCACCTCCGCTCTTCTCCTAAAATATTCAGCCGCCTACCCGGGTTTTGCGCTCACAAAACATACACATGTGACCTACCAGGAATCGCTGAGCCAGTAGACTGTCCTCCGACTCTCAGGTGATATGCAATATCTGGAACACACCACGTAGCTCCGTCTTTTTACTTATCATACACCAGGCCTGGGCAGCTGGGCTGTTACATTTCCCTTAAGATCCCTGAGATGTTTCTAGATAAATAGTGTCTCGATTATCATAAAAGTGACGACTAGGGGGGCCTAGGGGCTTTCATCAGCGATTTGTGCACACCTAGTCTAGCCATATTTTTGTGGATGCTACAGAGAACATCTAGACTGCAGGGGACTGTATATACTTACCAAATTTTCGAGATGGCCTACGATTACGTGAAATAACCATGACGAGCTAGTCTCGACTCAACGATGGGCAGGCTCATCTCCGGGGTGATATCCTCATCAGGATTTCCAGAAGTGAGCCCTTGAGAGACGTCACGATTGTTCAATGGATGTAGATGACGAGCCTACGACCTCATGTGCTTGTAATGATTGCCGGGCCCTCGTCATGAAATAACCATGATGTTAGTCACTGCCACTTATGCAAAGATAAGGACAGCACATAGCCGCATGTACAATGGAATGTCCCTTCTTTCCATTACGAAGATGAGCGGATAGCCGTTTGGTATAAGAGAGTTGAGTCGGAGCAGGCACGAACGGTTCCATCAGAAGAGAATTATGAGGCACGCTGACTCACATTTTTGAGGTGTCAAAATGAGCTAAGTGTAGGCGGTTGGGTGTGTGCATTATAAGGGCAAGTGCCCACGACAGCACGGACATTCGGCCATTGATACTGTGTTCACATGGGGATACTCTCGAGTTCTTCCAGTTTCCAATATTTTTTCATATTCTCTCCTCGTAAATCCGAGACCTGCTCGAATGAATGAGTTTACGATTTTGTCTTTAAGTGTTAACTCACCTCTTGATCTAGGTGAGAAAACAGGACACCCTTGAAATTGTCCAAGCAAGTCCTCATACCGATAGGTGAATAAGTACTTGGATCTTGTTTCCACTTCGTAACTAGATTTAAGAATTCCTCTAGTCCTGCGATGAAGCTAGAGTCACGACATATACCAAAAAAGCAAGACGAGTACCGTGGTGAATGCTCTGGTGTGATTTGATGTGTCCGTCGTTGACCATATCCGAGAATTCAGGCATTCTGCGAGCTAAGATTGAGAAAATATATTTCTCCTCAATGGTATGATGCATAGTTAAATCTGTAAGTTAGTTCCGAAATAACTTCTTTTGCAATGAAGACACATTCACGAACGTCGCTCAAATTGACGGGCAGTGTCCAGATACAAAGAGAGCGATAGGCCGCGCTTACTGAAGGAGCCGTCTGCAAGCTGCGAACAGAACATGACATATTATATAGAGAAACAACTCAGAACAACGGACATCATAGAGGGTATTGACTGTTGATTAAGGTCAGAATATTGCTAATAACCTTCATTTTCTACTACACAATTTCTACACGTACATTCAGCTTTAAACCATTCGTGGAAACTGCTCATCTTGTTGCTCAGCTGCCTGTAATCAGTAGTAGGTACCGGCGAAACAAATTACAGGAGCTCACAGAATTCCATCTGGGGTCGTTGTTCAAACTCATCCTGGAATGCGAGGGGAAGGACTTGAGGAGAACCCTTCTTATGGTTGTACGAAAGGAGCCGCGTTATTTGCCTTGCCGCTTCAGTCCAAACAACCACCGTTCACCCACGACGACGCGATGAGCGGGGGTGAGGTGGTTTCGTTGAGGGACCCATTTCAGCTTGACCGTCTAGCAGAAGAGCTCGTCACCCGAGAACTGTTGCATCCACGCGATATCGATGACGATGACGAAAGCAACCATGACCTGCCTGTCTTCGAACCTCTCTCGCACAGTAATCCCTACCTCACGGCCAATGCATTCGACATTGAGCAATTTCTTCTGTCCCGCTCGCACACCTCGCTACAGGACTTGCGGTCAGAACTGAGAGACTATTTGGCTACATTGAAGGAAGAACTGGTGAAGCTCATCAATGACGATTATGAGGCTTTCATCAGTCTAAGTACCGATTTGAGAGGTGAAGGCGTCCGCTTGAACAAGCTCAAGGCGCCACTGGGGGGATTGAGGATCCAGATTCAAGTATGTGTCCTCCTTTCCCTTATGACCACGCATACACTAATCTACCCCAGCACTCCAAAGCACAACTGCAGGTCATCCAGGAGGCTATCAAGCAGAAGCTGGAGAAGCGCGCGATCCTCAGAGAAGAAAAGGTGCGTATACTGCTTTGCTGCAGTAATAATTTTTCTGACAGTATGCAGGCTCTGTTGCATCTTTTACTCAAAATTTCAGAGTCCGTAACGCGTCTTGAAGGCCTTTTGCTCATCTCATCACCCTCCAATGATGTATCAGAGCCAGCAAATGATTCGGCAATCTCACTACACTCGGAAGACTTGAACGATGACAAGTTAGTGAGGTTTTGGGCTGCTTCTATATTGTACTCAACGTCTATGCAAAGAACGCGTGGCAACCAAGCAAAACATTTGCATCGAATAGCTGCGGAGTACACTCAGCTTCTATATCATGCTTCCAAAGCTCGGGCAGACAAGTGTATTTTTATAGACGAAGTTCAATGGGTTTGCTTTCCTTGCATCGTCTCTTGGAAGCTGCATCCTTACATGTTGTTTGTTCGCAGCAAATTGATAGAATTCAGTCTACACTGTCATCCGACTTGGATCATCACTTCAGCGCAACCCTGATCGCACTTACGGACGGTACCAAGCTTTCGGAAGCCGACAAAGCCAAATTGCTGGCCGATTTGACGGAATGTCTTCGTACTTACGATATGCTAGGGCTTTGGGGAGATGCAGAAGACGTCATTAGGCGCGATGTTGTTCGTCGTTTCGTTAGAAAAGTAAGACTTTCATTCTCTCCACAATACTCTGCTCAAATCTTAACAGACTGTATATGTTGGTGCCCTTGCTGCTCCTCATTCTCCTATTATCCCCCACACACCTATCAATTCGACAGCGGTTGCCTTCTTATCATCAGTGCCCTCACTACCCCGAACACCCTATACACCTTTCACCGCCTTTCCATTGAAGAACTCGTCACCGCATTCGTACATCCTTGACAAATCCATGTCACCATTCTACTATCTTCTGGAGCAAAGTGACGAACCGTTGGCTAAGCTATACTGTCAAATCTTACGGTTCGTTGAGAGAGATCTATGTAGAATCATGGACATCGCGGATAAGGTTGCGGTCAAGTCCTTCTCTGCTGCTAGGGCGGGTACTCCACAGCTACCTTCATTCAATATTGATGGTGATGAAAAGGGGTTCAAGATAATGTCAAATGTTGTTTGGGATGAATTTGGGAGGGCCATCATGGACGAGCTGGGCGGAGTCATATTCTCAGCAGGCAAACCCGGGGTCTTTCGAAAGGTCTCCTCCATCGGTCAACTTTTGCTCATTCACTAATTTTTTCCCCATCAGAACTACGAAATAACCCAAGCATTCATTCGCACCCTAGAATTTTTGTCGCCATCCGTGCACTCTGTTGAAAGCATGCGGGCCCATACCGTTTATATCGCTTTTGAACGACGATGGCAGCTTCCTGTCTACTTTCAGATGCGATGGAAGGAAATTGTCACCAAACTGGAAGATGCTCTTTCCAATACTCGGGTAGAACCGACCTCCGAAAAAGGTATTGTTTTACAGCCAACGTGTTTCTGACCATATCTTATCATGTTCAAGACACCGCTCCATTTGTGACAGCACAGGCCGCGGCTGTTTGGATGGCTGTCGCATCATGTTGGAGTGCCGAGATCTATATTCCAGATTTGAGTTACAGATTCTGGAGATTAACTTTGCAGGTTTGATCCAACACAATCTTTCTCTCTGTCTGGCTTAGTTCATTGACATTCACCAGCTTCTTAGCCGATACAAAACATGGTTGGAGCAGAGCCTCGCTGGGATGGAGAGAGCACCTTCAGCCATAGCATCTTCGGTAAATCCCCCCCCCTCCCCCGTGAAGATGAAAGGCTTAGTATGATATAGACTTCTGACCTTCCGCCTCGTTCATCAACACCTGTATCTAACGAGGGCTCATCTACCGATGGTGCCACGTTTGATGACGCATCGTTACGCCAATACGCGGCTACTATTTCTGATATAAAGACTATGCGATCATGTATCTTAACCCTCTGGCGCGAACAGATCAGTATGATGCTTCCTGAGCCCTCGAACAGCGCTGAAGACGACCTGATTGAATCCGAAGGTAAGTCAGACTTGTATAGTTCGTGCTTGCTTGACTCATTTGTTGACGGACAAGAGGTGCTTCAGCGGTCTCTGTCTTCTCTCATGGCCATGACTCCCTCTATGTCTTCACATATCATCTCAATTTTGACAAAGCGATGTTGTGATGCGCTTCTTCCGGTTCGGTCCATCCCGTCTCAATTCAGAGCAATGTCAAATAAACGGATGCCGACGGAACCAAGTCACTTCGTGTCTTCAATTCTGCGACCCGTGAAGGTCTTCTTTGGTATCGATACAGGTGCTGGCGCTGGTACGTCGCTAAAGGTCGACTTTTTACCTTCCGCTTCCGGGGAAGTGTTTGAGAACGTCTGTCAAAGGTTGGTCATTTTTATGCTCATATTTCGCGTGCTTAGCCGGTGTACAGATACATCCATTATGTGACTGCCATGAAGAAAACCGAAGAATCGCTGCGACGACTGAAACGAGGGAGAAAACCGACATTTTCTCTGTTCGGAAGTTCTACGGCTGGTGCAGATGACGAAGCGAAAGATGAAGAGCGGATCAGAACTCAAATGAGTCTTGACGTGGAGGCATTTGGAAAAGATGCCGAGAGCATTGGTGTTAAATGGGATTTGAGTGAATCATACAGGGCACTGTCCACCTTGGTAGAAGCAGTGGACGGTAAGCCTTGCTCTCTTGTTCTCTTATCAACAGTACTTAACTGACGAAGTAAAAGCTGAAGCTTCCTAGGGTGTTCGAAGCACGGGCATGCATTCATCCAGTACTACATTAATATCATTGACCCTGATAATATAACTTTGTTTGTTTGAATACGTGTGGCATGCCCAAAATTATCTTCATTCAACTTGCGCATTGCCTTGAACACGGACCAATGAAATATGATACGTAGAAACTAGTATCGTCGTCGTCGATACTGATCGCGGCTATCCGCAGGAGACACTCGCCCTGGTGGTGATGACAAAGAGTCCCTCCTCCGGCCTTCTGTGGCTCGCCGCCCGAAGTTGCTGCCTTTCGGTGGAGGAGATACAGACATACGCCTCAAGTCCCGTCGCAGAGAACGAGAACGAGAACGAGAACGAGAACGAGAACGAGACCTGTATCGAGTTCGAGGAGGGGAGGAGGGAGATGGACGACGGCGACTATCAGGAGAGGCGACCCGTCTGTATTCGTCGGATCGGCGAGGAGGGTGGGATACGGGGGAACGTGCGCGACGAGGAGAAGACGAAATATTACGTCTCCGACGTGGTGGCGGTGTTCTTGAGTCCTCAGACGTGGAATGTCTACGGCGTCGAGGAGGCGTAGAACTACGGCGACGGCGACGACCGTTTCTTCGAGAATCTACAGAACTCGATGCGTCGCTCGACGAATCATCAGACGAACTGTCCGAAGAATCCGAGTCTGAGTCAGACGAATCCGATTCTGAAGATTCTGCTTCGAGCATGGCCCGACGTTGCTCCATAATGAGTTTAGGCGCATTCTAGTGAAAACATGAGTCTCAAGAGCAGATGATTATGTATGACTGGGACAGACCTTCAAATACTCTCTCATATCTTCAGTGATGACTCCAAGACCAATACTGGTGAAATAATTGATAGCAAACCGAGTGTTCTTGGGTATATCGACAGGGAACATTCCCTGACAAGCATGCTTCACTTCGGGATCCTTGAACCGTTCGGCCAACGTCTTCAGCCCCATGCTCTCCATCATCTCGTTCATCAATATTTTGACGAAAATCCGAGAACTGGACGTCGTATCATCTTCATTCATCTTGACACTTTCAAGAACCACCCAAGAAATGGAATCAGTGGCCAGAAGATGACCAAAGAATCGGGCAATGTTGCGCAGACGGTTCGTTTCGTAACGATGAATCGTGCTGTAGTAATTTCTAAACGCGGCCTCCAGACAATCGGTCCAAACGCGGTTAAGCTTGCTGAACCGTTCACCAATTAGCCCATAAAATGTCGCATAAGACCTTTCTTGAGAGCAACACTCGATGATCATGTTGACCAATTCGATCTGCAGCGTCTGATTAGTTTCGGCAGCATAAGCGCAAATAATACGAACCTCTTTACCCTCCTCAAGCTGAACTTTCAGCAGTTTATGGACAGCTTCTTCGTAATTCAAGGCATTCATGATCGTTAAATATATCGTCCGACGAAGATTCACCAGATTTGTTTCAGTGCGATCTTCAATGCCTTCCTTGGTCTCAGCAACTTGAACATTTCTCAGAAAATAGCCAAAGACAATGGATGTAACAACCTACCTTCCTCGTCTGATTCATCGCTAGATTCATCTGACCCAGACTCTTCATCAGAGCCTTCGCCCAATATTTCGGCTTTGATCTCCTTGTACCGTTCCTCATTTTTGAAATAGTCAGGATCAAATTTGAAGACATCTAAGTAGACGTTAAGCAAAGGACGTCAGATCTAACAAAAAGGGTGCGTACTAAGACCTTCCTGGACCTGCAAGTCTTGCTCCAACTGTATTTCGTGGGTGATTTGCTCGTCTTCTTCAACCAGATCCAAACCTTCGGGAAGGATAGGATTATCTTTGTACTTATCTTTTCTGACCTGCATCAATACTTCAATCATGTATTGCACACGCTGGCTGATGCTGCCTTCGTTAAGCACTGCACGGAATCGCTCGAATACTGTGGCGTTTGCTTTTGGAGAAATTTCTGCAAGGAATGCACCAACTTCTCGCATAAAACCAACAGCAATTTCAATCGAGTCATCGGTAGGTCGTTCGACGAGAAGAACGATGATTTGGAGAGCAATGATTTCATGAGCAACGGCTTGGTTGACGAGATGCGCAATGAATGTCGTGGCAGAGTGGCAAACGATCTGTAAAGCGGTTTGATACCTTAAATCGTCCAAAGAAAAGGCAACGTGGTCGTACCTTGTCGTTCCTTTTGAAGGCACGGCGGAACTGGCTTATAAGCCTGGTGAGGAGTAATTCTCCTACTTGAGGAAGCTTCGTGTTGATGATAGCCACGAGCGCAGCGAACACCGGCGTAAACGGTAAACTGGCGGCCTGAGCCTTCATGATACTCCTTGCGAACAGCCCACGACCACGGATGAGGTTCTCCGCAAACATCTCCGGAACAACCTCTTTGATATTTATGATATTGACACGATTGACGATACCGGTGATTGATTTTCGAAGGGCATCCCATGAAAGTCGTTGATACTCAGGACTAGACTTGTCGCTCGAAGCGGCTTCCTGTAGTGCGCGAAGCCGTGCGGGCGGCAGGTACACTCCACCTGAGCGAGATCCAACGAGCTTTGCAAACTCGGCCTTGGCGTCGAAATCTTTTTCATTCTGGTTGCCTTTCGACTTTTCTGCCTTCTCCAACTCCATGACAGCAACACGGGCGGCTAGTTGGCGTTCGCGCTCAGCCCGGCGGACAGGGTCAACATCGTTGACTTTCGGAAGCTCCAGTCTTGACCTTGGAGGTGGAGGAGAATTAGATCTTCGACGAGCTGATGGCGGTTCATCGTCACGATTTTCAGAGGTTGAATGAGACCTAATCAAGCATTCAGCATACGGAAAGCATATAGAATGAGCGCATATATACCGTTTCCTCTTTGTGGATAGATAGTCAGAGCCATTCTGCGGTGGAGTCATTACGGCTGCCGACATAATGAACTTGCTCGTCGATGCTGGTGATCAAGAGATGTTGTGCTGTATTTGGCTTCAAGAGCTGTCGGTGCACAGCCACCCTCTCTGCGCAGAAGGCTGATTATGTCGCTTTCCCCACACCGGATCTCATAGGAGCCGATCCGAGCTACTTATCAGAGAGAGAGGCTAATTCTGCTCCCACCCCAACATCACCACATGAATAATCTGGAGGCGCTGAGCTCGATAGCAAGAGTAAGTTCGATTTCCCTCCAGACATGTTCAGTGTTATAACGTCTTCTCAGCTAAGCGACAATGTCGTCAGAGTCTTAGGGCAGGTTCGTCTAGCGTTGATCGCATCCAAATGTCCTATCTGAAAGTTGTTGTACAGAATCCAGGCAAGTTCACTCTACAAGGTGCACTGTCTTCTTCGTGAGTGCCGGCGCCAGCTTATTCTTCTTGTACAGGTACCAACACCTACATCATCGGAAAGAGAAACCCGTATGTTCTCGTCGATACAGCGGAAGGCCGCGAAGAATACATCGCTGTTCTCGAATCCGCTCTCCGAGAGACGGCTGTATCTTCTAATACCGACGAACCCCACATTTCCGACATCATACTTTCACATTGGCACCAGGACCATGTCCGTGGGTTGCCTTCTGTTCTTGCTCTCCTGCGGCGCTTATGGGATGAAAGAGAACATACGGGTCCGTTCGAGCCCCCTCGTTTGCATAAATTCCCCATTCCCGCGGGAACTTTCTCTCCGAAATATCAAGTTCTCTCTTCAGTCATTGACCATTTGCTGGTCGGTTCTTTTACTCCCACCGTTGATGGAAAACCCTTGCATGACCTTACCGACTTTCAACAATTCATGAATCTGCGTGTTCTACATACCCCAGGACATACCATTGATTCTATCTGCTTGTATATTCCCGACGATGAAGCCCTTTATACTGCAGATAGTGTTTTGGGTCAAGGCACAGCAGTTTTTGAGGATCTTTCTCGCTACATATCCAGCTTGCGAAAGATGTTGGATTTCGGCAAGGACCCCCAAACCCCATATCCATACCGGCGTTTGTATCCTGGTCATGGACCGGTAGTCGAAGATGGAGAGCAGGTAATATCCACCTATATTCGACATCGTATAGAGCGAGAGGACCAGATCATTGCATTACTTCGTTCCCCCAATCAGACAACCTGGACCACATGGTCACTCGTTTCGAAGATTTATTCAGCCTACCCCGAATCTCTCTGGCTCCCTGCAGCTCATAGCGTTGACCTGCATCTGAAGAAGTTAGAGAAGGATGGGGTTGTGAACAGATTGGGCGGTGCAGACGAACATACGAATTGGGGATTGACATTGAAGCTCTAGTATCTGTCTTTTTCTTGGATAAGCATACATTTTTTTTTCTTTCTTTTTTTCTGATAGAGCGTTGTATCAAATACTTTTTACCTTGCAATCAACTAGGTTGATCCAAGGCACCTGCTTGGATAAGAGGGCATGCTCCAAAATAAGAAGCAGTAGTAACTGAAATGAGGAACCAAACTGGGAGATCTACATGGGAAAATGTTGTTATGCACTATTCAGAATCATATGGGACTCTGTGCTGGCCTCTTGGCCTTTCCTGACAAGGCACCATACCCACTAAAACCCCATTCTGGATGTCCAGTCCTCCAGAAGGTAATCCTCATTCAGCAGTGTTCCTTTCCGGGTTGACAGTACTGTCACCTCCTGAAGGGCCTTGGGTCCATACCTGACCCTGTCCACCATTGCCCAGTCAGTCATCAGCTACTTATTCATTGCATCAATCCACAGATTCTGTATCTTATCCTTGGTGTGCCAGCTTGTCTCATCATTGTCATCTCATTGGATTCATCTCTGGCAATGTATTCTCCAGATTATATGCACTATCTCCATCATCAGTATTTGGTAGAGGCATGTAGCATATTTATCAATTTCACCTTTGGAGTTTCTAATCTGTATCAGTGTGGCACCAAGTGCAAGACCATAGGTCAGTCACTCCCATTTCAGTCTCTTCTTCTCCCATAGCTCTTGGGCAAGTCCCCACAGTATGGTTTGCCCATTAATATTGCATTCAACAAGGATGTGTTCCATTGATTCTGTAACTTTGCAGTGAGGACATTCTTCTTGCATTGTGTATTGTTAATCTAAGTGCTTCCAGTAACTACCTATTTTAAATGCATTTTACAGAGCTTTCCATAGAAAGCCTCATGCTGACTGAGATACATTTTTGTGACAGATTGACTTCCAAATCCTTGTGAGTATTGGCTTCACCCCATTTATCTCTTTTACCATTGCTGTGACTCTCTGTCTTGTTATACTGGCTGTCTGTCATGATTTTTACCTCTAATTGTGACTTCTAGCCTCTATTTGTGACTTATTGATGCTTACAGAAGTCCAATGAATTCTGACCAGTCCAGCTCTGATCATGAAGGAACCTCATCTCAACTATGCAGAACCATAGATGACAATGCCATGATGATACTATGGCTATGCCTACTCATTGACACACAATAAGCAGCTGGTATCAGCATGCTGATTAGTACACTTCCATGCTCTTTTTATAATAGATGCTGTGGCTCATGGAAAACTCACTGTAACAACAGTATTGTAGGACAACAACAGCACAAGTATGAGATGACAGAATTATTGTAAAGAAGACAACAAGTAGTAGACACAGTAACAGGACAATAGTTGCCCATAGGGCAAAGAGTTTTTTGGACAGTAGTATAAGATGATGTACTCTAGTCTTGAGCTAAGGTTTAATACTGACTAAACTCTTTGACTACTTGGTGTGACTACCACTACAAAGCTTTATGCTTGCAGTCATAGTTTACTGACTACTATATATTATCCTGCTTACTTCATAAACTTCAGACAGTATTGGACTCTGATGGATGTGGTGCTTTGAGTTTATATTTGGTCAAGGCCTAACATTTAACTTGAGACTTCACATGCCTTGGTCTGCAGACTCTTAGTTTAGGACATATATATATAACTCAGAAATCTTATCAACAACATTATTCAGAGTGTTAAGCTCAAGTGACACATGACCTAAACACATGATAAACTGATGCTATATCATATTTATATAGTCATGTCAGAGTCCACTGGATGTGTTTAATAGGTGAAGTGTTTCAAGACCATAGACAAGTTAGCTTAAGATGAAATAGTATAGAATAAACTTTAGCTCAAAGCTGAGTATCTACAGTGAGAGCTATGCTACTTATATATGATTTCATTCTGTGATAAATATAGTCCTACTAATTGTATGTTCTTGTGCTATAGTACTTGTCACCTCTGGTTGTCAGGGATGAAACAATGAGGTATTGTCTGTTGGCAAGACACCTATCATTATCTAAAAGACAATGGCACAGGTTACCTATTGTGGTTACATAATCCTCCCATGCATGTCTGTAAGTGCCCAAGATTAGATAGATGCTCTGATAAGATAAGATAAAAGATAAAAAATAAAAGATAAAAGATAAAAAAAAATTGTAACATTACTCCTCCCTTAAGACCATCATCCTGATGGATCATTCTAGGGAGAGTTGATAATCCTGGATAGCATTGTCAGCATTCATGTTTTGTTCATTGACTCACTGGTTTGACTCTGGCCTATATCCCTTTCAGCTAATAAGATAGTCTATGATAGTCTATAAGCTGCTGTCATGAGCTTGAACCTTATATAATCTGTAATAGAGAACTTGATCTACTTCATAATGCTCCTCTTCTTTGACTAAGATCAGTTCAGGCAGCAGTGGTTTTTTCTAATTAGGAAAGACAAGTGCAATATATAGAGTTAGGAGGGATTTGTTAAAGACAGAATGAATGCACCAGGCACTGAAGAGTTGGAGACAATAGGCAGAGGTGCCTATTTTAGTGAGGACTGAGAATGGTTCCATCTGTTTGTTGGCAAGTTTCTACTTTGGCTGAGGCAGGTGGAGATTAGTGGTATTCAGCCACATCTTATCATTGATTGAGTATTCATGCACCAGGTGACAGTGTTTATCATATTGAGTTTTTATGGCAGAGACAGCCTTCTCAAGTGCTGTATGCATTTCATTATGAATGGAAGTCATAAGAGTTATGAAGTCAAAGGATACCAGAGTCAAGGTCTGGCATCTCTCTATTATAGTGATGTACAGGTGTCAGCCATGGTTTATAAAGAATAGTGTTTTGCCTGTCACTGAGTGTATCTGATTATTATGCTGGAATGCTGCCAATATGAGCCATTCTGTCCAATCATTCTGCCTGTAGTTAACAAATATTCTTAGATACTTCTCTATCTTCTGATTGATCTGTTTTGTCTGTCCATCCATCTGAGGGTGATATGCTGTAGAGAAATTACTTTGAATGTTGAGAAGTCAGTATAAGTCATCTAAGAATTTGGATACAAATTATGGTCTACAATTGGAGATCACTACTTAGGGTATGCTGTATTTGGCATAGACTTTATCACACAAAATCTTGGCTCATCCTTCTAGAGTTAGCTCTATAGAGCATGTGACTGAGATGATTGCCTTCAAGAAGTGGTTGATGATAATAATAATGATGGCATCATAACCATTGCAATTCAGCAATTTGATGATCATATCTACTAAAATATGGATCCATAATTCTGTCAGCACCTCATTGGGATGGAGCAGTGCAGCCTGTTCTTGAGTTATTGATTTCATTCATTTCACATCCTTTGACATACTTCTTGACATCCTGTCTCATCTTTGGCCATCAGTACTCTCATAACACTAACTTCTTTGTTTTTGCAATTTCTGGATGTCTCATGATGATGTGGTCATAATATATTGCAATGACTTCTTCCCAAAGGTGGTGGTCTCAGAGGATGTAGATCTGGCTATCATAGTAGATGAGATTATTGACCTTTGTCATCCCTCAGGCATGATTGACTGAGGGTGCAATGCATTGGTTTCATAGTCCTGTGTTCCTTGTGGTGCTTTTGATTTTCTCATGGATCTTCTCTTCAGTTAGCATTATTATAGCTCAGAAATGTTCAGACTTCAACAGTGTCACTTCATTATTGTCCTCTCCTTTCTAGTTATGATCTGCTTGTCAACTCAGCAAATCTGCCTTCTTATTGGCCATGCCAGCCTTGTGGTGCAGTGTATATTAATATTTGGAGAGTTTGGTGATCCAGCATGTCTGTTGATGATTAAACTTCTGGAGAGATCAGAAGTATTGAAGATTTGTTCATATTTCAAAGGTCTGTGATGCCTCCATTCTATGAGCATAAGCATGATCACAAGTAATTTCTTGTCATATATCTTATAGTTGTGTTCTGTAATAGTTAATGCCTTTAAGAGAAAGGTGACTGGTTGCTATTTTCCATTCTGCTCCTGGAATAGTACAGCTCCTACTATGCTTTCACTTGAGTTGGCCTCTACATGGAATCTCTCTTTCTCTATTGGTACTGTCAGTACTACATCTTTTGCTAACTATCACTTTAGATCTTCAAAGACTGCCTGCTGGAGAAGGCTCCACATCCAGAGTGTATTTTCCATAAGCTAAGTCATAGGTTGAATGATCTTGCTGTAGTCTCAAATGAACCAGTGGTAGAAGTTTATGAACCCTAGAAATGATTGCAGTTTCTTCTTCTTGGTTAGAGTCAGCCACTCCATCATCACTGCTACCTTTACTGGGTCCATCTGGATGCTTTCCTTGCTAATAATCACCCCAAGGTATTTGGTCTCCAGTACTTTGAACTTGCACTTCTTGACCTTGAGAAACAGTTTGTGCTTTTTCATCAGGGAGAAGGTCTGCAGCATGAGGCTCTAATGTTCTTCTCAGTCTTTGAATATGATGAAGATGTTGTTGAGATAGATGGTGACCTTTCTCATAGTGATGAGGTCCTTGAAGCTATTGTTCATCATCCATTAGAAAGTCTCTGGTGAGTTAGTTAATCTGGAAAAGAAGGGTGATACTATAGGGGATTTGGATAGCTGGATTTGTCTGCTGGACAAGTTCTCATCCAAGAACTTGTTGAGTTTCTGTTGTTCCAGCTGGCTGAGAGAGTATACCTTGCAATCAAGATTGGCATTGGCATTAGGGATTAGCTTGATCATGTGGTCTCAGGGTTTGGATTCAGACAGCTCATTGAAGTTCTCTTTATTGAACAAGTTCCAGAAGTCCTATATTCACTCAGATACCAGCTCCTCAAATGTTTTGGTCTTTTTTTCCATGTTTTCCATTGCTGCTAGATCATTTATATAGTGTATTACCTGGATATGAATCACTTGTTTCATATTGATAGCAAGAATGGTCTCTCTATCCTCCATCTTCTCATTCTAGTGATCTTCTGGATCCTCATCTGGCAGTTCAAATGGTGTTTTGTGACACTGGCACCAGACAAAGATGATTTGGCCAGTTTTACAGTTGACCAATAGGTTGTAACAGATCAGCTAATTATGCTCAAAGAAGATCTTCTTTGTTCTAAGATCTG